GCTAAGGCAAAGGTGGTGATGAGGAACGAGCGGAGAATGGACTTGTCGCTGGACTTCTCGATGACAGGCACGGGCCCGAGGAAGAGGCCAAGCAGCAGATACAGGAACGTCGGTAGCAGCCCCAGGAAGAGCAGAAACGAGCGAGCGTGGACCTGGAAGAAAGTCTGGAACACAACCGCGAATGCGGTTGCTCCCAGGCCATTGCTGCCGTCGAGCAAGCTCAGCAGCATCCCCTGGTGGTGTTTCGGGAAGTTTGTGGCACAGGTGGTCAGAACAGCCGTGACTGCAAAGCCTACAGAGGCGCCGACGAGAAAAATATAGAAGCTCATTTGCCATGCTGGTGGACGAGCAATCTGGTGAGTGATGGCGAGCCAGGCCATGGTGTAGCCGAACAGGTTGAGCAATGCGGAGACGAACATGGTGAGACGGGGGGCCCGACTCTCGCATTGAGCAAGCCGGCCAGGAAAGCCATGCTGGTGCCGAGATCCTTGAAGAAGCTGATGGTATTGACGGACTCTTGCTTGTAATGCAGGGAGATTTTGAGCTCCTTTGAGAACAAGCTGAAGCTGGTGAGCGTGCTTCCGGTGATTGCTATCAAGTAGAAGCCCGAGACTGCGACGATCCAGCGATTGCTGGCGATGGAGAAGAGTTCCTTGGCCATTGCTAGCGCCATTGCTGCCAGCTTTGTGGACCGCACAAGGTAACGAGAAAGCTCTTCAGAATCATGGTTTTCATGCCTTTATATCTTGTTATAATTGCAGTCCATGTGACGCTCTGCCTCGAGCCGTCGCTTGCTCTTTGAAATGGCAAGCTTCTTCAAGCAGAGAGTTTAACATAAACTTGGCAACAACGTAGTTTCGTGGCTAAGTTTTCTATGCGCAAGTCAACTAAGTTGAGCGTTGACTGCATTTCCCATATCAGTGACAGATTAGCGTTCGCATTTGGCCCCAGATGAACGCTAATCTGTCATTGAGACGGAAAAGTCTACAAATTGGTCTTGAATGGAGGCGGATCCATGGAAAGTTCGTGCAAATCGTAACGTTCTTAAATTCGTACTGCCAAATAGAAATCTTAGTTTTTTGCAACTATATCAGCAGGGCACTGGGAGGAGACTGATATCCACATCTCAAAGTTGAGAGAGCCTAGCATCCAAGCATACATTTCCATTTCCATCTTTCGTCTTCCAAGCTTTCTTGCTTACACAGTCCCATCCATGGCTGGCATCAAGGCATTTGTTGACAGCTGCAACGGGACACTGTCGGGCGTTCCGGAGAGATACATGATGCCGAATGGAGCTGCCGATGTCTCCCGGTACGCGGTGCTGCCGATAGTCGACGTGGCGAGCGAGAGCTTCGAGAGGGATCTCGTTGACGCTTGCACAAAGTACGGAATGTTCTACGTAAGTTTTGATGAGGTATCTTTTTCCTGTAAGTTGTTGTTCTTCTGACTTGCAGCTCAAGAACCACGGAATTCACACCGAGGATGTGATGAGGTGTGCTCTCGAGTTCTTCAACTCGCCCAGCGAGGACAAGATGCGGTACTACACCGAGGAGATCTTCACACCCGTCCGCTACTGCACCAGCATGATGCCTTCGAAAGAAGAGAAGCTTGAGTGGCACGACCACCTCCAGATGTGGCTCAAGGAAGAGTCCCTCGGAGTGCACCCCTGGCCCGCGTTCCCAGCCAGCTACAAGTCAGTTTCTCGCTCCTTGATTTTTCGTATTGATCTAGATTGCTGACGCTCTATATGCAACAGGGACGTTGGATCCGAGTACGCCAGAAACATCTTCAAGCTCGGGAAGAGGATGCTGTTGGTCATGTCCGAGGGACTTGGCCTCCGCTCAAACCGTCTTCTGGAAGCATTCGCAGACATGGTTCTTCTGACGAGAGCAAACTTCTATCCGGCTTGCCCGAACCCGAGGCAGGCCTTGGGCATGGAAGGCCACACCGACAGCGGCGGCCTCACGTTTGTGCTCCAGGATGGAGTCGGGGGATTGCAGCTGAAGCAAGGCGAGGATTGGTACAACGTGAGGCCACTCGAGGGAATGCTGGTGGTCAACATGGGCGATCAGCTAGAGGTACGAGCAGTCGAAAAGTTTGTGGAATGATCTTGATGTTGTCCTTGGTTGGTGATCTCAGAAGCTGAGCAATGGGAGGTACAAGAGCATATTGCACAGGGTGATGGTGAACTCGAAGAGTTCGAGGCTGTCCGTCGGGGCGTTCCTGGGGCCGTCACTGGATGCGGAGATCAGCCCGATTCCAGAGCTGGTGAGCCAGGAGAGTCCGGCAAAGTACCGCAGCAGGACTTATAGGGATTACATGCACGAGGTGTACACGGAGCACTTCTCCGGGAAGAATGTCTATGTGGCTTGAGCCTTGAGCATTCAAAAGCGCCAATTTTTTTCCCATTCTCATGAATAAAACTGAATGAATTTTTTTTGTTAACGCTAATGTTAACGGTGAGCTTCCGAGACAATCATTCCACAAACTTTTGGACAGCTTCTACCTTTGGCTGTGATCTCCCATGTTGACCACCGGCATTCCCTCTAGTGGCGCCACGTTGACCAGTCCTCGCCTTGGTTTGTGAGAGGTGTCTTGAAGAAGCTCCCTTGGCCGCTGCCTAGAAGGTGGTAAAATGAGATTTGTTAGAAAAGAAATGTCTGTTAGAAGGATCTTAGTGGAACTCTAACTTACGAAAGTTCATAAGAAGCTCCCTTGACCGTGCCCAGAAGGTCCTTAGCAGTCCGGGAAGAACAGAGATGGGTTCTATTAGGGCGTCATTCGTTTGCTGCTTGGCAAGAAGCATGGCGGAGGCGGTCGTGGCGGCGGCAGCGCAGCCCACCAAGCTCTCGTATTTCGACAATATGCGGCAGCTCCAAGCAACAGCCAAGGTGCTCTCCATCACAAAGGTAGCGAGTGAGTTTTCTAGCTAGGATGTTTAGATGGAGTCCTCTCCTCATTCTCCAGGATTCTGAGCGAGTAGCCATTGTTTCGGATCGGACAATCTTGTATCCTCAAGGAGGTGGACAGCCCGCGGACAGGGGCTCCATTTCGAGCTTGAATGGAGACACTACATTCCAAGTTCAGGACACAAGGATGAAGAATGGAGTTGTAAGTTTTCGTTTTGTTTCTTCTCAGAGGATTTACTGCTTCACTCTTGTGCTGGCTGTAGGTCTATCACTACGGTGTCTTTGAGCCATCAGACTCTACTTTCGAAGCTGGCCAGGAAGTCACCCTGAGAGTTGAGTCGCAACGCAGGGAATTACACTCAAGGTGCGACACAATCTACAAGCAAACCCGTACTTATCCAGTTTTTCTTTCTTTATTTTTTCGAGAACAGGCTGCACACTGCGGGGCACTTGATAGATGTATGCATGAAACTTGTGGGACGAACTTTGGAGCCGGCAAAAGGAAACCATTCTCCAGAGGGGTATGACTTTCGATTCTCAACTTTACACTTTGCAAAGCTTTTCTTTCCGGGATAGAGCTTTTGTCGAGTACATAGGAGCAATTCCGAGCGGTGAGATAGAGTCGACTCGTGTTGCCCTGCAGAAAGAAATTGATCGTTTGATAGCAAGTGGTGCTTCGGTGAGTTGTGCTATGCCGATGCTTTGTCTTTGTTCTTATTCTTTTTGGTGCCAGTGTATTTATTCGTGCTAGTACTACAGGTAAATGCATCTGTGCTATCTTATGACGAGGCTGCTGGCTTGTGCGGCGGGAGCCTTCCCGATTATATATCCAAGGTATACTCTTATGAATTGGATACAACTTATGATCTTTGTATCTGACCTCCAATGTTCAATGCCACAGGATAGCAGTCCCAGAATCGTGAGGATCGGAGATCACACGGGATGCCCCTGCGGTGGCACCCATGTCGACGATGTTAGCTCACTCACGGGCTTGAAAGTAAGCGACTTCGAAAGAAAGAGCGTCAAGAGGTTTTGAGTTAACATATGTTGCGCGCTTCACAGGTGACGCAGATCAGAGTGAAAAAAGGAGTGACAAAAGTTAGCTACACGCTGAAATGAGTAGAAGCAACCGGCAAGATGTTTCGGAGACATACAGTAAGCTCTGTGCGGTTTTGTGTCATGGTCTCTTGTGTTGATCTTCTCGTGACTTGCAGATTTCTCTATCTATGATTCTCGCGAGCTTCGCTCTTGATCAATATCTCCCCCGGGTTTCAGGTCTTGCTGAAAACCGCAGGGATATTTTTCTCAGTTCGCTATTGATGCTTACAAAATCAGATTCTAAGTACTTTTGCGGATAGATGGCATTGTGATTCATAGTGTCGTTTCTCCCTGGACTTACTTGATCTGCCGTGCAATGACGCAGGTGAAAGGCACCGACGCACCAAAAGCACTCTGCGAGATCTAAAAGAAATGGAAAGACAGAGAGTGGACACCTGCTGGAAAAGACTAGTCGCTAGTGCGTTTCGCTCAATTGCTTTTCGTGTGTTTGGATAGCAAGGCTGCTACTTTTCACTCCACAGTTCTTACGATGAATATAAAACCTTGTGATAGTCATACACAAGCATCATTCCGGGTATAATCGTGCAAGTCTATATTGTAAGCTAAACCATGGAGCCTAGGACAATATAGCGCATTAGATTTAACGAATCACGATCCACTGTGAGACTGGAAGTAATTATTTGGCAGGGCGTTTGGCTGGAAGTCAATTTTTGAGGCGTTGATCTGTCAAATCGCAGCCGCCCGCTCTCTCCATACGTAACGGGCATGTCACGCCATGGATAAAAAGTCCGCGCGGGGGTTTTTACTCGTGTGTTAAACGCAGTCCACGTGGATTCACCAGTCCCATTTTTCCGTTCGATGGTCGACATGTAAGCACGTTATTCCTTTAATGTGGCACGTTTTGTCCAAAGCCGGCGATGGGGACCGTCGATGCTGTCAATCCGACGGCCGCAGCGCCCGGGCGTACGTGCTGGTACGGAATCGCGTTTTGCTTAGTGGTTTTGTTGTAGTTCTTAGGTAGGTGGAGTGGAGGCCAAGGCGGAGGCGCGGGCGCGGGGGCGCTACAGCGATTCCGGCGAGCGGCGGTCGTGGCCGTGAATCTCCGGAGAATGCCGCTGCGATGATCCGCGCAGCGGCGCCTTGATCGCCTCCCGGGCGTGCGAAGATCGCTGTGCATTGTCGAGGTGAGCATTTTGGGGACAATGTGGATTTGGCGCTCGAGTGATGTGCATTTCTAGCTAGATCGCGCATTGGAATGTAGCTTAGCGATGAATTTCGGTGGAGATATAGATGTGTGCGTTGTGAGCTGCTGGATTTGCACTGAGCGAGTTGTGGAACTGTGCAGCGATTCAGGGAAAACGCCTTCCAAATGGGGAAGAAGAAGTGGTTCTCTGCCGTGAAAAAAGCATTTGGATCGCCCTCCAAAAATGAAAAGGAGAAAACCGACACCTCGTCCGTCAAGGAGTCGGAAAAATTAGATAACAATAATGTGAGTTGGATCTTTTCTCTGATTCTCATCTCGAGCACTAACACTTCCTCCTCGTTTCAGAGAAAACAGATCCAGGATGAAAACCAACACCAAAAAAAATGGAATGGTGCAACGGATGATAATTCGGTACTTCAAACCGAAGACGAGCAAAGCAAGCATGCGATGGCTGTTGCTGTTGCTACTGCTGCGGCGGCCGAGGCTGCTGTTGCTGCTGCTCAGGCGGCCGCTGCTGTCGTTCGACTTACTGGTGGACGACCTTCTGTCCATGGTGGAAAACCGAAAGAGGAGTGGGCCGCTGTGAAGATCCAGACTGCCTTTCGAGGATATCTGGTGCGTGTTTTTTCTGTGGATCTTAGTCTTCATTTGTTTCATATTTGATCAACCAGGCTCGACGTGCACTGCGTGCCTTGAGAGGTCTGGTAAGGCTACAAGCTTTGGTTCGCGGGCATGCCGTCCGTCGTCAGGCAACTATGACGTTACGATGCATGCAAGCTCTTGTGCGCGTCCAAGCTCGGGTACGTGCAAGAAGAGTCAGGATGGCGGAAGAATCTCAAACTCTGAAGAATCAAGTTTGGCAAAAGCGACTCGAGGAACAAGAAGCGCTTCCTGACGTACGTATTTTAACACAGCTTTCCAGCTGACTAGACTTCGTTTGTCTTTTGGTTTCCAAAGGTTGAGACGAGTGTGGAAGTTTGGGATCACAGCGTGAAGACTGCCGAGGAAATTCAAGCTAAGATGCAAAGCAAACAGGAAGCTGCCATGAAAAGAGAGAGAGCTCTGGCCTACGCTTTTTCTCACCAAGTAAGCTTACGCCTCCAGGAATTTGGCTCAGAAGTACATCTTTCTTCTTATTGCAGCTGTGGAGATCGGAACCAAAAGATGCTTCTGCGATGTATCTGGATGGCGATCCAGAAAAGTCACACTGGGGATGGAGCTGGTTAGAGCGGTGGATGACTGCTCGGCCGTGGGAGGGCCGTGCTATGGAGAAAGATGCTCCCGATGGCTTCTCTCTAAAGAGCACCGAGGACGTGGTAACTAAAATACTAGAGGTTGATTCCGGGCGGTTTAGTTCAAGCGGCAGGCGGAAGCAGGAAAACGAGCTGAATAGTCCCAGTCTCACGAACAAAAGCAACGGCAACCACACACCATCCGCGAGAGGAATGCTTCACTCGGCCAGTCCGAGAAGTACGCGTTTGGTCGACGACAGGACGCCCCGAAGTACAATAAACAATAGCTTGTCAGCTATTGCTGTGAAACATCCCAACAATTCAAGCATTTCAAGTTCAGTGAGGGATGACGAGAGCCTTGCGAGCTATCCTTCGGTTCCAAGCTACATGGCACCGACAGAATCCACAAGAGCTCGGTCCCGCTCCAGCAGTACTCCCAAGCAAAGGCCTGCAACTCCAGACAAAGATGCAGCGAAGAAAAGACTCTCATATCCTTTGGCTGACGGCGTTGTTCCAAACTCCGGACCTTTACGTTCTTCCAGGAACAGCGGAATCACGCAGAAGAGTCCGGGACTAAAAGGCAAGCCGGGGACAGGGATGTCTCTTCAGGATAGCATCGGCTCGGATGCTCCACTGCTGGGAGAGCACACGAAACGTTTTAGATGAAGAAGAAAAAGAAAAAAATGACGCGGTAGTGCTCGAGGTGATGCAGCCAGGAATAAAGTCTTGGGCTTGCGGAGGTGAATGCCGAGATTGGGAAATGTTTACTGTAAAGCTTCTGCTTTCTTTTACTGCTTTCCTATTTTGCTAACAGTGTGCAATTGTCATTTGTTCTTACCTTCGCTTTCTTACTTACCTCAGGTGACTAGAAGTGCTTGAACAATGGACGGTATGTATGACTGCATAATTTTGTTTTTCTTTCTGATGGGTGTGTTCTGGATCTGCAGGTTTAAAGCCTCCAGAAATTGAGCTGCTTCTTTGGCGATGTGCTAGACTTTGGAAAAGGTCGGAAGAGCTCGCGACCACCTCTGTAGCACCTGGTGTCTGCTATCTGGACGGGAGAAGCAACGGAAAACTTTGATGGACTGGAAAGTTTGGGAAGCTTCTGACGTCCAGGACTCAGGATAGGAAGCAAGTGATCATCCACCGACCCAGCCGAGAGTTGAGAGCTTCTGGACAAGGCGTCGTTGTTGCTGCTGCTGACGAAAGACAACATTCCGGAGCTCCCGGCGTTGTGATATGACACGACTTGTTTCCTTGGAGCGTCCCTGGACTTTGGAGAAGGGAACTGGAAGAGTTTTGCTCCCTTCGATCTGGAGTTTCTCAGAGAGCTGGATCTTCCCAGTGCGTCCTTGCAGCTTGTTTTGATGACACCGGGACTACGTTCTGTACATGATCCCGACTTTGTCACTGGTGAGCTCCTGTTACCTCTTGCGTTGCTTGCAAAGTTTCCGCAGTAGACTGACACAGCCTCGTTCCTGACCTGCAGCTGAGGCGCAGCGAGCTTGATTGTTTTGGAGCTTTCCTGGTGGAGCTGGAGCTCTTTCTCCATAAGTGAGACGATGGTCCCCTTGGCTCCAATTGCAACTGGTCCAGCCTTGTCGTCGATGGAGCTCTCCATAATGTTCCCACACAAAAGATACGCTTCTCTCAGCTTCTTCCACTGCTCAACTTACCGTGAGTTCCTTTCCAGTTTTTCCTGTGGATCCCCCGCTGTTGCCAGGTTTGCCCCGGCATCTACTGCTGTCTATTCCGCGGAGTGAAGAGCAGGGAGGAAACTTTCAACCAGCGGAATAATGGTGTCACAGGAAGAACACTCTCGGCAGCAAAGCAACACACTCAGCAGCAATCAAGTCCATGATAGTGGAAGTAAATGCGGAGCTGCAAGGACACACACACTCACAAGCCACAGTTCAAGCGCTCTTTTAGCTACTGATGACTGAGCTCTTTCCCGAAATGCACGCCATACCAACCAGCAACAACGAACTCTTCCGCGCTAGCCGAAAGCGAAGTGTGAGCAGAGGTCGCAGCTCTGGAGGAGGAGGAGGTGTAGAGGAATCAAATCACTCGCATTGCAGGCTTAGCTTATCGCAGCAGTGCAGGGGACAGGGTGACAGAGGCGGACAAGAAAAACAAAGCGCGCCGAGGCAAAACGAAGCACAGCGCAGCCAAGGCAAAGCGAAGCTCGAGAAATCACATGCAAAGCCTTTCGGCCCAGCGTGAAAGCGAGCTTTCTCCTTGTCGCTACTTGTGGCAGATTAAGCGGAAGATGGGATTGAATAGAAGCGAAGTTTTCAAGCACCATGGCAAGCGCTCCAAATACAGGTTGGTTTTATTTGGGGTGGAAGATTTTTCTTTGCGTGTTGCTTTGTTTATGAAGCACAAGGGCCCTGTGAATAGTGATCTCCTCTCGATTCGATTGATTAGTATCGGTATAAGTTTTCAAGGTTTTATAAAATTTTATTTTTATAAAGGTAAGCAAACTTTCTTTATTTTATCTCGTATTTTAAGTAAATATTTTGCATTGTTCACACCAGTTGCGCTTGACAAAGAAAGAAGCGTTACAGTATTAATCTATGCGTGAGAACGATGGTCAAATCGGTCAAGGCGGCGAGACAACGACCAAGAAAGACCATGCAAAGTTGGCGGCGAAGCCATGAAGGAAGTTCTTTCTTGGCTTGCTGACTTGGCAATGGTAGGTTTTTACTCTTGACGTGGCACTCGCTTTCGCGGCAAGGAGGTGAAAGGGCGTTTTGCTTGGAGAATGGCGGAGAAAGGAGGAGGTAAGCAGTGAGACGGCTAATGGCCCCGCCGCCCGGGTGTGGCGACGCAGCCATCGACAGGCACTGGTGGTGGTGGGCGAAGTGGTGGTGATTCATGGGAAGCCTTTCCCCTCGCGATCACCACCAGCAGGGCTTTCATCTTCTCGCGAACAACAGCTCCAGCGGCGGCGGCGGCGAGAGCCCCACCCAAGAATCCACCGATCGATCCAGCTACAAGAGGGACGAAAGCAAGCCGCGAGCGGAAGAGCTTGTCGAGTCTGGGCGATGCACGGATTCCAGGGCCTGCCCGTGCGTCGATTGCTTGAGCGACAACGCTGCTCAGCCCGGCCACTCCACCTTCTTCCAGGCCACCATCAATGCCTTCGTCTTGCTCATCGGTAAGCCTCTCCTCTTAACTCTTTCTCTGCAATGCATAGATCTTAGCTTTCTCTCTCTCTCTCTCTCTGGGATTGCTTCATAGATCTAGCTTCGCTCTCTATCCCTCTCGACCGATCGACCACCTTTGCTGTTGTTTGTGTTGCAGGGCTGGGAACCCTGTCGTCCGCGTACGCGGTGGAGCGGTGCGGCTTTTTGGGCCTGGCGGTGCTGTGCATCACCGCCACCTTCTTCTGGATGGGCTCCAAGCTCGTCTGCCTGTGCATGGAGCCCGACGAGAGCCTCCGCAACTACCAGGACGTGGCCGCCAAGGCCTTCCCGCGCTGGGGCCGCCTCCTCATCACCACCTTCTTCTACATCGACATTTTGGGCAGCCTCGTCGGCTACATGGTGTCCATGGGCGACACCATGCTCCTCATCTTCCCCCGCTCCCACCTCCGCGTCCTGGGATTCACCGGCAAGACCATCTTCACCTGCATCGCCTTCCTGGTCATCCTCCCCACCGTCTGGTTCCGCAAGCTCAGCACCATCTCCTACCTCTCCTTCTGGTGCGCCATTAGCATCCTCGTCACCATCGTCTGCCTCCTCGTCGCGGGCATCAAGAACAACATCGGCTTCGACCAGGACGTGGCCGTCTTCCGTCCCCGCAACGTCCCCATCGCCACCGGTGTCTACACCTTCACCTTTGGCGCCACCGCGGTTCTTCCCAACGTCTACCGCTCCATGAAGTCCCCCGGCAGATTCTCCGAGGTACTACTCCATCCACTGCCACTGCCACACAAAAACTTCCTCTAAAGTGACCATCGGTAAGTCTTTGTCTCACTAGATGCAAGCTTGAGACTGGGCTGACGAACTTTGCAGGTCCTGACGCTCAGCTTCGCCATGGCGACGCTGCTCAACGTGATCGTGGGCATAATCGGCTCCGTGATGTTTGGAGCGCAGACCAAAGCCCAGGTTCACCTCAGCATGCCGCCCAATCTCCTGGCGTCCAAGGTGGCCATCTGGGCGACGCTCATCACCCCCGTCACCCAGTTCGCGCTCTTCCTCTCTCCCATCTCGTGCGAGCTCGAGGGTGTGCTGCTGCCGCGGCTGCCGTGGAGGAGCGACTCCAGGCTCGTGCACGCCGCCTCCATGGCGCTGCGGACGGCGCTGCTGCTGGGCATCACCCTGGGCGCGCTCCTCTTCCCATACTTCGCAAACATCATCGAGCTCATCGGCTCCTCGGTGAGCGTCACGCTGTGCGTCGTCTTCCCCTGCGTCTTCTACGTCAAGATCTTCTACCGGAGCTTGATCCAGGCGCAGCAGCGGTGGAGGCTGGTGGGGATCGTGGGGATTGTCGTGGTCAGCGCGCTGGCTGGGGTCGCGGGCACCGTGGTCTCCATCCAGGACTTGGTGCGCAAGAAGAACTAGAGAATTTTGGATTGAGCAAAAAAAAAGAAAAATGCGTTGACCTTGGTGACTCGGCCGTTGACGGCATAACTGCATATGCTTAGAGAATCTTTTTTTCTTGTAACAAATGGACGACACGACACACGTCCGCTATGGATTGACAGAACAATTTTGTAGCTTTGTCTGGGTTTTGCCGAGCAGCGAGCGATGGCGGCCGCGAACGCATGCCGTGCTGCCATTGCGGCCAAGGTGGGCGGTGGCGATCCAGCTCCCGGAGCGCCCAAGATCGCTGTGGCGGTCGTAAAAAGCAAGAGCTTCAATGGGAGCTTTTCCTCCACGAAAAGGTTTGGGAGTTTCTATAGTTTCCATGGTTTTTTGAGATCGTTGTGATCTCTTCTAGGCCAAATTGCCGTGCATTGGCTTCCCAGACCGCGACGAAGATCGAGGGTAAGATTCCTTTTCTCCTTGCCGAGACGATAGAGCAATTTGTTCCTTTTTTTTTCGTGTAGGTGCCGGGGAGCCAGCAGCAGCATTGGAACTCGACTCCCTGCGAGACACGATACTTTCTCGATCCGACCTTAGCGAAACCAGCCGTCGCGCGAAGACTCCTTTCAATGTGGTGATCGTCTCGTCCGAAGCCGCGCCATACTCCAAGACTGGCGGCCTTGGCGACGTCTGCGGCTCGCTACCAGTCTCGCTTGCTCGCAGAGGCCACCGCGTCATGGTTATAACACCTCGCTACCTCAGCGCAGCGACGCAGCACTTGTACAAGGCAGCGGTCGACGCGCAGTGCCGTATCAAGGTGGGATGTTTCGGAGCCGAGCACGAAGTCGCGTTTTTCCACGAGTATCGAGCGGGTGTTGATTGGGTATGGAACTCTCTTCTTTTCTCAAGTTTTGATCAGCTCCTTTTGACAGGTTTTCGTGGATCATCCCTCGTATCATCGCCTTGGAACCCCGTACGGAGACACGCGTGGAACTTTCGGCGACAACCAAGTACGCGAGTGTTTCTCCATCGATTTTTCGAGCTGTGTTTTCTCTTGGCAGTTTCGATTCACTCTTTTGTGCCATGCCGCGTGCGAAGCTCCTCTGGTTTTGCCTCTCGGTGGCTGCGTATATGGCGATAAGTGTTTGTTCATTGCCAATGACTGGCATGCCGGTCTGGTTCCAGTGTAAGTGGTGGTATGGTTTTTCTTCCTTGTTTGCGACTTACGGGATACATAATGTAGGCTGATATCTTCCAAGTACCGTCGAAACAATGTGTACAAAGACTCCCGCTGCGTTCTTGCCATCCACAATCTCGCACATCAGGTGGATCCAAACCTCGATTTCCTGGTTTTAGTTTGAGCTGACTGACCTTGACACGCACTAGGGAGTTGAGCCATCGACAACATATGGAAACCTCGGCTTGCCTCCTGACTGGTATGGAGCATTGGAATGGGTGTTTCCAAACTGGGCGAGGGCGCATGCTCTTGACAAAGGAGAAGCTGTCAATCACTTGAAAGGTGGCATTGTTACTGCAGATCGCATCCTCACAGTCAGCCAGGTTCTCGCCTTTTGGCCTTTTCTTTCTTCAACTCTCAGGAAATTTATTTTTTTTCCGTTGCCAGGGATATGCTTGGGAGATGACCACCGCAGAGGGTGGATTCGGTTTGGACGGTCTCCTTCGTAGCAGGAACTCAGTAATTAATGGTGACACTTGACACCTTGGCCTGTTCTACTTCGATGTTTTGAGCTGGTTCTCAGAGTTTTTATCATAGCTATGTGACAGGTATAACAAACGGGATTGACGTTGATGACTGGAATCCAGCGACAGACAGGAACATCGCTTCACAGTATACACTTGACGACTTTTCGGGAAAGGTGAGGCGATAAAACGCAGAGTTCACAGGGTTCATGCTGTGGTTTTTAAGTCCAGGCTCAGTGCAAAGCGGCAATTCAAAAGGAGCTGGGGTTGGCGGTGAGGCCGGATGTCCCGCTGGTACGCAAGAAAATTCTGGAGTGTCTCTTTATCTCGAATCACTTGGTTTCACTTCACAGATTGGATTTATCGGACGTTTAGACTACCAGAAAGGTCCAGATCTTATCCAGGAAGCATTGCCAGAGCTCTTGTCCGACGACGTGCAAATGGTACACTCGGAATGATTTTTCTTACTTTCAAAGTTCATATAGTCATGTTTTGCAGATAATGCTGGGCTCTGGAGAGCCTTCTATCGAGTCGTGGATGGTGTGGGCCGAAGTGAATTACAAAGAAAAGTTTCGAGGATGGGTTGGTTTCAACGTGCCGGTTGCGCATCGGATCACTGCCGGGTAACAATTGGCCGCTGCTGTTCCTTGTTTCTCGTATTTGATTGTTGATGTTGCAGGTGTGATATCTTGCTGATGCCTTCGCGATTTGAGCCTTGTGGACTAAACCAGCTCTACGCAATGAGATATGGAACTATACCCGTCGTTCATTCAACCGGGGGCCTTCGGGTACGTGGTCGGGATCATTTTAACTCAATAACTCATCTCTTTGGTTTTTGCTGTCACTGCAGGACACAGTCGAGGGATTCAATCCATTTGCAAATGGTGGACTAGGTGCTGGGACAGGGTGAGCAAAGCTCCACATTTTCCTTTTGTTACCTAGCAAAACCAAAACGTTTGTACAGATGGACTTTTTCTCCATTGTCGAAGGACGCCATGATAGGAGTAAGTTGACATGGTTGTGTGTTGTGATCCAAATAACAATTTGCTCTTCTGTGCAGGCGTTGTTTACAGCCATTTCAACGTACAGGAACCACAAAGAGTCGTGGAATGGGATAATCAAGCGCGGCATGTCGCAGGACTTCTCGTGGGATCGAGCGGCACTGCAATACGAGCAAGTCTTTGAGTGGACGATGATGGATCCCCCTTACGCTTGATGGGTATGTTTACACACACGGCTTGATCTAATAAATCGTTTCCCTCTCGTTTCTCTCACAGATAATAAGTGTCAAGCTAGAGCTAGAATCTGGGAACTCTCATTCTTCCTCGAGGTTTATGGAGTCCTTGAACTTGGCGTAGAGCACCCGCTTGAGCTCGTTCATCTTGGACACAACCTCGTCCTTCTCCTCCGCCAGCCTCCCCAGCTCTCGATCGCTCTCCTCCTTGAGGCACTCGAGCTTGCTCTCAATCTCCTCCTTGCTCAGGTGCCCAAACACCTCGCCAATCTGGTAGCGCACAACCTCCTCGTCGCTCAGCACCAGCTCGTTGCTGGCGTCCTCGAGATTCTCCGCCAGCTCCTGGTTGCGCAACCAACATTCTCTCAAAACCGCGACGAGAGCAAGCAAGAGTTACGTGCCTTTTTCGCCTTGATCTCGTCCTCGAGGTCGTGGAACTTGGCGTTGAGTCGCCCAAACGCGTTGATGTTCTGCTGATCCTCCCATGTCACCTCCGTCTCCACGCCCTCCCCCTGCCACGCCAGAGAAAGGATGAAACCAGCGCTCGAGCCACAGCGCTACTTGCCTGCTGCATCGCTTTTGCCCTAAATGGGTATTCTTTTTAGGGCATAAATTATATTATGATTACATATATAATTTAATAAGTTACAAAATACAAATGATTAATTATGTAAATATCTTTTTAGCCTTTTTGGAAAATTATAATAATTATAAATATTTTTTGACCACCAGGCTACTTTGATTCATAAATAAATAAATTACAATCGATTTGAATAATAAGCAATATTAATTGATAACAATCCTTACAAAACTTATTTATATTCCTTTAAATTCATTGTCCAAGTTCACAATTATATATTATCAAATTACCATTGTTTATTAAATTAACTAGACAGTGTTCATAGTTGTTATTATATAATAAATATTTTTGCATTTCAAGCTTAAATATAAAAATATTTTTACCTTTTGGAGAAACTAAAAATACACCTAAATATGTTAATAGTAGGTTTAATGAATTCTTTTATCATAAATAAAACATAAATAAATTTTTATATCAATTTACAGAGATGGCAATATTAATAATATGCATAGATTTACATTATGTTTTACAATATATTACATTTATTGCATATTTGTGAACTATGTTTATTGTGATATACACATTAAAAATGGTTCTACATGATTCTATTTGCGTAAACTATATTTATATTAATTGTGAATAAAATGTGAACTATTGCAATTGTAAATATGGCGTATTGCAAACTAACACACACACACACACACACACAGATATATATATATGACAATATACATAAACTATTATTAACAAACTAAATCTCTAAATATATTTGCATCAATTTACAAAGATACTTTAAGTAGACAAAAATATTTTCAAATATGAATATTTATTATTTTTGTCTAATTAAAGTATGTTTGTAGTTTCTTCAGATCATTTTTGAGTTATCTTTAGGTTTATATGATTAAATTAAAATTTAAAAACAGTGAATTTGTGTATATCACAATGATGGATCCGCCTACACAGCTTGATCTAATAATTTTCGTTTTCTTCACAGCTAGTGTCAAAATTGAGGGAACTCTAATGTAAACCAGTCCTCATCGCTCAGCACCCGTTGCTCGCGTCCTAGAGATTCCTTTTGCCTTGAGCTCGTGGAACTTGGTTTTAAGTCTGCTGATCCTCCCATGTCACCTCCGTCTCCAAGCCCTCCGGATGAAAAACCAGCTCGCAGCCGCCCTTAAAAAGAATGACCCGGCATAAACTAATCCAGGCAATTGCGCTTTCGTTTCTTGGAATGCCAACTCATGTGTCCAATGCACTGCCTGCTCTCCATGAACTTCTTCCTGCACGTCACGCATTCGAACGCGCCACCACCTTCCACGGCCTCCAAGCTCTTGAGCTCCCGGATCTTCTCTCCCAGCTCCAAGTTGGCCATCACATACTTCGAAGCCGCCCCGAAAGTGGGCCACGACGTGCCATCCGGGCTGTAGAGGAGAAGCTAGTTTACTTACAAGCGATGGAAGCGATCGAGCAAACACTTCCTACCTTCGAAAGTCGCGGAATGCCAAGAAGTAGCGCCCCTGATCCTTGCGCAGCCCTGCCACCACGGACCATCCCTCGGGGAGGCCCTTGGCCGCCACCACCTTCTCGCGTTTCGCCGGCGAGATCCAAGTTCCTCGCATCCGGAGAATGTGCTCCGCCAGGGCCGCCGCTTCCTCTTCCATAATGACTTGCCCTAGGATCAAAGAGTGTCCAAATTTAGAACGCGGAATATGCCACTGACAGTTAACGTCCGTACCGCGTAGGATCAACCGTACGCGTTCTATCACATGAGCCGGAAGAGCAGGGTGGATTGGCTGGCCTCCACCCTGCGATCGTGTTCCAGCGCCCGGGATCTGGCCAGGGGGAGAGAGATCCACTCGCGGATCCTCGCCAGCGACGAGGACAGGGGCAGCGTCTACCTCGCCAATCTCCTCGTCCAGATGTATGGCAAATGCGGGAGCGTGGAGGAGGCCCAGTCGGCGTTCGACGCCATCGCGCAGCCCAATCGCTTCTCCTGGAACATCCTCCTCCAGGCGTATGCCCACAACGGGCACCACGACCGCGCGCGCGAGATCTTCGATCGCGTCGCGTCGCCCAACTCGGTGTGCTGCACGAGCATGATCGCCATGTACGCGCAGCTCGGGCGAGTCGGCGACGCGCAGGCGGTCTTCGATCGCCTGCCCGGCCCGGACTTCGTCGCCTGGAACGCGCTCCTCGCGGCATATGCCTCGAACGGGCATTTGCAGCGGGCGGTGGAGGTGTTCGCGAGGATGGGCGAGCACAGCGTCGTGTCGTGGACCACGCTGCTCCAGGCCTACGCCCTCTCCGGCCGGATCGACGAGGCCGGGCGCGTCTTCGACGCCATGCCGGAGAGGAACGCCATCTCGTGGAACGCGATGCTCGCCACCCAATGCCGCGGCGACGACCTCGAGCGATCCAAGGCGATTTTCGACGCCATGCCGCTGTGGAGCGCGCGATCCTGCAACTGTATGATCACTGCGCTCTCAGACGCCGGCTGCGCCGATCTCGCGCAGTCCCTCTTCGAATCCATGCCCGAGAGGACGACGGTGTCGTGGAACGCGCTCATCGCCGCATTCGCCATGGCCGGGCGGGCCGGCGACGCGAGGGCGTGCTTCGACGCCATGGCGGAGGAGAGGAACCTGGCGACCTGGAACTCGCTCCTGCTAGGGCTCGTCCAGGCGGATGATCGCCTCCACGACGCGCGGGGGATATTCGACAGGATGCCGCGGCGGGACGTGGTGGCATATACCACCGTGATGTCGGGATATGCCCGCGCGGGAGATTTGAACGAGGCTGGGGCGGTGTTCGATTCCATGCCCGAGCGGGACACGGTGGCCGGGACGAAGCTGATGGCGGCATATTCCCAGAACGGGCGTGTGGACAGCGCGGAGATCCTCTTCCGTACCATGCCCGCCCGGGACATTGTCTCCTGGAACACACTGATTGGGGGGTACGGACAGAACGCCAGGGCCGACGACGCGCGGTCGGTCTTCGATCGGATGCCCGCGCGGAGCAGCGTCTCCTGGAACGCGATGATCGCGGCGCTGGCGCAGGTTGGCCGGTGCGGCGAGGCGCGGGCTGTCTTCGGATCGATGCCGGGGAGGGATTCCCTGTCTTGGAACGGGATAATCTCGGGCTACTCTAGCTCCAGCGATGGCCGCCGCGGCGCGATCGATGCGCTCCGGAGCATGGCGCTGGACGGATCGCGGCCGGACAGGGTCACGTTCTTGGCTGTTCTTGGCGCTTGCACAAGCTCGGGGTCGCTGGGCGAGGCGCTAGAAATATTTGGGTTGATCCGGGATCACGGCCTGGATCCGGCCCCGGAGCACTTCTCGTGCGTGGTGGACACGCTGGGGCGATCGGGGCGGCTCCGCGAGACGCAGGATCTGATTGAGCAGATGCCCGATTTGCCGAGCCAGTCGCAGTGGGCAAGCCTGCTCAGCTCGTGTACCATCCACCGCGACGTCAAGCTCGGCGAGATCGCGGCAAGGAGAGTGTCGGAGAACGCATCGGAGGCAGGCGCGGCACGGATTTCTCTGAGGAACATCTACGCGGTGGCTGCCACTTCTCTCCAATCACAGTAACATTTAGATGACAATGGAGTCTCGGCTGCCGCTTCAAGGTATTAAGCAAGCACAAGAATCCATGGACGATCAAGGAGACAAGGACTGACATCAGTAATGCACCAAGTGAGCTCTCATATTTGGACAAAAGAAGCTCCTGGCTCCTTTGCCATGATGGAGTTTTAAAACTTTTGCAAACGTGAGTGCAAAATGCCAACACGGAGCTTTCTGCCATGAAATGCCATGTACATGGTTATGTTATTCAAAGCATCATGTTGAAAATACTTCAGTTGCTCAGAACTTCCCATAGTTGGCTCATCAACTTTGTTAGAAACTTTGAGTCTCCTGTTTTCTAATCACTATAATCTTGCAGGTTTGATTGCTTTCAAAGTGTTAACAATTGAAAGAGATTTTAACCAACAAGGCCCCCCAGAAAATACACGAGGATGAGCATTGCCAACTCAACACGAGATTGCCAACTCGATGCAGGATCGGGAGCGGATACAGCAAGCAGTGAGGAAGCCCTGGAAGGCAACAGGTTTCACGGCCATACTTACGTGATATTGGAGATCCGGATGCACAACCATGAGGGTTCAACCTCTTGCTCACGCGGGTACATCTTGGCTTGCACTCGGTGGCCAGCATAGTTGGTGTATTCTTTCCCAGTGCCGCACCTTGTTAGTTCCTCGGGAACAGGGAACATGCTTTTTACCAGGGTGATATCCTGGTCAGTGAGTGCTCTTCAGAACAAGGCGTGGTGTGTTGCCATCTCACTTTTTTGTGTAAATTTTTTTTATTAGGTAGCAGTTTTTTAATTAAAGTGTGTGATATATTAAGTTCTGCTCAAATGTGAGTAATCAACCAATGCTTTTGTGCAAACAAATCAAAAAAGAATAAGCATTTAGCATAGAGGCACATGGTGAAGGCTACAGAAATAGCAAGCATGTGGGGGATTTTATTTAATCATTCCTTTTTCAAGTCCTAGGTAGCAAAGTGTCTTTTAAAATTATCAATAATTCTAGTTGAAGGGGCAGTGTGGTTTTCATCTGTTTTTGAGTGCTCTGAAATAAAGAAAAATCTCAGTTACAACATTTCACATGAAGTGCAGGTTGTCATTTTATATTGAGTGAGGATTTCCATGCAAGATATAAGTTTGATTTTTTTTCCTTTTCTTCCTAATATACCACGATGCATATCATTACTGCATTTACAATTAGTGCACTTATTCATTTAATCATAGTACTTAAGGCAATGAGAATTTTGGTGATTACACCCTCAATTGATGTAGGAGGAAATAACTACATGTATAATGGTGATGGGCAGCAAAGCCTATTCTTCACTAGCTTTTGGTCAAGGAGATAACTTCATGGGTGTGAGAAGATAATATGATTTATCAATTTTATTTTGTGATATAATGAAATAGCTTAGAGAGTTCAACTTCAAGAGCATAAACATCCTATAATGGGAAATACTAAAAAATAGCAAAAATGGTATACATCCCTACTGATTCAAGTCCATTGCTTTTTGCAAACTAATACTAAGTAAAGATTGTAAGGATACTATTGTTTGAACATGTTAATCACAATAACAAAGAAGGCTTTTAACTTTTAAGGTACTATTTTCCATTGCATTATAGTTAGTATGCAGACTGATGTAATAAAAGTCATTAGGGTGCTTACTTTGAATAGGTACTTTGTTTATCAAGTTAGTAGTTTTTCTCTCTTCTTTTGTTTTCAACTTAAGGTCAGTGGCATAAAAAGAAAATGAAAAATACTCATGGAAAGGCCACCAAGCATCTTACACATGAGGTTCATCTCTTAATGTTTTTCTCTCTTTCAGGCTGCGACGTCCCCCATGCAGGAATGCCACGGTAGACTTCTAGATGAAGGATAAGGAGGAACACTGAGTCTGACCTGCCAGCCACAATACAAAACGTGCATCTCCTGCAGCTCAGAGCCAACCTGCCTGCCACATAGGCATTGACCTGGCCATCCAGGTGGCATGGATAAGGCACAGCTGCCACGTGGAATATTTCTAGAGGTCCGGCTAGATATTGTCTCGTGTTAATTGAGGCAATTCCTAAAGTCTTGAGACATTCAATAATATGTACCATAGGTTGTTATACCTTCCACAAGGGTCTATGTACGAACTGTTGTTTGTTCTAAATTTTCAGATTTTCCTTGTTAATTAATGTATTAAGGCATTCTGGAGTTCTCTGTAAGAAGGATATATAAGAATGCAACACCAAGTGAAAATCATAACACAATGGCTTCCCGTCTCTCTTTCTACTTTGCTCTTGCTGTTCTTCTGGCCACTGTGGTGGATGCTTCGAATTCCATTTCTTCGACATCAGATGAGGCTGTGAGCATCTCTAAGTCACTGTTTGCATGGTGGAAGCTGGATGAGAAGATAGGCTACCTGGTCGCAGACTCGTCTGGGAACAAGGCAACTGGGCTTGTGAAGCAGGCCGAGTCCCAACTTGCTCACACAACTGATGGTATTGTGTTTGATGGTGCAACATACATTTTCATGGGCACCACGCCCTCTCTCTCTGGGCAGACTGATTTTGCTGTTCATGCTTGGGTGAAGGTCCCACCCCACATCAAGCAGCAACTGTGCATCATCCAGCAACGCTCTGATATCTATGGTGAGTGGTGGCTATGGATCCTCAATGGCAATCTATGGTTTACGGTGTACAATCGTGAGTACCAGTTCAACATTAAGGGAACAGTGCCAGTCACTGATGGAACTTGGCACCATGTTGCTGCAGTCCGAAATGGCACTGTTGGGTCTATCTACGTTGATTCTAAACTTGATAAGTCACAGAACGGCTCCAAGATAGTCAACCTCAATTCCAGCCTACCTGTCTTCATTGGTTATGACCCCCGTGACAACAAACGCTACTTTCATGGTGAACTCAAGGAGGTTCAGATCTTCAGTGCTGCTGTTGTGCCTGTGGGCTTCAACCCAATGTCTAGCTATGGAATCATGTAAGCTTATGTTCCTCTGACATGGATTCATATACGTAAATAAAGAGGAGCTGGTTTGTTATATTCTATGAAGTATGGAGTGCTTCTTATGAATTGAATGTAGAATATACATTTCTCTAGTGTCCATAGTTCCACAATCCAACAAAGATGTATGGACAGAGTGGCAGCATTCAACATGCGTGACAGTGCTTTGCCAGAATTCAGCATCTGAGTGTTGTTTCAGGGAATGGCATGCTCGTAGCGCTTGCCTGGAATGGGCATTTGCAGCAGGCAATGATGCAACTGCAATGCTTGGACAACAGTATTATCGATCTACTCGCTGAATAGGTACTTTGAGGATATGTTGAAAAGTCCAAACTAGGAAGATGTTGCTACTTTACCTAGTAGTAGGACAATTGACTTGCATGGGTTTAGCCCATGTATTTGCTGTAGCAAGAACTCTCAGTAGTGAGAAAAGTGAGTTAAGTTTTGTACAAGTACATATTGTCACATTTAGACTTTATGCAAGTAAGAGAATTATTGCACCACAAGTTTATGATCACAATGGTGATATCTCATTATGCAACAGTTGAGGATTTTAGACTTGGAGGATGAGAATGTGTTTTGGACCAGGTTTCCACCACCAAAAGGTGGCACATAGTGTTCACATAGAGAAAAGATCACTCATGAGAGAGAATTACAACCCACTACCATTGCTAGGGGAAGCATTATTGCTTTGAAATGTTTCTAATATATAGTCTAAAATTTAAATATAAAATAAAATTTGGAGTAACTTTAAGAGTTAGTATTATAATAATTTAAGAATTAGATAACTTTTTAATAATTTTACATCAAGTTTAAATTCTCCATATTTATATCTAATGTTTAAATATAAATATTACCGGATATATCAAGTTTTAAACTTGTATCCTTGTATTAATTTGATAGATTGAAGGTAATGGATAATTTTATATAGTTGTGGATGTGATACACAAGACCAAGTTCATCAATCTAACAAAGATTCAACAAACAATTTTCTTTCTTCTGATGCCAATTCTAAATTTTTGAATTTAAACTTTTTGGAGGTCACTCAACTTAGTATTATTCAAATCCAAGGATATTTAACCCTAAATATCCTAAGACTTGGTGGGTGGACTCTTTGTTTATGGGTCATTTCCTTCTCTCAAGTTATTCTCTTTATTTTATTATATTTAAATAGAAAAAATTGTTAATTTGAAAAATAAACAATACCATATTTCATAACTCCACCACTTTGAGAGTTGTCCATGCTTCACATAATACCTTATAATACTTTAGCTACTCTCAAATACCAATAGTACTAATACCTTATTCTTTACTATATATAAAGGAAGCAAACTTTTTATAACAAGAAGTGGTCAAACAACCATCAATCTAAAGCACAATTGGTTATATTGCCACTAAACAACACAATCCATGTTTTTGTGTTGTCTAGTGGCATATATAGATCTTTGCCACCAAAAAAGTTGCATTGCCCTTTGGGCTTAGGACAACTTCTTAGAGAAGAACACACAATTATACACATTACCCTCTAAGTGTAGACAACTTCTTGGAGAAGAATATGTAGTTACACAATAGCAAGCCTTGCTACTGATTTCAGTGCCTTGCTGATCTTGAAATTGTTTATATTAATGTAAGGTGGAGGAAGAAGCCAAACTTAAGGTCCTGGTTTTATTCACAAAATCCATAGTAATATACAAATAAAATTTAAAGGCAAAGTAATTATAATGGTACATACTCATTCTCACAATCTGATGATGCTTGCAAACCTCTCTAAACTCAAGAAAAGGGGGGTCACCATGAGCAAGAACACTAAAGGCCTACTTAATGGTTACTTGATGTAATTAGTATGCCTTTTTGGAACTTCAGTAGATCATAGAGCTCCTTATGCCTTTAGTTAAGAAAACAATGAAGAGAGAACTCTTAACAACCTTATTGTCTTGTGTTAGAAGTAAGATAAATTAAATGGTAGACTGCAACTCTTCTTGATGACACATTGTTTGGTTTGTGATCATAAAAAATTATATATGCCCTCCTGATGAGAGACTTATGAACAACCTCTACAATGAACTTGGCAAGCCTACTTTTGAGCATCTTCTTGTCTATGAGTTTAATTTAGTTGAGGCAATGATTACAAAGTAGGATTCACTCCTTCTAATTCTAATAAGTCAGTTTGCTCCAGAAGGGGTGAGTCCAAAGTGTGGACACTACTTGGCCATCACAAATCTTTGTTCTTGGTTTGTTTCTAGATCTCAACCACAAAGAAACTACTTATCTTTATGAATCTTCGGAGGAAAATATTTTCACCCCAATTTCTTGAAAATATGAGCTAACAAATCTTTGCAGAAGGTTGTCAAATCTGTGTTGTCTAATGTAATAATGATGCTGAATAAAAACCTTTGAAAGCAAATAAAACTATAGTTTATTAATGGCTATGACAATAGATTGGGAATGAGGAAATAAAAACAATAAATAGATCTTCAAAGTATCGTGAAAAGAGAAGAGTAGCATTTCCTCCATCACAATGCATCTCAGCTCGATCCAAAAGCCTGTGCTCTTGGCATGAAGTAATGGGAGTAATATATGTATGTATGTATATATGTATTAGGAAAAAATATCTATATTATATTTCTTGAAAGGTTCTATTCAAAGGATTGAGACTAATTTGTAGATTGAAAGGTAAGCACTGCCCAGCAGCCTAAGCCTCATCAACTTTGTTAGAAATGTTGAGCAATGTTCTCTCTTGCTTTCTCACTATAGCAGCTTCTTGCAAGTTTGATTGCTTGTAAAGTGTTGCATTTTTGTAAGCTTGATCTAAAGCTAGGGGTGGAACTTTTGCTTGTTTAATTACTTGTGTTGTAAATTTTAGGACATGTATGCTACAGCCTAGAAATTTCATGAATTCAAAGATGTACATCAGCAAGGAAGACATATTAGCGAGAAGAGGCACTCTAGATTGATTTCAAGGAGTAGGCTATAAAGATGGTTTGTTCTCTTGTTTTTTGAATATAAGAGTTTGCAAAAAGAGATGCACATTTACCTAGACCTTCAAATTAAATCTGTATGAGTGTTTCTTGTTTCTCTTGTCACGTGTCTTCCAGACCATGGCAAAAAGCACAGTAACTAAAAAAAAGAAAAAATTAAACACCATCAAGCTTGTGGGTTATTATTTAAAAAATAGATTATAGGTAATAGCAATGATTTCTTTAGAAAATATTTTAATTATTTTTAACTTTAAAACTTAAAGGTGGTAATAACTGAAGACTAAATATAAAATTGAAACTAAATTAATAATTTTCTGTGCATCAACACTTGGTTTGCTTAATAGTAGTGTTATTCCTATTTATTAATATAATTAATCAAATGGAAGTTTTTAATTATAAATATGTTCATAATTTTTAAACACAAGATTAATCTTATTGAATACTAATCTTAGAATATCCAAGAATATTATAGGTATATCCACTACCCCTCGTAGAATATACTTAGATATCAAGGCAGAAAACAGTTTAACTTTATAACCTAAACTATTTACATTTAAAATAAAAAAGACTTTGGTTTTTTAAAAAAGATAAAAAATTATAAATATGTTTATATCATCATCATCATCATCATCAGATGAGGAAATTCAGTGGTTACACTCGCTCAGGAAATATTTTCACAAAGAATCTGACACCAAAAAGGAGTAGATTAATCTAATGTGAGGTCAGCAAAAACTCAATATCTCTTTCTTGTGATTATGGCTCCTAGAAGTTTCAAGCAACATAACAGATGTTAATAGCACCAAGTGAGTTTTCCTGCCGTATTATCTACATGTTGGTCCAGGTCGAATGCTGTGGTGAGAAGCACGTTACTGCGGTTGCGGCACACTGCTCCCAGCACTCCCCTTATCTTGATGCTAGTCTGCTCAATCTCCACCATCTCAAATCTTCCGCAACTTCTGGCAAAGCCCTCCCCTACCACCATAACTCCATTTTCGTTCCCAATGTGGGGATTAAGCGGGAGGTACGTCCAAACGCGAGGGTTTGGCAGGCACTTGGAGTAGAGGAAGCTGAAGGACATATACGTTTGATTGCATGTAAGCGAGAAGAAGCCGCAACTCTGGACAATTGCACATGATATTCGTTCTATTCTTCTCTTTTAAAGCACATTTGAGCTTTACCTTTGCGAGTGAGATGAACATAAGTGGTAGCAGTGCAAATTGATACCTCCAGCAAAAAATTGGACCCATGGTTTCTTTTTTCTTTTTTGCATAGAACGAAGTTATGTAGCCCAACCCCTAGCAAAAAGACAATGAGCTTAATCCGTCGTTTTCCCATAGCTTTGCGCTTTATACTTTCGGTCCACAAGGCATTTCTTCCTTGCAAACCCGGCATCTGGCGTCACGACCATGCACTTCTGAGAATCGGTACACCTCTCACGCAAAGCAGACATTACAAAAAATTTGATGATTATTAAGTGTGGCTAGAAAATGTGTCTTCTTCATCGTCCACAGAGAAAGAACTAGGTCGATTCTCCTGCCAGCAAAAGAAGCCGGTTTAATCACTTGCGCTTCTCCAGATTGCTGGAGCTTGTAGCTTCAAACAGTTTTGAGAAACATGAAAAACAAAGAGTTCCTAACGACACTCAAAAGTTCACAGAATTAAAACCAAGAACAAACCAAAAGCAAACGAGAAACCACAAGAAAAATGCCAACAGAGGAGGAGAAGAGAGGAAACTTACCAGCATTACGAGGCCAAGGCTTCGTCGCCGGCAGCCGCGGCGGCAGGCTGGGGGATCTTGAGACCCACCTTGGCCTCCTGCTTCTCCTTCTCCATCTCCATCTCCAGCTGCTGCATCTTCCACACCCGCGCGAGATAGAGGTAGTACTGGCACTTTTCGAAGCTGTGGCGGAGCTCCACGCATCGCCACGGCAGGTAGTAGTTCTGCTGCCGGCACTTGTTGAGCGGGATGAGCCTGTGCGCGCATTGATCCCGCCACTCGAGCGGCACCCGCGCGCGCTCCATCTCCTTGTTGCTCGCCTTCATCTTGAGCAGATACTCGTAGCTCGCCTTGGATTCGTCCACAAAGCGCTCATCTTCTTCGTGCAGCACCTCCCCCTCCTCGCCCCCCATTCGCTCCCTACTCTCTGCCCTAAAACCCCAACCAATAGGGAAGAGAGAGAGAGAGAGAGGTTTCAAACACTTCCAGCCGTCGATTCGAATGTTCTTTTTCACTATTTCTCCTTTCACGGGGAATCTCCACCGTTTGTTTGTTTTTACATCCGCTCTGCGAAGAGAGTAAACCATGGACTTTTAAAACACTTGAAAACCATGGAACTTACTTGCCCCCTCTTCGCGGCGAAGTTTTTTTTTTTTCTCAGCGGAGTAGCGCCCAGAAAAAAAAACAGCATCGATCCATTTCTTCCTGTGATACGTACGTGAATACATGGAAGCATTGTATGAAGATCAAGACGGTGATTGAAAAGGAGTATCTTACCTCCTGTGTCTCTTGTGCAAAAGCCACGCCCTGCCAGCACTGGTGGTCTCATTCGCTACGAGGAACTGTGGTAAAAAGAATAGCTTGGCAGTCGCGTGGAGCAAAGTGTGTCTCGCCTGTGCACAGAGGCTCTTAAACAGTGAGACTAGAAAACGAAGCATCTCGAGTACCTAAGTGTTAGTCTGGTGTTCATCTCTGCGTTGCTTTGTCCACCTCAGCTCGTGGCACTGCTCGAGCCATCCTGCGCTCGTTGCTTTAGTAGCTCCATGAGAGCAGCCCTGCGTCGTGACTCCGCCTGCTGTTGCGAGCGTCTCCCATGCTCTTTCAAGTCCCTGGACAGATTACGCGCGTAAATAACGTCCTTCTCAGACCAAACGCGATCAAGAGACTTACTTGCAGCGAGGAACCCGGCAGTCCGACTCCTTGCACGACCGAGCATGGAGTTGCAAGAGGTGCCACATCAACTTGCAGTGACGGCATCCTCCAGAGGCCCTCGTCTTACATACCGTCCCGTGTCTAAACAAGTTTTTCACCTTCCGACACTTCGGATACTGGCATTGGAAAGAACAGCACTGAGACGAGTGAATCAGGAGCTGCACAATTTTCCGGAGCTGCCAATACACACAGAAAAGATAACTTAGACGAGAAACAACAAACAACAAGGCCAGCACAAACCTGTACAACGCGTTGTTGCCGAGCTTCTTTATTCTGTGCATTCCGTTCGGCTACTGATAGCTGGGGTTTGAGCTTATGTGGGTGCTTTGGTAGCTCCTTGTGATAGCAGGCCGCACAGAGGTCAAAATCAGCGCACGTATCGCACCGCCAGCCCTTTCCCGTTTCAATATCTTGGTTGCAAATATTGCAGGAAGTCACGAACGCTGGAGCTGTAGGATTATGTAGGTGATAAAGCACCATCATAGAAGAATGCTTGGCACGTCTTAATGTATCGTGCTGGTAGTGGTTGCCTTGGCACAGGCTCAAGAACGCTTGTCTAGTATCAAAAAACTCACTTTCCATAATCTCGTCTTTATCTTCGGTTTCTGCGGGTATATCATTGACCTCGACCTGCGTGGATAAGACAGTTCAGGGACTGCTAGAGACGGGACCATACATACCGCAAATAACTCATGAGTTTCCCTGCTGTTCCACGGGTGCCTGTCTTTTTCATCCCTCTTCTGGTCGGCAACATAACACCTGAAAGCCATTGCATCACAAGATCATTCTTTGGAAAGTCGAGAGATTGTTAATCAACCTGTTGCACAGGTGGAAGTTCTTGCATTGTTTGCAAACCCAGCGACACTCCGAAGTGATAAAGAGACGGCAGTGCCGGCAAGAATGATGCATGTGGACCAAAATAAAGTCCTCCTTTAGAGGTGATATTGCTTGTCCAAGCTGTCATAAAACAAAACATGTTTAGAAATAAAGTTGGAACCAATACACTTACCTTGTGCATCAGTTGCAAGTCCTTTGAAGCATTGCTAGAGGGCTCGGATTGAGCTCCAATTCTCTTTGCAACACCTTTCTTGCTTATTCCCTTCTTGTGAAGCCTTCGTTTATCCTCCTCGTCCTGGTGAAGCTGTAGCAGAACTTCTTCTGCCGCCCCAGGCCAATAATCCCCGTCAAAATAAGGAAGTCGTGCAGCAGTTACGTGAGCCTTGCACTCGTCAGGAGAAATAAAAAAGTAATCGTAGAAGTTTGTTAACTCCACAACAATGTTCTCTTTTGTCGCTTTGCCGAGCATTGCAAGGTACCTGTAAAACATATACACTTCAAGCAAATGATGCTCATGAAGCATCTCACCATTCTCGGAGTTTATCCGACTTAGGTGTCTTTTGGATCTCCGGATGGCAATACAGTATATAGTCTTCTCCTCGAAGAGGTGGACAAGCCCAAATATAACAGCTACCGAAACCTCTTCTTTTACAATATTCCAGATATCCAATCTGCAAATACAAAACTTGTTAACCTGCATCATCAAACAATTACAAACGAAGTACCAGGATTTCGTGATAAACAAATGTTCGAAGAGCTTCACCCGTAACGGTTTTCACTTCGGGCCGAAAATACTTGACAGAGTCCAAGTAAGCAATATAAAGCCGACGATTGTTCGGTTCAGGGCATTCAGCACCAAACTCCTGTACGTACATCCCAAATAGACACACCTCGACTCCTTCAATTCTTTGAAAGAGTAATACCACCTAAGAAAGACAGGAGATTAGCCAGCACGCAAGTATATGGCGGGCGGATACCTTCGACTTGTAAAGGTATTCACTGGGATAATTGCTGTCTTTAAATATTTCCAGAAATCGCTGCTTCACCTCAAGCTTTTTGTCGACAGATGATACTACTCTCACAACTAAACCTTCAGCTCCAGGGACCTATAAGAACAAACAGTCAAAAGCAAGTAAAAAAGAAGCACGAATACCTCTTCAAAACTTTTCCCTTGTGCTTCGGCGCGGTCAGCTCTTTCCTTCCTCAAACTGCGTGCCAATCTCTGCTCTAGATGGTCACTCAGTAACGTTTTCGGCAGGTCTTTGGCACCTAAAACGGCTGTTAAGGGAAGAGGAGTTCTATCCCCACTTTCCATGTCGTTCAGCAGACAATAGGGGCAAATAAATTCCGTGTCACCACCTTCATTTCTTCTACCATTAAATAAGGCACAGATTTGATGCTGCCATACATTGCACTTGTCACATTGAACCCACTGCATAAACCATACAAGTCGGACGTTTCAAGGAAAGAGAAAAAATATAGAAGTAAAAAAAAAAAAACACATACCGCCTCTTCTGTTTCTTCATCGTTTTTCTTCTTTTCCAATTTCGACTTGGGATAAAGCTGACCATCAAGGCCAACTGTATCAGCAGGGCTGGCATTGTAGCAGGGAATGCAAAAGTAGTGCCTAGTTTCGCCAGAACCTGCAGTGTAGTATACCGAGTTCCTCTTCAAACGAACTCCACAGGTTGTGCAATACAAAGGTGGCGGTTCGAAGGTAAGTCTCTCGACAGCACATATACGACAAGCATTTTCGCTGGGTTGCTGTTCCATTGCTTGATGCTTTTCAGCCTTTGCCTTACTCTGTAATGGTTCGAAAGAGTTAGAAAAGAAAACTTCAAACGGGAACGAACCTGTCCTGTCCATAACCGAATGCTGCAAAAGTGCTCTAAAATCTGCTCCTTAGAGAAAAGCTCTAGGAGAGAGATGCCAACGACTTTCGACTTCCCGGACTTGAGCGACACATTATTCGACGAATGCCCAACCTCTTCCTTGATGGCGACTAATGCCGAACTCTCCATAGACGGGCCAGCTTCCAGCATGCCATCATCTTGCCCATCAGGCAACACACAAGGCTTCACGTCCACTTGCTGCGCGACAATGGGACCTTTTCCTTTGCAAATGCCGGCGCTCTTCACCTGAGCAGTAGTACCAGGCTCGACTTTGATCTTCTTAGGAAATGGAGGACCACAGTCACTGCCTGCTCCAACTCCACCGTAGCTCTGAATGTCGACTTCTTCCTTGACCCTCTTAGCAGCCACTTGAGTCTCTTCGGTGCAGGTCGAAGCGGTAACAGCGCTCGACGAAGCAGCGGCGATCGTTGCTGCCTGCGCAGCTGCTCGTGCAAGTCGTCGAGCCGGAGCACACAATGCACACTGGAGGTTTTCGCACTGAGAATGGTGGCGGAGCAGCGCCCGAACGACTTGGCAGTGACTCGACTGGCAAGCGGTCTCCCGGCACTTGGTCGCATGCCTCAAAACCTGTTGTACGTAGTGGCATCGGGAGTTGAAATTGCACTGTCCTTCCGGAGCGGTACACTTGTTTGCATGGCGTAATAAACATAGCCAGTGCTGCTGCCTCCTCAACATCTCCTTTTTGTCGCCTGACATCCCATTAGCAGTACCGTCCCCAGGCTTCAATCCATTCTGTAAGCTGTCTTGGGCAGTGGCAACCCCGTTTTGTACGCGGACCACATCAGCCTTTTTCTGGTTCTGGTTTGGAGTCTTTTTCTGCTCTTGCAATGTAGTCGCTTCTGACTGTCGCTGTTGCAACTGAGACGGCAGACCAGGTACTGGAATCATTTTCGAAGACTGGCTGCTGGGTATTTCCCCATTGAGTGACTTGTGTATTTGGAAGCCTTCACCTGGGACATGCCGCCGTCAGCAAATCTATACAAAAAGTTGAAAGATAAAGAACTTACGTTGGATCTGTCCCTGGCCGAAATAGCTGGACGACGAGTGCATTGCGTTCCCATTCAAAGAATACTGACCTCCGTTCCCAATGAAGGGACTATCTAACCTCCCATTTACAAGCGACGGGTGCATTTGAGCCGAGGTGACCATGTTGGAGCCCTGTTGCACCATCCGCACCCCGCCAGCTCCCGAGTGAGAAACCAAAGAATTCGAGGGCGCCGTCGACACGGCTAAGTTGTTCCTACGAGAGCCGGGCATTGCAAACTGCCCCGGCGCTCCGGAGAAGGACGCTGGACTGGTAGCCAGGCCGGGAGTCGGGATCATAGTAGCTGCGCCGGGCGTTGGAATCATGGTAGCCGTGTTCCTAGAGTTAGCTGCCGTGTTCCTCCCGGCAGAAATCCGCTTGGCTACCGACTGGATCCGTTTCTCCAGTGTGTTCATATCATTGTACTCCTCCTGTAGTGATGCTCTCGATCAGTCACGAACAAGAGAAAAGTGTAACCAACCTTGGACGCGGCGTCGCGATATAAACCCTCCTCGAGCCTCCTCACCATCTCGGGCAACCTTTGCTGGTACTCGGCAGTAGAGTTGTTCTTCTGGAAGAGCTTCAAGCTGGGTAGCAACAAGAGGAAGAGAGTCAAAACCAGGGAGAAAACTTACATTGATGGCGTGATGGAAGCGGAGGGAGCCTTCCATTCCATGCAACAGGCAAATGGACGCGATGATACGAGCTAGCCTTTACCCTAAAAGACAAAAGGGGATTGCGATTTCTTACACATGAGCGATCACGAGCCTGCGGTCGGGCACATCGTCGCCCTCGGCGTGCCAGGACGCGCGATTGCGGCTGGAGCTGGCAATGTGCTGATGCCCCGGGGGCTGGCCCTGCGTCTGGTGCTGCATATTCATAGCTCAGCTACTGGGGCATTGAGCGATCGAGCAGCGGCGCATTGAGGTGGAGCGAATCGACTAGCACCGGCTACTCCTGCTGCTGCTGCCGGAATCCCATGGCGCGCTCCTCCACAGACCCTAAGAACAGAGCGCCATAGGCACCAGATCTTCCTGCCCATGAGCCCCAAAAACCCTAACAGCACGATTTTATTTAGGTCTGTAGGCTTAACAACAAGGATATTCCCCCTGCACGTTGGGGATATACCTGTGTCCGAGCAGCAGATAGCTGGTATTGGAAGCGAATAAAATGGGAAGGAGGAACCTTCACACAAATCGAAATCGAAGCTTCGCATTGTAAGCATGGAATCCAGCAAAGCTTTGGTCGATGGAAATGGTGATGTCACCTCCTTTGCTCCGGCCCTTGTTTGAATGGAATATGGAGAGTTTTTATTTGTGGAGGATCCCTTAAACCCTAGCGGGGGCTAGGGCGGTGCGCGGCTGGAATCGCGAGCGATCTGGTACGTCCGGGGCACGGATTCTTCCGCGCGATCATGGAAGAGGACGAGCAGCAGCAGCAGGGGCAGCAGCAAGACGATCGCTTCTTCGAGCGCGACGTCGTGGGGAGCATTGCCAATCCGGATAGGGTCGGGATTATCGACGAGATCGGGGGCGCTCCCTCCACTTCCGGCTCCGAGGACGACGAGGAATGCGGGCAGGACGTGGAGGAGGGCGCCGCGATCATCGTGTGGAATGATGGGGAGGAGGAGACGGTCGATCTGTCGGAGGTCCGGCTCGTCGACCGCGTCCTGGATCGCGGCGAATTGGTGGCGCTTGTCGGCGATCCGCTGGGCCAGTTTGGGGTCGTCCAGAGCGTGGAGCTCCTGGCGGATTTGCGGCTCCGGAATGGAGAGGTGATGAAGAGCGTGAGCAGCAGCAAGCTCCGGCAAGTGTGCCCGTTCATGCAAGGCGACTACGTTGTTCGCGGGAACTGGATCGGCCGAGTGGATGAAGTGGAGGAGAACGTCACCGTGCTCTTCGAGGACGGAGCAAAGTGTAAGGTTTTCCGAGCGGACAACTATACTCTCGTGCCGGCTGAAGCAGCGGAGTGGTCTTGCGACTACTACGTCGGGATGAGAGTTCGTCCGGCCAAGAGTGTGGTTTTCAAGACCGCGAGATGGTTGAGGGGGGGCTGGAAGTCGAGCCGAGACGAAGGGACGGTATGTCGGGTGGATGTTGCCGCGTTGCTTGTTTACTGGATGGGAGTCGGGGTCGGGCCAGTGACTCCGACACCGGCGGACTACCAGGACGTCAAGGACGTGATCCATTTGCCGCATTTCTCACACTCGAGAGAGCACTGGCGCATCGGGGACTATACGCTGCCGCTGAAGGATGTTACTGTTGGAGGAGAAGTGGCTCCGAAAGAGAGCAACGACGGCCGAGAGGTTTCTTCCACAGCAGTCTCAACTTCGTCAGACGCAGTCAGCTCAAATCCGGAGCCTTCGCTGGCCGAGGAAGCTTTGCACGAGAGCTCTCCGCTACAACGAAAGCGCTCCCTCTCGAGACGCTGCACGGTTCGAAGGAAGGCCAAGAGAAAGCTGGTGCCTTTGGAGATCCCAGTTCGTGTGACTCGGACGGAGCGTCTGGTGGATGTGCTGTGGCAAGATGGATCGAAGAGTGCTAGGATCCCGGCCACGTCCTTGGTTCCAGTTTTATACCTCAACGACAGCGATTTTTGGCCCGAGACATACGTGATCGAGAGGGGAGCGGAGGCCGAGATGGATGATGATAAAGGCTATAGGAGAGTAGGCATAGTTAAAACGATCGACGCTACACAACGGACAGCCAGAGTCAAGTGGTTCAAGAGAGTGACGTCTCCCGACGAGGCTTGCGAGTTTGAGGCGGAGGAAACCGTCAGCGTATACGACATTTTGGAGCACGTAGATTATCGATACAACATAGGCGACATAGTCATCCGGCTTACTCCGCAGGTTCCCAAGGCCGACGACTCGACTGAAAAAGTGGAGCAGCCGCAAGCACCAGGCGATGAAGGGAAGCATGCTAACGATCCTACAGACTTGTCCTGGGTGGGATCAATCCTGGGGCTCGAGGACGGATACATAATGGTGGAATGGGGAAGCGGGGACGTGACAAAGGTTAGTTGGCTGTTGTCATGTTATTGCTGATGAGTTGCTTGCTTTGTAGGTTGGTCCCCATGGCATTTTTGTCGTGGATAGAAATGAGAGCGGCGACGATGAGTCTAGTTCCGACGACGACGACGACGATGCTGATAGCTGGGAAACCGTGGACTCCAATAGCTTAAGTGACTTTGAGGTACTATTGTTGATATTGGCTGCCATTGCAATAGCTTGCTTTGTGTTGTTTCAGTCGACTCCCGTACCAGCAGAGCAACCTGTGACTCGGGAGGAAACTCAAGGTGGTCTTTTGACTTTTGTCCTTTCATCTATGTCAAGGCTTATTTCTACAATCATGGGACTTCGAGCTAAGAAGGTGGTAGCTGTAGGTGAACAAGAAGACATTGAGGAGCCAGACGAGCTGGTCTGTGAGATGCTCCTTGCACGAAAGTCTCCTGCCGATCGGCACTTCGACCAGAACACGAATGACCATTCAACCGAGTGCTCTGTAAGACCTCTAACAGAGTTCAAGTCTTTTGACATGGTCAAGGATGCTTCGGATCACCACTTCGCGGATGTAAAGAACGAGGTATGTAAATGGCTTTTTGGTTATTTTCCTTACGTGGTTTCTTTCAGGTTCCGAATCAACGCAAGTGGCTTAAGAGGGTGAACCAAGAGTGGGACATTCTGCAAAAGGACCTTCCCGGTATGGTGCCGTGATCTCACTGGATTTTCAACTATGTTATTTGTTGGCGCAGACACGATTTTTGTGCTAATGTACGAAGACCGTATGGACCTGTTGAGAGCAGCCATAGTTGGAGCAACAGGAACACCATACCACGATGGATTCTTTGTGTTCGATCTTTATTTACCTCCGGACTATCCAAATGTCCCTCCGGTGAGTAGTTTTTCCACTGCCTGTGGTGGAGTTTTTTGACTGACTTGAACTTGCAGATGGTCCATTATCATTCGGGCGGATTGAGGATGAATCCCAATCTCTACGAAAACGGCAAAGTGTGTCTCAGTCTCCTCAATACCTGGAGCGGCAGGGGAAGCGAGCTCTGGAATCCAGGAACGTCTAACATATTGCAAGTGCTAGTTTCAATCCAGGGACTGGTGCTCAATGCCAAGCCTTACTTCAACGAAGCAGGCTACGACAACCAGACTGGAACAGGAGAAGGGGAGAAGAACTCGATCGCTTACAACGAGAACACCTTCTTATTGTCCTGCAAGACGATCCTATATCTCCTGCGCAATCCTCCAATGGTACGTAGAGTCGTATACTTTCTTTCTTTCCTTGCTCTTGAACCGTTCCTTCTCAGCATTTCGAGGAGCTCTTGAAGAGCCATTTCCGGTACCGGGGTTTCAAGTTCCTGTCGCTGTGCAGGGCCTATCTCGGAGGTCTTCCAGTCGGAAGAAATCCAGCCGATAGCAGCGAAGGAAGTCCAGAGAAACAAGAGGAGAGCTCGGCTGGTTTTCAGCTCATACTCCGCAAGCTCGTCCCCAAGCTGGCCGCGGCGTTTGTGAAGATCGGAGCCACAGAGTGTAGAGAATTCGAGGAGCCACCATCGTCGTGACGAGACGAAGAGATTTTTCTTTCCTCAGATAAAATACCATACTTAAATTCTTTCAGAGGGAATCGTGATTAATTAGCGCAAGGAAATGCCGCAAAGATTCCATATCCACACTGCGGGAGTGGGGCAATGGCGATGGCCGCCGCGGCTTCCTGCGCCTTCAAGCTTCCCTGTTCTTCGTCTAGAGAGCTCTCCTCAGGTACTGTGAGCGGCATTGTGGGATTTGGCATGACCTAATTCGATCGAGCGTAGCTCCCATTGCTGATTTCTTTCTTGTGGAGCTGCATTGCTGGCTCTCGGGCGCTCTTGGCCGGGATTATGACCTCGTGTGGCTGTTTGTGCCAGGATTCTTGCAGCGCGACACATTGCAGCTCCAGCGGCGGCCAAAACCGAGGAGAATCGCGGCCGTGTGTGTGAGAAATGTGGCAGTACAAACAGCGGCCGATCAGGTATGTGAGAGCTTCCTCTTCGCATCCATCGTCTCGTCTTCTTCCGCAATTTCTTCGCTCTTTTACTCGTAGTATCGTTGTTCGTTCTTCGCTCCTTTCTACCTCCCATCATCCCAATTCTTCCCATGGAATGAGATATCTTCGTTCTTCTTCTGGTAATTCGTGCCCCTTCCTTTCTTCTCGTTGTTTTCTTACGATCTTCTCGTGGATTGGCAGGCCAAGAAGGCGGCATTTTCGAAAGAGAGCCAGCGGCCAGTGTTCCCCTTCACAGCCATCGTGGGGCAGGAGGAGATGAAGCTGTGCCTCATCCTCAACGTCATCGACCCCAAGATTGGCGGCGTCATGATCATGGGCGACCGGGGCACTGGTAAATCCACCACCGTGCGCTCGCTCGTGGACCTCCTGCCCGAGATCACGGTCGTGGCCGGCGACCCTTTCAACTCGGACCCCGACGACCCCGAGCTCATGTCCGAGGAGGTCCGGCTCAAAGTTCAGCAAGACCAGCCCCTCCCATCCGCGCTCGTCAAGATCAACATGGTGGATCTCCCGCTCGGCGCCACCGAAGACCGCGTGTGCGGCACGATCGACATCGAGAAGGCGCTGACAGAGGGCGTGAAAGCCTTCGAGCCGGGGCTGCTGGCCAAGGCCAACCGCGGCATCCTCTACGTGGACGAGGTGAACCTCCTGGACGACCACCTGGTGGACGTGCTCCTCGACTCGGCAGCGTCCGGGTGGAACACCGTGGAGCGCGAGGGCATCTCGATCTCCCACCCGGCGCGCTTCATCCTCATCGGCTCGGGTAATCCGGAGGAAGGCGAGCTCCGGCCCCAGTTGCTGGATCGATTCGGCATGCACGCGCAGGTCACCACCGTCAAGGACGCGGAGCTCCGGGTGAAGATCGTGGAGGAGCGCGGGGCCTTCGACCAGGACCCCGGCGAGTTCCGGGAGAAGTACCTCGGCCCCCAGTCGGAGCTCCAGCAACAGATCACCGAGGCCCGGGTCCGGCTGCCCGGCGTGAAGATCGAGCACGAGCTCCGAGTGAAGATCTCGCGGGTGTGCGCGGAGCTGGACGTGGATGGGCTGCGCGGGGATATCGTGCTCGATGGTCACGAACAGGGCCGCCAAGGCGCTGGCGGCGCTCCAGGGCCGCGACGAGGTGTCGCCCAAGGACATCCTCACCGTGATCCCGAATTGCCTCCGCCACCGGCTGAGGAAGGATCCGCTCGAGTCGATCGATTCGGGGCTGCTGGTGGTGGAGAAGTTTAGCGAGGTTTTTGGCTATGCCGTGTAAGTAGTAGCAAGTTTTTCAAATTTAAATTTTAGAATATACCTGTGGGTGGGGGATATTCTTCCCCGTATTTTAGGGTTCTTGGATTGATTGAGTGATTTATGCGCATGGCGACGACGCATTCGTGGGCAGTGTCGTCGAGATTCTGCCTGGGGCGCGGCAGGGGCGCGGGATTGGATCGCGCGGCTGTGGGCGCCGCGTCGTGTAGGATCAGGAGCGAGAGGTTTGCGGCGAAATGCAGGCGATGCGTGAGGGTAATGGCGGCGGCGGAGGAGCCCGCGCGGCCGGAGATGTCGTTTGAGAGTGCGCTGGAGCTGCTCGGGGTCAGGGAGGGCGCCTCGTTCGACGAGATTCTCCAGGCCAAGAAGGCGCTCATGGAAAAGAGCAGTGGAGATCAAGAGCGTGCTCTCCAGGTAGATTAGAAATCTCTCACTCAATCTCTTCCTTGGAAGACTGTGGTGCTGATTCTTTCTTAGATCATTTGATTGAATCAGGTGGAAGCGGCCTACGACGCACTGCTCATGCGGCGATTGATGAAGCGACGGGCCGGCGAAGTGGCCGACAGTACCGTGCTGTATGCTGACGTGAGAAAGAGGAGTTCATCATCCTCGGCTTCCAAGAGTGGAGGAATTCCTGGAGTAAACTGGCTCAAGGGAGCTCTCGCCAACATCCCAGTGACCATCGAGGCCCCAACCAGCAATCTTCTCGCTACTCAAACAGCAGTCTATGGTGGCCTTGTTGCATGGACTTACTTCAGTGGAATGGACAGTTCCTCGTCCTTTGGAGGGGGAGTAGCGGCAGATTCCACAGGAGTCACTCTGGCAATTGGTTTTGGAGCGTCGCTTTACTTCCTTCGTCAGCAGAACCTCAAGCTAGGTGCGCAGATTCTTCTTTCTTCGTTCTTCAGTTTAGCATCGTTTAGAATCCATTTCTTGTCCTGGCAGAGTTTCTCTATTGGTTTTTCTGTGAGCTTGCTTCCATTGCAGATCTTTCCATTATTCTTGATCATGAGCTTCGTTCTTAAGTTTTAGCAGCGTAAGTTGTCGTTTTTTCTTCCAGTCCTGGCAGAGTCTCTCTTTTGGTTTTCCTGCGAGCTTGCTTCCATTGCAGACCTTTTCATTGTTCTTTATCACGAGCTTGATTCAGCTCGTTCTCAAGTTTTAGCAGCATAAACTTTCGTTCTTCTGTAGTTTATCTGTTGGTTTTCCTGTGAGCATCCAAAATCGTTTTGTTTTTGCTTCCATTGCAGATCTTTTCATTGTTCTTGATCATGATTTTGCTGTTGTTTTTACCAGGGAAGGCAGCGGCGATCGCTACAGCAGGCCTGGTTGCCGGCGCCCTGGTGGGAAATGTGCTAGAATCGTGGCTTCGAGTGGACATTGTCCCAGTGGCGGGGATAAGTTCTCCCGCAGTGATGGTGAGCGAGTGTGTTCTTCTCTCGTTATGGCTCGTGTCGTTATATTTGCGATGAAATTACCACTAATTACCGTACACTAGGGATAGTTTTAGGGTTTATGAGATGCCCGACGAGGAGGTCCTGGCCACGCCCCACATTCCAGCTCTGGATTTCCGTGGCTTCGACCACGACGAGCTCTTGCTCCTCGCCAAGGGCTACCGCGAGGATCCGTTCCATCTCCTGGTGCCACGGATCGATCGCAGCGTCTTCGACGAGAGCGCCAGCTCCAAGATGCAAACGTTTCAGTCGATGTGCGATGACGACTCCTCGGAGGATCGCGGCGAGGATATTTCGGAGGTGTGTGTGATGAACAAGAGCGAGGCGTCGTGGCGGGAGAGCAGGGATCGGCGGCCGCTGGACGAGGCGGAGGCGCTGAGTGAGCACATCCTGGAGATGCAAGGTACTTGGATTTCGCCCTCTAGGCAGGAGAAGCTTGTGGCGGCTAAAGGGTTTCCCGAGGGCTGGACAGTGATTGTGCGGCTGCGATGGAGAGAGGAGCGATGCTATCTGGAGTTTCGAGACTACAAGAGGTAACGCTTGGAAACGGCTCCATTGAGGATTCGTTTGATTTTTAGTTCTTGCGCTTTCTCTCAGCCCAGATGGAAGGTCGTGGCCTTCGTTCAAGGCGGCGGCCAGCTATCTCATCTCCAACCTGGATAACATAGATCTTGCTGGGATTCTCGACAGCACTGGGAAAGCAGAGGATACAGTGGAAAGAGAGAAGGCATCAGAACAAAATGGCGAGGCCGGCGAGTTCGTCGACATCGAGAGTGGCACGGAAGAAGAAATGGAGCTGATTGACAACAACAAGAAGAGAAAACGCACGCCTATCAAGCAAAAGAAGCTTGACGACATTCCCGAAACGCAAGAAACATTCCATGTAGAGAACGGGGACGCCGAGAAGACGCAACAGGAGGACGATACCGCTAAGGTGGCGGAGCAAAACGAGCAGGCTGCGCGAAACTCCATTGACTGTCAGGCCCAGCAAAGCTGCGGCAGGCTTGACACGGCCGGCAACCACGAGCAAGACCATCACGGTGAGATCTCTTTAACTCCGCAAGCAAACGATCGATTCGTTTGTGAAGGTTGCGGGAAGATCTTTGGCTCGAAGAGCCAATACTGGGGGCACCAAAGTGTCCATGCGAAGAAGCGAAGGCGCAGAGAAGCTATCCCGGAAGAGAAGCAAGAGGAGGCACAGACCTTCTCGTCTCTTGTTGGATGGCTGGACGAAGGCTGCCAAGAATGCAAGATATCGGTGCTGGGGAACGAGCTAAGTATTTGCAGCTGGTGCGAGAAAGAATACCACTTAAGCTGTGTGGGAATGAGCGCTGGCGAGACCTTACCTCCGCACTGGACGTGCCCGGCCTGTATACTTCTCTAACCGACGGTCGTCTTGTGGGTAAGCTGCGTCATTGCTACTTCGCTGATTCAGTTTTTGAGCAGGACAGACAAGGAGAGCTGTGTTGTAGCTCCTTGACTTGAATGAAATCAAAGACAATTTTTTCATTCGCGGATTTGTTTTGTAAGTTTTGCTCAACTTCATCTTGATGTGGTTCCTAGCAGATTATTCTTCTCCGCTTGGATTGAACTATATATTCAGGAGTTCAGGAGTTCTTTCACTGCATCGTCGATGAACTTAGCGTCAACCGGGTTGAGGCCGGTGCCAGCGAAGTGACCCCACACTCCAGGTATGATTCGAAGCTTTGCATTTGGCATGAAGCTGGTCTCGTACTCTTCGTCTTCAGGAGGGAAGTACAAATCCTTTTCAGCCGGCATCACAATCGCTTTCGCTTGTATTGAAGCAAGTGCTCGTTCCAAGCTTCCATCGAATCCCGGGGTGAGTCCGACGTTCCCGTTTTTCCAAGTCCACAGCATTGCTAACAAGTTGTTTGGATCTCTGTCGTCCAGGAAGAAGCCTTCCCAGTATCCAACCAAGAAATCTTCCAGGCTTGAAAAGCCCAGCTCTCGCCAAGTCTCGTTCCAGTAGAAAGCTTGCGAGAATCCCCAGCCAGCATAGACTCGGGCGGCAGCTCTGAGGCCTTTCGTGGGAAGTTGATTATACCAGCCGCTCTGGAATGCATCATCAGACGCCAGTGCTGCCTTGACGCCTTCCAGGAATACCTGTGCTCATTCATCCAAGGTAATGTTCCAGTTATTATAGCTTACTTGGTTGTGAGGACTTGTTCTAGCGGATCCGCAGAATGGTAGAATCCTTTCGACCATTTTCGGATAGCTGACAGCCCATTGAAATGTTTGGCCAGCTCCCATTGACCATCCCAGTACCAGCTTGAGCGTTTGGATGCCGAACTCCTCGGTTACGAGTTTATGCTGGGCACGGACGTTGTCTTGCACTCTCACCTACATACACGGACGACAGGACAGGTACTGTGTTGCTTTGTGAGGAGCTTCTTACATTGGGGAATCTGGCTTTGTCATAGGGTGGCGCAGAGTTGCTTGGAGAAGTCGAGAGCCCATTCCCAAGCATGTTTGGAACGATGATGAAGTATTTGGAGGGGTCAAGTCCCATATCGGAACCGATGAGCCATTCGTTGTCCCAGTGCCTACCTGAGAACCAAGTCGGGTAAACGATGGCATTGTCTCCTTGTGCGTTAAGAGATCCATAAGTTTTGTAGGCGAGCTTTGCGTCTCTCAGCGTAGCCCCTTCGCATAGCGAGAAATCGCCCAGACTGAAAAGCTTGTAAGATTTCCTGCCGGCTGCAAGGAAATTTGGTAAGACTATCAAGCGCTTTCTTTTCTGAACTTACCGATTGAACTTGCCGTGGAGAAGCGAGCACGGATCTTGGAAATCGGCTTTGGAATGCCATTTCGCAGGAGCGGCATCAACATGTTTCTTGGGACGAGGGCTACGAAGAACACTGTAAGACTGGACTGGAGTGAGCTTTCTCCGGTACAAAGTCTCCGATACGAAGTTTCGATGTTTAATTTTTCTTCTTTTGTCATTGAACTGTTTGACATAGGGCTTATGCGGCTACTGAGGTACAGGCTCTTGAGAAAGTATCATGTTCTATCAAGCAGCCGAGCGAGCCAAGCTGTGGGTTGTGGGCATTTTTTAAATCGGCCGTGCTCGTCAGCTCCAGGTGATACTGCTCCGAATGATAAGGCAGATTTTTTCGATTGTGAAGACAGGATCAATGCAGCTCTCGACGAGAAATATGGTTTGGATCAGCAGGGTGTCTTTGAAAGGATCCGGCTTTCCTCCGGTTCGATGGCACTGGGTGATGGCAAGACCTTCGGCGATGAGGGAAGGGTATGCTCTTGGGACGGGGAAGATAACATCTTGGCAGCTATCGAGGAGAGATACAACAGAAAAGAAGAACCAGAAGGGAAGCAAAAGTTTGAGTTCCTGAGCGTTTTGCAGAACCAGCACTCCGAAGATAGCGATGGAGAAGAAGAAAAGGAGGAAGAAAAAGATGGTTTTGATTCGGAGCTGAGTGACGACGACTCCTCAGCACTGGTTGAGTACGTGAGGAAAGATAGAGTTGGAGCTACGGACTTTTGGAAACCTTCCAAGTGCTTCCTCGACTGGTCCAAGCTGCGAAGAACAATCGTAGAGGAGTGTGTAGAGGCCGTTGAGAAGCGAACAGCAGCCACAGATTTGAAGGTTGTGCTGGAAAGATGGGATGGGATGGTGGGGAATGCGTTGGTCGCCATTGTCCTGCGGCGGTTGAAGGACTCGGATTCAGCTTTCGCCTTCTTCAAGTTCGCTGGCCAGCAGTACAACTTCACTCACGACGCCATCACGTATGAAGCTCTGATCAAGTTCCTGGTGAGAGTTGCCAAGGACTACAGGCGAGGTTTGTTGATCTACAAGTACGTGGAGCGTGCTCGAATCCAGCCGAACGAAGGAATGATGGAGCTCTTAGTGGAAGCAGCAATCGAAGGTGGTGAGATCGACCAGGCGCTCCAGTTCGCTGAGGCGGCGTGGAAAACGCTTGGAAGGCTGACGCCGGAGGTTTGCCGGAGAGTCATTGTGGGCCTCTTCAAAGCCGGGAGGATGGAGGAGGCCGTGGAGTTTTTGGAAACGCAAATGGAGTTCTACGGTTGTGAGAAAGATCTCACACACTACAATGCTGTTCTCTGCGGACTTTCCAAGGCCGGGAGGATGGAGGAAACGGTGGAGCTGTTTGAGAAGATGGAAGCTCGAAATGGTATCAGCTACGTGATCATGGTGGAAGGCTTTGCTCAGCAGGACGATCTCGACGAATGCCTTAAGTTTGCCTCGCGCATGTCGGTTGAAGGCTATCCATGGACTGCTGCGACGTATGCGTCTGTCATCGGTTTGTATGGCAAGAGGGGCCGGGTTGACGAAGCTTTCCGGAGCTACAAGAGGATGGTCGCACAGCGCTGTCGCACCGATGCGAGAGTTTTCAACGCCACACTCGGGGCGTTGAGCACCAGCTTGGATGAGCCGGTGAGGCTTGAGCAGTGTCACGACGTTGCAGAGAAAATGGTCTGGAATGGACACACCCCGGATGCTCTCGAGTTGTTCCGGCTGGTGGCGAAGCTCTGGGACTCCGGGAAGAAGCAGCAAGTAACGGATTTGTTTGGACAGATGGAGAGAAGCAGCAAGGATCTGGATGAAAGCCAGTGTTTCCGGTTTGTGGCCAGGCTGTGCGAGGATCACAGGGTCGTCATCGCCATGAAGTTCTACCGGGTGATGATCGAGAAGAAGATGATGCTGGACGGGAAAACTTTCGGCATCCTCTTCTCGGAGCTCTGCCGGACTGGCAAGGCCGACGAGGCCTACATGCTGTTCGCGAAGCTGGACGAGAAGAACGCCGTTCGCTACGACGGAGAGACTCACAGGCTGGTCTTCGACGAGCTCTGCCGAGCAAAGAGGGCCTTCCAAGCTTTCAGAATCTACGCGTCCATGGTGAAGCAGTCCCTTCCCACTGACGACACGATGCTCGCTAGCCTTCTCTCGGGATTGCTGGAGGAAGGCTCGCATCACAAGCTCGCCTTGGCGGTCTACAATGCGATGCTCCGACGGGGATTCACTCCCGGCGAGGAGAGCTCCCGGCTGCTCGTCCAGATGCTCTCCAAAGCAGGCGACTTGGAGAGCGCTGAGAGGGTGGCGGCTGATAGCATCGAGAAGAGCTTCTTCGTCCCAGCATAATGGAAAGCTTCTCGCCACCTTAGCCAACGTCTTTGACTCCAACGTACCACACGGCCGAGGCTACCATGGTAGCAACCATGTGGCATATCTGCGTACTATGGCTTGGCTCCAGCCTCGACGTTCTGGCCAGCGTGGCAAACCAAGTAGCGCTCCCGGCAAGCATCACCTCCGCCGCGATCTTGCTCCACCTCGGCATTTCCATGTACGCATAGACGGGTCCAAAGGCGGAGCACAGGATGGTGATGCAAACGCACAGCGCCACCCGGATCCAAGGAAACGCGCTCGCTGTGGTCACCACCTTGTTACCGGATTCCTTAACCAAGGTGTCACCTTGATACGCGTACCCGAGCTCCTCGACCGCGGCATGCTCCTGAAGCTCGGAGCAAAACAATGGCTGGCGCATGAGCGTGAGAGCTGCTTCGATGCTCTGGACGTCGTGATCGGCTCTCGAGAGGATGTTTGATACCAGCGAGAGGTATGGCGAGCTCGGCGTGCTTGATATCTTGTGATCTCTAGCGATGGCGAGCCTGGTGTGATGAACCTCGGCGAAGATCCCAATCAGCCTGCCTTTGAGCCTCTCCCGGACGCTCACGAGCGTCCGCAAGGAGAGACCGGTGCTCACCACGGTGGCCAGCCACAGCATTCCATGGCCAACGAGTCCTCTCGGCGCAAGCTTCTCCACCTTGAGCGCGCCATAGAGCCAGCCTCCCACCACGAGCAAGAGCTCGACAATGTTGAATGCTATGCTCAAGCAAGCCATGCGAGCCCGCTTCGACGGCTCCCACGAGATGATCTTGTCAGTCGCGATCGAGGCTACGTTGGCTCCGTGGGCAGTCACAACGCAGCTCACGCCATCGAATCCTAGCAGAGATAGCAACGCATCGTCGCCTGCAATGCCCTCGGCTCCAAGCTTGGCCATGACCATCCTGGGAGCGAACAGCCACACCGCAAGCCCCCGCCCGGACGCCGCCCCCATGAGCCCCACTGCGACGGACACCATGCCGTGAACGATGCAATACATCCACACCGCGGATCCTACCAAGGCCGCTCGAGTCGCCGTGTTGTCTCCTACGTACTTCGCGATTGTCACGTATGGCATCACCACCCCGTCGAGCTGATACGACGTGATGTAGCGCCCCATTCCCGGATCTTGTTGCACGTCGCTGCTGGACTCGTTCATGGACATCGAGCGCGTTGGTCTGCGCAAGATCTCGTTGCAGATGAGCGTGGTGACACCATTGGTATCAAACTCGATGTTGTTGGCATCGCAGCTAGCGGTGTATTCCAGGAGCGCCTGGATGGTTTCACCGGGCAGCGGCGAGTACATGCCATCCGTGTCTGCGTACCTGACAGTCGAGTACTCTGGGCATCTGGGCGAGCTTGTCCAAAGCACTGCAGCGCCATGATCGTCATCCCCATGCTTTTGTCTGCCAACGAGAAGAATCAGCCATCGCTGGCGAGCGAGAACCTCCGCCAAGGTAGACACTTTCACACACAAGGCCTGCAACTGGGCTGGCGTCCTCCAGCTTAGAAGAAGCACGTCTATCCTGGTTTTGCCGCCATTGTATCCGGGAGCGAACACGTACCAGTTGCCACTCTGTATGGCAGAGGCTGCGGCGGAAGCACGCTGGAGAATTGCGAGTGATGCGATGGTGGACGTGATCGGGTTGCTGGGCCTCTGGGCATTGCTCGCCCTGACACCGATGCCCACGGCTCCCCAGAATGCCACAATCTGCGACGACCACGCTGCTGTTGACGACGTTGCCACATTCTGTGCCCGGGCAACTGGGACGATGGCTGCTAGCGACGCTAGAATTGGAGTTAGGAACCTTGGGAATCCTGTGATGGGATCCATACAGGTATGCATCTCGAGAGGTTCTCGAGATAGACTGATAAAACACCGCACACAATGGAAAGTCAACTCGTTCCGTAATTCGCAGAGGCTGCTCCTTTGTTTTCCTCAGTCCACGAAGGAGAAATTCAACTCCAGGACTTGAGCATTTAAGTTTTGATCGGTGGTTGTTCATCGACAAGCAAAAGCTTTTCTTGTTTCAGACTCTCAGACTAACGCTTGTTGGTTGAATTTGAGTGTCTGGCTATAGTATACAATACTGGCTGATCGTCAGATTCTTGGTCCACTTCCCGTCTTGGCTCCTTGGCATTGCCTTCATGTGCAGGCTGCAACACCAGCAGGTTCCATTGCTGGCTGCCGAGTACATGGACACCTTCGACTATCTGGCCTTATACATTGCCATGGCCATGATATACATCTTCTCATGAGCCAGGCAGATGGTTTCGCAGGTCTTCCACATTTTCTTCCACTTCTGGAACCGACTCAGGTGGCCGGTCTACGTGTACCTCTTGTGGCCCAAGGAAGAGATGGATGCGTTCGAGCAGCAGCTGAGCTCGCTCATATCTTAAAGCCAGAGAGTCCACTTCCCTTTGTCCGTGGGAGCTGTGTGGGAGGTGTTCTCAGAAGCTAATGAGGAACTGGAGACATACAAGTTTAGATCAAGTTTGGGATGCATTATTGGGGAAAAAACGGCTGTTGCTTCCGAAAGCTTGAAGCCCAAAAGATCTACTAGAGCGTTTCTTGCCAAAGCCCAGAACGATGTAATTGATAGCAGAATCTAGAGGGCTGCCAACCATCTTATGCTTGGTGCCCCATGATCGATTGATTGCTTGCAGCCATTCTTGATGAATCGAGATAACCACTGATCAAGACTTTGACTCAGTTTTTTCTACTTTATTTCCTGAGAAAAACTAAGATTTTGCAGTTTTGGTTTATTAATGGAGCCCATCCGAGCAACATACATGAACTGTGTTTATATATAGTAGTAATTTACAGTTTAACTAAATGATAATAATTTCGTCGTTAGTTTTGTAAGGTTTGTAAAACTTTCCCCTTTATCCTAATATATAAACTGTTTAATTAGGACTGAATATAGTTTATTCATTCTTAAAGGTATAATCAATGCACCACAAATAGAGAGAGAGAGAGAGAGATTATACCCTTGTTTATAATCTCTAAATATATATACATATTTGTTTGATGCTCTAGTGTTTAAGGGGACCAAGAACCGAAAAAAAACAAAACAAGCGAGCGTGCAACAAATTTAACGAACGAATCAAGCAGGAACACAACAGTAAGAACAGTAAAGATATGATAGAGAATAAAATCATGGAGAAGGACAACAAACTCTATTGCATTCCTTATCTACATGATTTTGATGACATGGACAAGTCTAGTGCGGCCAATTGAGCTACCTATAGAAGAACGAAAAACAAATAGTCAAAGTGTTGATCAGTGGTTGTAGCTTGAAGGATTCAAGACCGATCAATCGAGCTCGCCCAATCACTGGGGCACTTGCAACTCGAGATGGTCACCAGCCGCCCAGATTCTGATATAGATTATATCCTCCTGGGCTTTGGCATTGCCACCGCAATACCCTTCACCATAGCGAATGGCGTGCTGTTTGTCCATCGCCAGCGCTCCTACTTTCATGCCCAGGGTGGGGTTTACTTCATACTCGCCAGCTCCCTGGCTGGGCTGGCTTGGATAGCAACGGTGTTTGTTAACAATGAGCACTTCAGCAGAGTCGGGCCATTGCAGAGTTGCAAGCTGTGGCTGTTTTGGCTGCAAGGATTCAGCTTCGGCTTCTGGTTCATGCTCACTGCCTTTCGGCTCCGCCGCATGTACGAGCTCAGCCACAACATCAAGAGATGGCGGTGGGAGTACTACGCTTTTGCGGCCATCTCTCTCCTTCCGGTGGTGGGCATGTCAACCGCTGCCATCTTCAGTAACTTCAATGTGGAGCATGGAGGGTGAGCAAAAGCTTCAAACTCTCACACTAGGCCTAACGCTTACTGGTTGGATTTGACTGTCTGGCAATAGCAAACACTACTGCAGAATCAACAGGAACTGGCAGATCGTCAGATTGTCGGCCTACCTTCCATATTGGCTCTTCGCCGCCGCTGTCATGTGGAGGTTGCAACGCCAGCAGGATCCATTGCTGGCTGCCGAGTACATGGACACCTTCGACTATCTGGCCTTGGTCATCGCCATCGCCGTGATATACGTCTTCTCGTATCTGACGAGCGTGAGCCGTATTGTTTCTGGCAGATGCCTCTTGACCGTCTCGCAGGTCTGCCTCGTCTTCTTCCCCTTTTGGACGCGATTCGCGTGGCCCGTCTATCTGTGCCTCTTGCGGCCCAAGGAAGAGATGGACGCGTTCGAGCAGCAGCTGAGCAGCGCCGGTGCGCGAGCCTTGCTCATATCTCAAAGCCAGAGAGTCCACTTCCCTTCGTCCGAGGGAGCTGTGTGGGAGGCATTCGCAGAAGCGAACGAGGAGCTGGAGAAGTACAAGGTCAGATCAAGCTTTGGGATTGCATTCTTGTGGAATAAAAAGGCTGTCGCTGCAGCATGAGATCCAGAAGCTCCAAGCCCAGAAGCTGCGTCTCCAGGAGAAGATCCGTGATCTACGAGACCAGGCAAAGCAACAGGTGATAAAGAAGTAATAATCCCGCTTTGAGAAAGTCAAGTGGGAGGGCTGTAAAATTAGATAGAGGGTCGAGCGTGTTTCCTTTGTCCATGGCGTCTGGATGTTGCAAGCAAGGGTGTTACATGGAAGTGGTGCCCAGTCGTCCGAACACTCCCTACGACTTCACACTCCTGGCATTTGCTTTGGCCGCGACAGTACCGTTCATCGTGGCGAATGGCGCGCTCTTCGCCCATCGCGGCCGCTCCTACTTTCGAGCACAGGGAGGTGTGTATCTCATCCTAGGCAGCTCGCTAGCGGGCTTAGTCTGGATAGCAGCCCAGTTCGTCAACAATGACCATTTCAGCAGGGTCGGGCCGCTTAGAAGCTGCGTGCTGTGGACGTTCTGGCTCCAGGGGACGGGTATTTGCCTGTGGTTCGTGCTCACTGTTCTCCGGCTTGCTCGGATGTACGAGCTCAGCAAGAACATCGACAACTGGTCGTGGAAGTACTACGCTTTCGTGGCCTTTTGCCTGCTTCCCATAGTCATCCTGTCCACCGTTGCTGGCTTCAGTGACTTCGATGGACACGAGAGAAGGTAAAGTTCATGGCTTGCCAAGTTTCATCTCTTTCTCTCTCGGACTGATTGTTCTTGATAACAGCAAACCGGCGTGCAACCCAAGCAAGCATTGGAAAATCATCGTCCGGTCCGTGTATACTCCATACTGGCTGCTGCTCATCTTCTTTATCTATAAGCTGCGCAAGCAGGAGGATCCACTGCTAGCTACCGAGTACAGGGACACTTTGGACTACTTGGCTATGGCTATCGTCATTGTCATGCTCTCCGCCGTCGCGGTTGTGACGAAAGCTAGCGATACTATCCCTGGCAGATGCTTCCTAACGTTTTCAACATGCTGTCTCGTGTTCTTTCACTTTTGGATACGCTTCGGGTGGCCGATTTACCTATGTCTCTTCAGGCCCAAAGAGGAGATGGACAACTTCGAGCAGGAGCTAACTTACGGTGGTGCCCGAGCTCTGGACATGGTTTACAGCCAAAGGATACACTTTCCTTCCTCTGAAGGTGCTATTTGGGAAGCTTTCTCCAAAGCTAGTGACGATCTGGACAGATATAAGGTAGAGCTTGTTTCTTTTTCTTCTTCTGGCGCTCTAGCTAATGTTACACTGAAACAGGATGAAATACGGAAGCTAGAAGTGCAGAAAGCGCTGCTGGAAGGGAAGATCCGAGAGTTACACGTGCAGAAGAGAAAAGCAGCTGAATCTGGTCATTCTTAAGTTAATCTATGCAAGGTTGGCATTTTGTTCCATCTCCTTTTCAATCTTTTTGATTCTTTACTTGACTTTGAGTCCAGCACCTCAGGGAAAGTTTCAAGGAGACTGCCAAGGTCACAAATTCAATGTGCTAGTTTTCTTCGTCGTGTTCCAAAGCTTTGTTTGTTTTGCAGACTCTTCCACAACTTGACTTTTAAGCGGGTTCTCTGCTTCCCTGTCATGATTTTTTGCCGTGCACGGACGATCACTGCTGTTCCACGAAAAAGAGAACACGCACACACGGATCCTGAGTCTGTGTAAAGAGTACGTAAAGGACTGAATTTTCTCAAATGTTCTGAATTTTCCAAGTCAAGCAGAAAACTCATGCCTTCACAACCTAAGATGGTTTTTTAGTTTTGGGAAGGAAGCGACAGCTAATGGATCGAACTGACACTGTCTATGACTACGTACTCTTGGGCTTCGCCTTGGGAGCTGCGGTACCATTTATCATAGCAAATGGCGTGCTCTTCGTCCATCGCAATCGCTCCTACTTTCGAGCACAGGGAGGAGTGTACCTCGTACTGTGCAGCTCTTTAGCTGGCTTGGTCTGGATATCATCATCTTTTCTCAACGATGGTCACTTCCAGCATACCGGGCCTTTTATAAGCGGCGTCCGATGGGCATTTTGGCTACAAGGACTGGGGGTTTGCTCCTGGTTCATGCTCACGGTTCTCCGGCTTCGTCGGATGTACGAGCTCAGCCGGAACATCCACAAATGGTCCTGGGGAAACTACGCTCTACTGCTCGCCTCCATGCTTCCAGTCTTGGTTTTGTTCGTGGCCGCAAACTTGAAGCGAGAGAGGTAAAGTTTGATGCTCTAGTCATGTTCATTCTCCAAAGCTCGTATTATCAGCAGGGAACATCATGGTACGCTAGACTCTGCGAGAGTACTCACTGTCCTGGCGGTCTACACTCCAAACTTGCTACTGGTTATCGTGTTTATGTACAAGCTGCGCAACCAGCAAGATCCTTTGTTGACTGTGGAGTACGCGCACACTTGCGAGTACTTGACTATGGCGGTGGCCATCTGTTTTCTCGCTGCCATCGCGGTCTTCACAGGGGACAGCGAAAGCATTGCCGGCAGATGCTTCTTAACGTTTTGCGTCTGCTGCCTCGTCTTCTTCCACTTTTGGATCCGGTTCGGGTGGCCAGTTTACTTGTGTCTCTGGAGACCGGCAGAGGACATGGATAAGTTTGAGGAGGAACTCACGTCCGCTGGTGCTCGGGCTTTGGCCGTCGTTCCCAACCAGATGCTGCATTTCCCGTCGTCAGAAGGTGCCATTTGGGAGGCTTTCTTCAAAGCGAGCGAGGAACTGGAAAGTTACAAGGTGAAAGATAAATACTCTTCTCTCATATAACAATGGTTGCTAATGCTGGATAACAGGAAGAAATCCGGAAGATGGAAGCTCAGAAGTTGCTGTTAGAGGACAAGGTACGAGAGCTGCAGTGGCAGAAGTGGACAATGGCTGGAACTGGTCAGTTTTAAGTTATTGCAAGACTTGGAAGAAATTATTCCAAACTTAATAGTAGGGGACGAAGCCACGATTCACAGCCGCTCTCATCACGGCATCAATCTTGTCCACGTCAATCGTGTTGCCAACCTCGTGATGGTTCCAGTTTTCCATGGTCGCCAGGATTCCTCCCGCGTGACTTGCCTGGACGACTCCTCTCGGCATGCTTCCCTGCCAGGACAAAGAAGACGATGAGCGCCACCAGCAAGTGAAAACGGAGAGACTCTCACCTCGCAAGCTCGGATTCCTTTATACTCGGGAGGCAGGCGCATTGCTGGAAGCTTGGCGTACAAGCAATCAGGACGGGTTTCCTCCATAGCCTCCTCGGTGAATTGATAGAAACAAGCTCCAGAAGGAGCGTGGAGCTGCTCCATCGCTCGCAGGGGCTCTCCAACGATCCAGGCCTGTAAATTCCAGCAAGTTACGTCCAGCTTTTCTGGGAAGGAAGCATATCATACTTTGCAGTGCCTCCCGTGCTCGAGTGACTCAACTGCGACGAGCTTGTGCTGGGATTCTTGCGGGACCGATTTTTTAAGCGACTCAAAGGCATAGGACGAGGATTTAGCCAGAACCTGAGGAAATAACCAGAGCTTTACGTGGGAAAGGCGGGCAGAAGCTAGCTGCTCACCGTCACTTCAGTGGCGCGGTGGCGGCAGAGATAGTTGGCGATGGCACGGCCAACTTTGTGCTCGGCTCCGACCAGGAAAACCTCGCTAGCATCTTTTGGAAGCTTGTCAAGAACAATGGCGCTGGTTAGCGTGCTTCCGTCCACCACCTTGATGCTGAGGTCGGGGTGGTTTTTCAGAAACAGTGCTCCACTCGCATTCAAATGCTCGTCCTGCACGGATCATAACGATGTGCACAACATGGAGTATACACTTTGACACACCTTGTTGTGTAGTCCCAGGCATATGAACTTGGCTCCTTTGTCCTGCGCGGCCAGGATGGCGCGCTCGATGAGCGCATTCAAGCTTCCGATCTCAGACGTCATTCCAAACTATACAAAACGCAAACTTACCATCGCACAGCAAGCTTGAAAGTATACTCACGTGAAAGCTAAACCTCGGGATCGCCCATGTCTGCGCGAGAACCTTGTCGACGGTGTGCTCCTCAACAGTGAAGGGGCTCCCAAACGCCCACAGCAGCAGCATAACGGGGAGCGCCAGAGGATACAGGAGCCAAATGTACCACCTCCTGCCATACGGCTGCGCTGCAAAAGATGGTATCCCAAACGACAAGTGGAAGATCGATAAGGGGTCAGTCGGGTGCGTTAAGAACACGAAATCCACCAACTCCGTCCTGCCTGCGTGGTCACGCAAGTTATAAGTCCCGACGAAGCTGGAAAGAAAAAAAACGACAAAACAAAGTACCTTGACGAGCTGCAAGATGGAGCTGACCGCTTGTCTTGTCTACGGTCCCATAAATGTAGTCGTATAGGGGAACGAAGAGGCAGAAATTTGTGTGGACCTGCGTGTGATGGAGAGAATGGAACCTGGAAGGATAGGAGATGTGGAGGATCAAGCAGTTGAAAAGATAGAAAAACTTACGATGGAGTGTAGACGAGGTACTTGAGCAGAGGAAGAGCTTGAAACATCCAGGATGGCATGAACTCCCAGTTGCAATGGCCAATGTAGTTCATGAAATCAAACCACAGCATGTAGGAGTAGATGAGGGCGAGCGAGGCGGTGCCAAGGAAGAGGTTGACAATGAGCGTGGAGCCAAAGAGGACCGCGTAGCTCAGGTGCTCGGCAAAAGGATGGACGTTGCCAGTCACGGCCTGGGTGACAAAGGAGAGATGGTGGTGGGAATGGTAGCGGCGGTAGAGAGAATGGTGGTGGAGGGCGCGATGGAACCAGTAATAGAGGAACTCCACGGGTCCCAGGTGCCAGAGGATGGTGATGACCAAACCCCTCCAATCCGACACGGCATGGTTCGGCAAGCACAGTGGCGAGAACTGGTACGCGAGCAACATCAGCGCCTGGAGCAGTATGAAATCCTCCCTGAGTGACGGAAGAAACAAAAGAGAAAGAAGCCGTGAGCGCGCGCGCGCGAGAGAGAGAGAGAGAGATTTGACAAAGTCTGTGATCGCATACCAATCTCTTTCCCTGTCCAGCTGATCGAACTTCATCCCCTTGGTCTGGACCTGGTGCTTCTTGACTATGTCGTGGACGCTGGTGACCGTGATCCATAGCTGGCCCTGGATATAGCGCAGCGCCGCGAGCACGAGGATATGGAGGCTAAAGTTGTCCCTCGAGCGGCCCTCCGGGGTCATCGCGCTTCGCACTGCATTGGCCACCAGAGGCAAGTAGAGGAGATACTGCCAAGATCAAGAGACAACGAGAGAGATTTAGGAATGCGCATGCATGCATGTACAGCGAGAGAAAGAGAGAAACCTTGAAGCTTCCAAGCCTCTCCCATGGCCAGTGCGTGAGCAACCCAGGATTGATCGCCATAGCTCCCGAGCTAGCTTGCTTTCTCCTTGCAGAGCTTAATCGTGGAAGCCAGAGGTGCTCGTCAGATATCTGGAGATCTGTGCTCGGCACAAACAATGTGGCCTGGCCGCCCTAAGCTTCCAATGCTAGGCAGCTGACAATAAATCGAGAACCACTTGGAGGTCCGCCGTTGGTTGGCTTTCCACCTTTCTAGTCGCCTGGTCCGCCGGGTTCGAACCTCCGTCTGGTGTGTTTGAAGATATATCCTCCAAGCACTGAAGCTCTTTGTTGGCAAGTACGGTGGCCTGGCCGGACCAACGCCCGCTTTTAAAACCTGTAACAGTGAGGAGGTTGACGCACAAAGGAATGCATCGTCGTCAAGCTCTTTGCGTGCGGCAGAGGACAATGGTACACAGGACCACTTCATCACCTTAAGCCGCTAGCGTGATTGTGACAATCGCAAAGAATTAACAATTCATTTGTGTGCAGTCATTGAACTCACGGCATCTAACATGTCATCATAAGGTATGTGATGCAATGATAGTCACTTGGATAGTAGCTAAAGCCAATGCTAGATCTCGAGCTGAAGAATCACATAACAAGAAATCTCGAAATAACGAGGAGAGTATGGGATAGCTCTCGTTGATATTTCTAGACCATAGCATGCCCATTGCTTGTCTATTGTCCTGGCTGAGTGAAGATCTGTGGATCAAAGAGCAGAAAACAGGAACTATCCTTTCTGCTTGATGGGAATATAGTAATGATCTGAGCTGAGAGAAGAGACAATGATTTGTTGTAACATCTTGTTGTATTGAGTTGCATTGAGCGCTCTTGAAAGCACCACTACGAAGACATGAAGCTATGTTAAGCTTATATTGACACTAATATAGTTTATGTTCTCAGCTTTGACATCTTTCTCTTATTTGCTAGATATGCCTTAATAACATGGTATTAGAGGTTGGTAGATCGAAGGGATCTTCCCAGACAGAGACACTCAATCCAGAGCAACAAATTATTTGCTATACAATTAGGTTAGGGTCTACGTTCTTCAAATTTGCATTAACTTTGTATATTTGATTTGTATTAATTTTCTTTGTTTTTTGTATGTAGAAAATGATGAAATTATCTTGATATTTTCTTTAGCATATATGATTTTGACCTGTATCTTATGATGAATTACTATAAGGTAATCATGAAGTGGAATTTAACTTTTAAACATATTAAATTTAAACTTTTTAAGAGGTCATCATGATTAATATTATTCAAACCCAATGACATTTAACCCCAATTGGAAAAAGGGGTGCATTTTTATTCATGGGTCTTTCTTTTTATATTTGAACTTTTATAGATTATGTTTTAAGTCATTCTTTTAATTATTTATAATTCATCATGGTTTTTTGCAAGTTCACACTATCATAAATGGAAGTTGAAAGCCATAATTCTCTTGAAAGCCCCATCACTTTATATTTAAATTTTTATGGATTGTCTCTTGAGTCATTCTTTTTGGTTGTTTATAATTCACCATACTTTTCTATAAATTCATGCTCTCTTGAATAGAAGTTTAAAACCCCACTCTTTTAACACCTTAACCCTTGTCAAGATTTTCATGTTAGCAGCATGAGGATGATAAAAATGTTACCATTTGCACGAAATTTCCAACATATCAATGATTGACCAGTATCTGTTGCCAAAAACAGTAAAAAACTGTCTCCAGGAAGAATCACTCAGGCATGAAAGAACTTTGTCAAAATTTCTTTTGCTTTTTTTAAACAAAAGTTTACTTAGTGACTCAAGCGAGGCTCTATTTAGACAAGGTAGTCAAACGAGATTTTGCCAACTTGAAATCCGTTCAGACATCCGATGTCTCCACCATGGTTACTTCAGCTCTGGTCTTGTTTCCACTCGGAAATAGCTGTACTGAAAGGAAAACCACACACTGTGACATTAATCACAAACACTTGAGCAGAATGCTGCTTGGCATACCGCTCGGCTTTTCAAAACAAAACAAAGATGCTTACCTGCGTGTCTCTTTCCTCAAGATACTCCGCAGCTCTTAGCGTCAGGGAGGAGCTTCGCATCAACTAAGAGGTACGCTTGCTTCAAGACAGCCTTGATCCTGGTGAACAACGTCAATTGGTAAGAATACTCGGATAACTCCCCTGTCCGTTTTATACACTCTGGCCTGCGCATCCAAAGTTCTAATTGCCTGGAAAACAACCCACAGAGGATCAACGCCTGTAGAAGGGGGTCCACCGAACCGTTTGTGGTAACACATCTTCGCAAAAAAACTCTGTAGCATTGGTGAAGAAATCCGCACGTCATAACCATCCGGTTTGGCCTCCTGCGCGATTAATACACCTTGAGCAATGAGATTCCGCAGCTCCAGCATCACCATCTAGATCAAAGTCATGGCCATTTACACCCTAGCAGGGACAGAATCTTAGAGTATGTTTGCTGTCCAAAAACATAAGGCGAAAGATGAAACGAATCAGTTGCCTCAATCCACTGCCTGCTAGTCCACAGCTCCAAGTAGTCCAAGCATGAACCGACTATCCCTTTGTGACCACCTGTCAATTCTATGACCGACGTAGCAATCCGCTCAATCATAATCTGTACTCCTTGGAGGTCGGCTTGTGCTTGCTGCAGGTTTTCAACATTGCCTACTGAGAACCTCACTGACGAATAACGGCTGGGCGTACTACTCAGTACATAGACCCTGTTTAGCTCAGCTGCATCTTCACGCCACCCCAAGTATTAAGCTTAAAGATCCTTGACAGACTCAACACCAACCAGGACACCGTTGAAGTTGTAGCCGTCATAATCCTTCCCTTCGAGAGTGCTGAAGAAATTGTCAAGGCAATCCGAAGAGGCTGAGAGCAACGGCTTCATCTATAATGACCTGAAGCTTTAATCTGTACATTCTTCTCCTGTAGGCCTAGCCGGGACATTTGCCATGAATATGGTCGCAAAGCGTAGCCCAGAACCTGTTCCTGCTCAAGCTTTTATCCACTGTCACCTTGTCCAGATACACCACACAGATATCTGGATCAAGTGATAACTCCCTCTGCTCTTCCCGCTTTGTCATAGTTGCGTCCACATCAAGTAGTGTTTCCCTAGGGCAAAGGTTCGCTTATGCCCGAGGTGCAGCTCAATTGCGGTATTGTCCCAGCTTCATGAAATCGATCACTTCTCACCTTCTCCGCAGAGGAGAATATCCGTGGAATTCTTCTCTTGGCCACTGTGGTCAGCAGCTGGAAGCATGGTGGATGGACTTCTTTGATCCTGGGAGCCCAGGGATTTGTGGGGAATAGCGAGGTGGTGCTTAAGAGCACTCCGTGGTCTAGAGGCTACGAGAGCACTTGAATCTTTGAATCATTGTCGCTTCTCTGTCTCTACTCGCGATATTCTCATCAATCAGTTCCAGTTTACTCAGCGACATGTCTCAAGAGTACAACACCACTGGTCGTCCGCCGGAGATCTTAGTGTGTACAAGTTTGTCTGTGTGTGAGCATATGAATCAAGTTCTTTCTTAACAATGTTATGGCTAGCCACTTATCTATCCTTGTCCTACCCGTGTCAACACAATCTCTGGCCTATTGTGGAGTGGGGAGTGGGAAAAAATTTGAGCCTTTGACTACTCAAGCCACATAGACATTCTTCCCGGAGAAGTGCTCCGTGTACACCTCGTGCATGTAGTCCCTGTAAGTCCTGCTGCGGTACTTTGCCGGACTCTCCTGGCTCACCAGCTCGGGAATCGGGCTGATCTCCGCATCCAGTGACGGCCCCAGGAACGCCCCGACGGACAGCCTTGAGCTCTTCGAGTTCACCATCACCCTGTGCAATATGCTCTTGTATCTCCCATTGCTCAGCTTCTGATACAAGACAATCAACCAAGACAAAGATCAATCCACAGTTTCTCAAAACGTTTTCGACTGCTCGTACCTCTAGCTGATCGCCCATGTTGACCACCAGCATTCCCTCGAGTGGCCTCACGTTGTACCAATCCTCGCCTTGCTTGAGCTGCAATCCCCCGACTCCATCCTGGAGCACAAACGTGAGGCCCCCGCTGTCGGTGTGGCCTTCCATGCCCAAGGCCTGCCTCGGGTTTGGGCAAGCCGGATAGAAGTTTGCTCTTGTAAGGAGGACCATGTCTTCGAAGGCTTCCAGAAGACGGTTTGAGCGGAGGCCAAGTCCCTCGGACATGACCAACAGCATCCTCTTCCCGAGCTTGAAGATGTTTCTTGCGTACTCGGATCCAACGTCCCTGTTGCATTGCAAATGATACAGAGCGTCAGGAATCTAAAACAATAGCAGAGATATAATCAAGGAGAGAGATACTGACTTGTAGCTGGCTGGGAACGCGGGCCACGGGTGTGCTCCGAGGGACTCTTCCTTGAGCCACATCTGGAGGTGGTCGTGCCACTCGAGCTTCTCTTCTTTCGAAGGCATCATGCTGGTGCAGTAGCGGACGGGTGTGAAGATCTCCTCGGTGTAGTATCGCATCTTGTCCTCGCTGGGCGAGTTGAAGAACTCGAGAGCGCACCTCATCACATCCTCGGTGTGAATTCCGTGGTTCTTGAGCTGCAACTCAGAAGAACAACAACTTAGCAAACATGTACTACAGGAAAAAGATCTTTCTTGAAAACTTACGTAGAAAATTCCGTACTTTGTACAGGCGTCAACGAGATCCCTCTCGAAGCTCTCGCTTGCCACATCGACTATCGGCAGCACCGCGTACGGAGAGACATCGGCAGCTTCATTCGGCATCATGTATCTGTCTGGAACGCTGTCCAGCGTCCCGTTGCAGCTGTCAACAAATGCCTTGATGCCAGCCATGGATGGGACGGTGTAACCAAGAAAGCTTGAAAGATGAAAGATGGAAATGGAATGGTATGCTTGGATGATAGGCTTTCTCAACTTTGAGATGCGGATATCAGTGTCCTCCCAGTGCCCTGCTTATATAGTTGCAAAAAATAAGATTTTCAAGTCGGCAGCACGAAGATGATAAAAACGTTACCATTGCGCCGATTCCGGATCCGCCCCCCGCTCAAGACCATTTTGTAGACTTTTCCGTACCCGTGACTTGACCAGCGTCCGCATCTGGCCCTGCCCCAGATCCACATCAAGCGTCAATGCTCAACTTAGTTGACCCACGACATAAAAAACTTGGAGCCACGAAACTTCGGAATTGTCACGTTTTTGTATCGAACAGGAAAGATCTTCCACGCAAGTCCGGTCGTGGCATGGACTGCAAAGCAAAAGCCTTAGCATAAAGCACGATGATTTCATAGAGCTTTCTTGTTATCTCACAGCGCTGGCGGCAATGGCGCTAGCAATGGCCAAGGAACTCTTCTCCATCGCCAGCAATCGCTGGATCATCGCAGTGCCGGGCTTCTACCTGATAGCAATCACCGGAGGCACGCTCACCAGCTTCAGCTTGTTCTCGCAAGAGCTTAAAGTCTCCCTGCATTACAAGCAAGAGTCCGTCAATACCATCAGTTTTTTCAAGGATCTCGGCACCAGCATGGCTTTCCTGGCCGGCTTGCTCAATGCGAGAGTCGGACCCCGTCTCACCATGCTCGTCTCCGCATTGCTCAACTTGTTCGGCTACACTATGGCCTGGCTCGCCATCACCCACCAGATTGCTCGTCCACCGGCATGGCAAATGAGCTTCTACATGTTTCTCGTCGGCGCCTCTGTAGGCTTTGCAGTCACGGCTGTCCTGTCGACCTGTGCCACGAACTTCCCCAAACATCACCAGGGGATGCTGCTGAGCTTGCTCGACGGCAGCAATGGCCTGGGAGCAACCGCATTCGCGGTTGTGTTCCAGACTTTCTTCCAGGTCCACGCTCGCTCCTTTCTGCTCTTCCTGGGGCTGCTACCGACGTTCCTGTATCTGCTGCTTGGCCTCTTCCTCGGGCCCGTGCCTGTCGCCGTGAGGCCCAGCGACAAGTCCATTCTTAACTCGTTCCTCATCACCACTTTTGCCTTGGCGGGCTATCTCCTCGTCGTCACAGTCATTGAGGGGACCATACCGAGCAGGCTTCCAGACTCGGTGCCTTTGGTGTTCTTCGGGTTGATGCTGGTCATCGTCCTACTTCCGGTTGTTCTGGTTGTCCGAGCTGAGCTTCGATCACATTCGAACGGTGCTGGTGTTGTCGATCAACTCCAAAGCATCCAGACACCACCCCCAACTGAGAAGTCTGTCGATCAACTTGAAAGCATCCACACACCACTGCCAACGGATAAGTCCGAAGCTCAGCTCGCGGATATGAATTCCACCCCTAGTGCTCTGCAAGTCGTCGACCATTTTCCTTCTCAAGCTTCCGGCGCTGGCAGCTGCAGATGGTTCCAAGTCCCGGCGAGAGGTAAGGACTACAGGCTCGTCCACGCCTTGCTGAGCATCGATATGTGGCTGATGGTCATTGCGACTTCCTGCGGCCTGGGAACGGTGTCTACCTTCTACAACAACTTGGGCCAGCTGAGCGACTCCCTGGGATACTCCACCGCAAGGATGAACATCTTCGTGGCTCTCCTCAACATATGGGACTTCCTGGGAGCAATCGGCTGCGGCTTCCTGTCCGAGATACTCCTCCACAAGTTTGGCATTGGACGGCCGTTCGTGTTCGCTGCGGTGGTCGGCTTTCTAGCGCTCGGCAACTTGCTCATCGCCTTGGGCCTTCCCGGCGCGCTGTACATCGGCTCCATCATCATCGGCCTCGCCACCGGAGGCCAGTGGGCGGTGCTGTCGACCATCATCGCGGAGATCTTCGGGCTCAAGCACTATGGAGTTCTCCAGAGCTTCCCAAACGTTGCAAAGGGGATTGGGACGTATGTCTTGTCGGTGGAAGTTGCCGGTGTGTTCTACGATAGGCAAGCCAGGAAATATCGTGGCCCTGACGAGGCCTCGCTCTTGTGCCACGGTGCCAAGTGCTACAGGGAAACGTTCTTCGTCATGGCCGCCACCTGTCTGTTTGGGTGCGCCATCGCCGTGGTTCTCAGCTTGAGGTCCGCCAAGTTCTACAGTGCGGAGGTGAGGCCCAGGTTGACGAGAAAAGTTGCTGCTGTAACTGTTGATGATGGAGTCCAAGCATGCTAGCTAGAAGACGGCTCGAGTTAAGTTTCGCAAGGAAACGAAGAACTTCTTACCTGTGCTGCCGCTAGAGAGCTAAGAATGAGACTCGCAAGAGGTTTTGGAGGAATGTGAAAGAAAGAAAGCATTTCCATCGCGCAAAATGGGTTGAGTGAGCTATCCACTCCAGAGAAACTCCGCCCAAGAGCCTCCGGGATGAGATTCTTACCAAGGGATGAGCCAGATCTTCTGCCTACATTATACCCTAAAGATGGCTTTAACAAAGTATAACGTTTATTGTGGTTAAAAATAAAGATTGATACATTTCAGCGACTTCCAAAGTCGTTATCAAATTTCTCGTAGCGCCCCGCATGAACCAGAGCTGATGGCCGAGTCGTCGTGAGTGCCACCATTGCGTCTTCCTTGGTCACAGGCCCCATCTCCAAATCTATCAAATGGTCACAAGAAACTCAAAGAGAACATATCCAATGGTCTAACCTTGCGACTCCAGTCCCGCGGCTTCGTTCCTCTCCAGCTCCTCCATCAATCGCCTCAGCGGCCTCATCGCTGCCTCCTTGCACACCAGCCTCACGTCCGAGCCGGAGTACCCGTCGGTGGACTCGACCATGTCGTCGTAAGGCACGTCCCCCATACTCGTTGGCAGCAGCTCCTCGAGCATCGCCCTCCGAGCCTCCGCGTCCGGCAAAGGCACCAGTATCTGTTGCTCCAAACAAGCCACGAAGTCTTTCTCAGATCCAGGAAGAACCACTCTGGCATGAAAGATCTTTGCAAACTCACGCGTTTCTCGAGACGCCGGAGCATGGCCGCGTCTAGTTCCCATGGGATGTTTGTGGCTGCCAAGACGAACACCAGATCGTTGGCTTGCATCAAGCCATCCATCTAACAAAACCAAGTTCGTCAGCTACACTACACTGGAGCTTTCCTCCCAACCTGGATAAGAAGCTCCGTCTTGAGCCTGCGGCTAGCTTCGTGCTCGCTGTTGGCTTCCCCGCGCTGGCTGATGATAGCATCGATCTCGTCCAAGAAAATCGTCGACGGCGCGTAGTGGCGAGCTAGATCGAACAGCATGCGCACGAGTTTTTCGGAGTCGCCTGGATAGCGAAGAGTTTAGAAAAAAACCACAACAGAGAAAAAGTGAAGGCTTGTACCGCGGTACTTGCTGACAATGGTGGACGCAGAAATGTTGAAGAAGGTGGTGTTACACTCTGTAGCCACTGCTTTGGCGAGCAAAGTCTGTAAATACCATGTAACGTTACACGCTAACATAGCTACACGATCTATACCTTGCCAGTGCCCGGAGGCCCGAACAGTAAAATTCCTTTCCATGGAGATAGCAAGCCCGTGAAATACCTGTTTATCTCCTAGCAACCGCTGTTAGAACATACACACAAGAAAGGAAGAAAAACACTTACTGGGGATATTTGATAGGCATGACCACCGCTTCTTTCAAAAGTCTCTTTGCGTTCTCGAGTCCCTTGATTGAATCCCATCTAACATCCACATTTCCTCGAACGATATCCCTGGCATTGAAACAAGGTTTATTTGCATTGTTCTTCCCTTTTTCTTTCTGAAAAAAAAAAAAAACGATTGTAGCTTACTTTACAATGCTGTCAGCAAGTTCTTGCATTTCTCCAAAGAGTAAGTGTGGCATTGGCTTTGCAGTCCTGCTTAGCATTTAGAATCCAAAAACAAAAGAAAAAAAGAAAAAAGATCTTTGCGCACCAGCGATGAGGAAGATCTGGAGAGCATTTAGTCTCATCTTCTGTTGTTGCCTACACGCAAACAAAGAAAGAGAAGACATTACAACAGAGCTTCTAAAAGATCTGTACCTTGGGCTTGGATGGAAGGAACTGCTCGTAGATCGCAGTCGCTGGCTGATCCATCGCTGAATCCTCCTCCAGCTGCGGTGGCTTGTCGTGCTCTTGCTGCTGCTGCTGGTTCGAAGAGCCCCTGAAACGGGATTTATATGCTTCCTTAAAGTCCTAGATCGAAGAACAAAACAGAAGATTTTTTGGGGGTTTCGCGAGCATGCAATCGAAAAAATCACTCTCACGAGCACCAGCAAGCAGATCGCAAGCCAAACCTGGAAGCTCCAGCGCGTGAGCGCCGGCAAACTGGCGTCGTCCATGCCTCTCCTCGGCTTTACGACCTACAAGCATAGAGAAAAATAAAATTCGTACTTTTACATCAAACACGAAAAAATTTTCTCTTTGTTTGATGCTCAAGTTCCACATCGTTTGCTCTAGACAGTTCTTCTCGATCCAGATCTTCTTCCGAGTTTTCTAGCGAAAGATTCTACGATTTCCCTCATTTGGTCTCCGAGATCTCGTCGTCGTCCGTGGAATCGTCACGGCAAGTACACTCGGAAGTGTTGAGATTGAGGCCACAGCGCGTGCACAGACCCTTGCAGATGGAGCTACAAATGGAGAAGTAAGGGACGTCCAAATGGACAGTGTCACGGATATAAGACGAGAGATCCATCACCTTGACCTCGTCCGGGAAGTGGAACTTGTCGTCCAGGTCGATGTCCAGCACGGGCTCGCCGGGCTCCGGCTCCTCGCCGAGCACCACACCGATGGACGGCTCCGTTGGCTCTTCCACGGGAGTCCGAGATAGAAGAACGCTGAAAGGCGAGAAGACTCGAGTAGCATGAGGAGCCAGACACCTTGAGTTTGCAGGAAAAGAAGGATCAAACAAAGTTGCAAAGACGAAACAATTCATACCTGTCACAAAGCACGCAAACAGCAGTCTTGACGATTCCATTCAGCTTCAAGTCTCCGGATTTATCTTTGGTGACGTCGTATGAGACTCCCACTGGAGTAGAGGTTCCCGGGTCGGCGCCGCCGGGCAAAACTCCCATGGATGTGGCGAGAGTTCTCGACACCTTGGACGAGAACTGCTTGAGTCCCAGGTTCTCCAGTGTCGTCTGGCACTCGAAGTGGCTCTGGACGGCGCTGCGCTTGTAGGTGACGGAGCTCGGCACGGGAGGATCGCTGGTCTGGCTCGGAAACACCGACACGACGTGCATTCTCCTCTGGGAGAGCTTCAGAGATCTCGGTGGAGTTTTTCTTCGCCATGCTACTTCCAGGTTGCTACTGAAGGAGCTTGAGAGGGGATACGCGCCTAGAGCAGACATCTGGGAGGAGAGAACCAAAACAAGTAGAGAAGGATTGAGTAGGAAACGCAGCATTGCTTACACTGTTTTCTTTCACTTGGTGGAAGGATTCTGGGTGCTAGCTTTGATGGTCGCAAGATCCTCTATAGAAGAACAGAGAACTTTAAGTCAGCCAGAAGAAAGAACTAAAAGCTCGCCCACTTTTATGCGATTCCAGAGCAGCCTTGGTATCAGACGCGAAGAAAATGTTGCCTCGCTTCACGAAGACCGCCTGGAAAGGGGGAGAATAACGAGACGAGAATTCGCCGACTTAGCAGCGTACCCGTGAAAAAGGAAGGCTCGCAAGCTCGGCGCACGCAACCTCCAGCACCTGCGCCTACGCAAAGATTGCAGCGCCAACGATTTCGCAGAGGCCAGAAAACCACATACCTTGGACGCTTGCTCCTCCGACATCGCTGGGCGGGATAAGGTTTAGGGTTTAGGCATCTTCAAGGCATATTCTCTAGGGCTTTTGGGCTTCTAATGAAGTTTCTTGCACAGAGCGTGCTCGTCGCCTATCCCGACGGGCTTGGCACTGGGCAACGCATCGCTGGCGCGCTTGGATCCTCCTCGCTCGATCGCTCGTAAGCATTGCGCCTAGGCGCTTCTCTTTCTCACGCGCTCCAATTGATCGCGCAGTGTCTCGCACGCCACTCTATCTCTCGATTCCTACGGCTTGCCCGATGGAAATGTGCTCCTAGAAGTCGTGAATTACAGCAAGGGGGAGGTTCCAATGGTACGCTCTCACGCAAAAGTTTGTCGATCGATCCATTCTCGTTTTCGTTCCACTCTAGGTTTCCTTGATCATCCTCGCGCAAGAGCCGCCACCGCATCTCCATTCCTGCGTCGCCCACGAGCTCCTGCGCTACATTTTCCACAACGCTCCAGCCGACGAGGAGAGCTTCACCATCTTCGTCCCCAGCGCCGCGCCATTCCCGAGCGTGGATTCCCGCCACAACACCGCCGGTGCCCGGCTCGCGCACAAGCTCGTCATCAACGACGACCTCTCGGCTCGCAGCCAGATGTTCGGGGAGCTCATCGACGCCCCGCAAGACCTCCAGCCCAAGGACGAGTTCCTGGCGTGTCTCGTCCATCTCATGCGCGTCATGGGAGCTCCCGGAGTGATCCTCCTCGTCCCAGTTCGTCGCGTGAGCCCCCAAGACGGAGCCCTCGTCTCGAGAGAGAAGGATTGCGCATTCCAGGTGAAGTTTTTGCTTGAACATGCAAGGATCTAAACTCGTTCGATCAAGCCAGGCGATCGCGCACCTTGGAGGCCTCCTCGCGCAGTGGCTGGCGCTGGAATTCTCCACCCAGATGATGGATCGAAGCCTCCCAGAGAGTTTCATCACCAGGGACGCGAGAAAACCCGGCGAGTGGAGAGATCTCTATACTTGAGAGCGTTGACCTGGTCAACTATTCCGGAAAAGTCAACGTGTATGAAGGAGAATCGAACGCTCGTTGGTTTTGTTTCCTTTGCTTGGTCGTCCTAATAGAAACGCGGCCGTGGTTTCGAAGGTGGATGGATCGCGGAATTCGGTCGGCGCCACGGATCGGGAGCGCGATCTGGAGCTGTGAGTGTTAGTAGGGCTTGGCGGTTGGATCGGGGAGCATGGCCAAAGGCGACCGGATTCGAGGGCGCTGGAGCGGTAGCGCCAGCGGTAGGGCTTTGTGCACAGCAGTGCTGGCGACGCTGGCGCTCATGTCCGTGGCGCTCTTCCTCCTCGTGGGTGTGGGAATTGTGGGCGTTCCGGCGGGATTGAATCACTCAGACGCTTCCATCTCGCTGCGGCTACCCGATCGTTTACTGGAACAAATGTGGGTGTTTTTAGGCGAAATTTCTCGCTACCTAGTCCTTTGATTGGCTCGTTTTCTCGTGTTTTCTCAGAGAAGAGGTTGGCGAAGGGAAGCATGAGCCTTGGTCGGAGATTATCTCGTGGACGCCTCGAGCTTCCCTTGTTCACAACTTTCTAGTAAGTCGATCCGGAAAAGTGGTTTTTTGTGCTCGTTTCTTAGACGTGATCATGCTTGACAGACCGACGATGAATGCGACCATCTGATCCGAGTCGCGATGCCCCTCATGCAAAAGTCCACTGTTGTGGATAGCCAAACCGGTGGAAGCCGCGATAGCAGGTTCTTACTACGCTTTCCACCTTAACGAGTGAAATAATCTGGATATCACAGGGTGCGGACGAGCTCGGGGATGTTCTTGAACCGAGGACAGGACAGAGTTATATCTGAGATCGAGGACAAGATTGCAAAGCTAACATTCATTCCAAAGGGTAAACACACTTTTCCCGATCAGTTCTTTGGTTTGCTGACTGTTACACTTTGAAGATCATGGAGAGGGAATTCAGGTTCTTCACTACGAACCCGGCCAGAAGTACGACGCTCACCACGACTTCTTCTATGACACCGTCAACACCAGAAACGGTGGCCAGAGAATAGCGACGCTCCTCATGTACTTGTAAGTGTGAGAAGATGGTTTCTGATTCATCAAAGTGATGCTTATTGGGAAAGAACAGGACGGATGTGGAGGAAGGTGGCGAGACTGTGTTCCCTAAATCGGCCAAGAACTCGAGCTCGCTTCCATGGCATAATCAGCTCTCGGAGTGTGGGAGGCGTGGGGTTTCAGTGCGGCCAAAGAGAGGAGACGCGCTGCTGTTTTGGAGCATGTCACCCGACGCGCAGCTCGATCACTCGAGCTTACACGGTGAGCTTTCTTTCCTTCAAGTTAATCGCAGTATTGAAGAGCTTCGTCCATTTTTATTTTATTTTTAATTTTTGCTTCATCCAGGAGGGTGTCCGGTGATCAAAGGTGACAAGTGGTCCGCCACCAAGTGGATGCGAGTCTCGGAATACAAGCTTTGATAGATCGGGTTTTCGAATCACACATTTAACGCTTGTTTGCGTTGTTTTGTAAGTCTAGAATCTATGCAATCCAACAGACATTTCAATATTCCTGAGTAGAGCAAGTCCTTTACAAAGAAGATGGTCCTATGGTCTAGTGGTAAGGACACTGGACTCTGAATCCAGTAGCCCGAGTTCAAGTCTCGGTAGGACCTGTTGTCAAGCAGCATTTTTTTTTTTCAGCCATGGTTTCATTTCATGGGAAACTATAAATGCACGTCTTAGGGCTCTAGAAAGCAGGTAAAGCTTTTTGGTCGTCGCAGTAGATGGCACGTATGCACCACCTTGTTAATCTTCCTTTTGACCTTGTCTTGTGGTAGAAGGATAAGACGAAGCCTAGATCACAAAGCACAGATTACAGCGACGCTTTGTGGTCGAGGAGGTAAAGAGACATGCGCCAGCTACTTAAACGACTCTTGCCCGCTCGAGGATACATACTTGAAAGCACATTGGCGCAACCATTACTTCCCCCTACACCCAAGCAGCAGCCACCGCAGCTCTTGCTGCTCGAGCAGCAGCCAACTTCTGTGCAAGGGCCGACTCTTGAGCAGCAACTCAACAAACTCCTGTTTGTGCCACGAGCTCCCATAAAGACTATGAAAGCCAGCGGAAAATCAAAAAATAATTCAGTGAGTACATGAATTGGTTGAATTAGCTGAACAAGTTGCCGCATCTTGCCACAACTTTCAATGAACAAGTTGAGCTTGCGACACTTGCTTTCTTCAATAGGAAGTCATGCGAATGTGCTGGTGGCCAACTCTACTATTCTCATTGTTCATGAATAAAATGAAGCACGTCACTTGGATTCTCTTGGACAACCCTTTGAGCAACGTCTTGAGCTTTGAGCCAGATAGCTTCTTTGAGTGCTATTGTGGCAACAGTAATTGAAGAGGTGATTCAAGGTAACCTGAAGGTAACTTCCTCTCAACGTTATCAAATCATACACATTCAGATGAAATCTCCAGGTATCTCCGGAATTGATTGCCTTGGATTGAATGCTTGATGATGTAAGATTGTAATCGAAGTAGCTTAGCTCAAAGCATTGACGCCTGACAAGAACAGAAGTAAATTCTTTTATTCTCAACAGGAAATATTCCTACCTGTAGTTGTTCGCAATGTCCAAATTCCAAAACTAGCCTGTAAAACAAAATCAATGAAGGCTAGAAGATCCAAGAAAATCTTTTAAACGATCGATTATGCACTGAATTATTCTGGTGAGACCAAAACTCACCAGCTTTGGCCAGCTTATTAAGCCCATGGCGGAGGATTCTTCAGCAAAGGATTGGACAGCCTTGCACGCAATCGTTCCAAAGCTAGCCTGTAAAACAAAATGAACGAAGGTTAGAAGATCCAAGAAAATCTTGTAAACGAGAATTCGCAGACTTGGATTCACTGTCTTTGCTGGCTTCGATTCTGGCAGTCAGATAATCGAAGTAGCTTAGCTCAAAGCATTGAGGCCTGACAAGAACAGAATTAAAATCTTTTATTCTACTTTTCAACAGGAAAGCTTCCTACCTGTAGTTGTTCGCAATGTCCCCAAATTTATCAGTGTCGGCCGCGAGCAAAATCGCCGTGAGCTCCTCTTCCGCAAGAACAGGAGTAAGAGGCTCCTCAGGAAAACTTGGCAAATTCCATCTCGTCTCATTCGTTTCGATATTCCAGTAGTAAGGCTGCATGCACGAAAAGCTCACAGACTAAGAGCATAGACTTAGAACGCGATACAATACCTTTCCAGATGAAGAATCCACGACTTCCTTCCAGCAGCATCTCACGAACGCAGTGATCCTCCTGCGCCTCTGCCCGGAGCAATGAGAGACGCCGCATTGGAGAGGCGCAGCAATCACGAAGCTCGCGCTCGCCATCAAGAACCCTAAAAACCCGCATACAATGCACATTACATGTAAGAAAGCTTCAAGTTATTCAATGTTTTAGAACAAAAAACGACTTACACGAGAACGTAAGCCTGGCTCCTTGGAGTTTCTAGCCTCTCGATCGATCAAAGTTTCTACTTCTCTGAGTTCTTTCTCTTGGACTCCTCCAGATCATATCAGATCACTCCATTCGACGTCGACGATGGCGACGGCAGGACGAACTTTCGCTCGTACAAACCGGTGATCTGGTCCGCGACTGCCCACATAATCGCTTGCCCGGGAGGAATTCTCATCAGCCTGGGCAGCAGGCCCTTCCACAGCGCGAGCACGCCTTCCTCGGCTCGAATGGTGGCGATCGCGTGAAACATCCCAGAGTACTTTGGATTCTTCCTGCTCTGCGCCATGAGCCGCGTCTTGACAACGTCGAAAGGCCCCGTGCAAACGGGGCCGACGCACCCGGCCAGGAATCCCGACGCCATGGACTGCCAAGGTTGTAGAGTTCGTCCGTCGCCTTCGTGCTTCTTCCACAGCATGGAGTCGAAGGTGTTCTTGGCGGTGAACATGGCGGCCTGGTTGATCCCGTTGCGCATCACGGTGGGGAGAGCCCCCGACCAGAGGCCCAGGATCCCCTCTTGCTGGATGATCGTTCCAGCGCAGTGGATCGGGCCCTTGTACAGGAGCTTGTCACGGCTGAGGCCTCGCTGCTGCTGGAGCCTGATCTTCACCACCTGTAGATCACGCATGGAAGTCAAAAGAAACGATGAGATCACTAGGAACTCACGTATTTTCGACACCAAGTATCACGAAGCTCTCCAAGAATTGCGAGGATAACAGAAAAGCTCAAGCAATGATCGTTCGTCGAAGGGACTTCTACCGGGAACACCGAAAGTTACTGACCAGCCAAGAACAAAAAGAATGGAGGACGAATCAAGCACAATCTACACACAAACTAGCAGCTACAATTCACATCCTTGCCACTAGCAGTGAGGAAAACGCAAGGAACTCACGCTCTTTCACGACAGGAGAAAAAACAAAGCAAGAAGAAAACAAAGAGAGAGCGACTAACCTCGAATGGTGTGACGATAACGAGCGCTTCCAGCACTCCAGCTCCAAATCCCGAGGCCAGCCTCGCCGCGGAGCTGAGCTTGCCCGTGTCGGAATCGGCCAGAAACGTCTGGAGCAGCGCGTTGGTCCCCATTCGCAGCGTGTACTTGAGCGTCAGATGCGTGGCGAAGGGCGTCAATCCCTTCCACAGCGCCCGCACGCCCTCGCTCCTGACGATCGTGACGCCGCAGTTGGCGATCCCCCTGTACTGCCTCGCGGTGTCCAGCTGCAGCCTCGTCTTGATCACATCGATCGGCTGGAGGCAGCTCGCCTCCACAATGCCGCCCAGCGATCCCGACAGCGCCTTCACATAGGGCGGCACCACCGTGTCCTGCTGCTGCTGCTGCTGCCGCGATGATCCAGCGGCCATGGCCGCGATCCAATGCCAAGAACCCTAAATAAAACAGGAAAAGCGAATAACACGTGGCGCCAGGACATTTCCTGACAGAATTGGCTACTCCCACTTGAATTACAGTACATGGGGTGGTCTGTATCATTCCTGTACAGCAAGCCTCTCGATTGAATTCTAACTTTTTCCAGTCTCCTCACTGCCCAGGCGTACAATTCGCTCGCGAAATCAATTCCTCCTCAAGAACGCACTCAAGAGCGAAGGACAAAGAAAGCCGAGACTAATTCTTTCCATTCGAATGGGCACAAATCAACCATTAGCTGCTCAAACACCCAGCAAGTATACAGAGCGAGCTACACGGACGGACGAATTGCAAGATCCTTCCGCTCTCTCACGTCTCACCTAACTCGCCAATTCAGTGTTCTCTCCCGGCCGCTTCCAGCTCCTCCTGCTTGCGCTGTTGCATCATCCGCAGCCCCATGTACCTGAGAGAGAGAGAAGCACGCAACCAGATCAGCCAAGAACACCATCGCCCAAACTTCTAGCTCTCACCTCCCAAGCATCATCACCGTGGCCTGAGGATTGGCCCCCGGCGTCGAGTTGAACGTAGAGATGTCGATCACCCGCAGCGCCTCGGTGCCGATCACCCGGTGCTCCTTGTCCACCACGCCCCCAACCAGGCACCCACCATGCGCGTGCCAGATGGTAACCACGCTATCCACGCAGTACTGCGCCAGCGCGGTGTCGTTGGACGTGTCCGCCGGCGGTATGAATCCGCTGGCCGCCTGGAGCACGAACGCCAGGTTCTGCGGCACCTGGCTCGCCTTCTGGTAGCTAAACTTGTGGAATGCCGGCGCGCGCACCGTCTTGCTGATCACCTTCACCGCCTGGACGCACACCGCCAGATCCCGCGGGTGCTGGTAGTAATTGTAGCGAACGATCGGGTTGTCCCTCACGTCCGTGGTCTTGAGCCGCAAGAACCCCTTGGAGAAGGGCCCCGAGACCTTCTGGACCACGTACGTGAGCTGCGGGAGATATGGGAGCACGAAGTCCGGGGGGCTGCGGACGAGCTCCAGGTACGCCGGGTTGACGAGCTTGGCCGGGTCCTTGAGCATCTGCACGAAGCACTGGATCAAGCCCGTGGTGTTTTGCCCCGCGCTGAGCTCCTCGATGTAGCTTCCGAACTCGGTGATGCCAGCGACGTTGACGAGCGAGTATGGCTGCTCCGTGGAGCCGGCGCTGAAGAAGACGTTGTTCGGGTTGTCCGCCATCGCTTGCCCAACCTGGGGGTGGTCCAGAACGAGCGGGATGCCCAGCGCCGAGAGCTCCGACTTTGGGCCGATGCCGCTCAGCTGGAGGAGCTGCGGGCTGCCCACGGCACCCGAGGAGACGATCACCTCGCCGCGCGGTGCCAGCGTCGCGGTGTGGGAGCCGCCCAGCTTGTCCGTGTACGATACGCCCACGGCGCGCGGTTTGCCGGACTTGACTGCATGCCCAAAAGGTGGCGGTGAGCTACGTTATGGGGGCATTAAAGGCGAACATCATTACACACAGCAAGAACAAAGAACACGTCTCTCGTGAAAAGTTAATGTTAGTACTTCCTGCAAACATTCAAGACCGTCGAGCAAGCATTCGAGATCGACGCAGACATGAGACCAGGAAAGAGAGTCCGAGACTTACCCGAGGCTGGATCAAAGAGGACCTTGTGCACCGTGGCGTGGATGAGGACGCGAGTGTTGGCCGGGGTGGCGTACTCCAGGAGGTCCGCAGCGGTGTGCCGCTTGCCCTGGGGATCGAAAATGGTGCCGCCCACCTTGGAGCCGACGAGGTGCTCGTACGTGAACCCATTGTCAGGCACCACCCCGGACTGGATCATGGCTGCCTTGAGCGCCGCCTGCCACTCGGGCACCACGGGCTTGAACGCCACCTTCGCCTCCACCCAGCGGTAGCCCTGCTCGACCAGCTCGGGCTCCCAGCCAAACATGGCCACCTCTGCGCGGCTAGCGCGCGTGTAGAAGCCGGCATTGAGCGCCGTGCCGCCGCCCAGGACGCGGCCGCGGTGGCTCAGCACGCCGTCCTCGGAGCGGTAGCCCTGCGCCACGGACGTGTAGTTGTCGTAGTCGAGGAGATTGACGTGGAAGCCGTCGACGCGCTCGATGGTGGAGACGCCGTAAGGCACGCCGCCGCGCTCCAGGAGGAGGACCGAATGCTTGGCAGAGAGGGTGGCGGCCAAGGCGCAGCCAGCGGCGCCGCCGCCCACGATAATGTAGTCGTATTGCTTGGCGGGTGGCGATCGGGATGCATCCTTGAGGAACGAGTACTTGTGGTCTGTAAGAAACCACTTGTTAGAAATGCTGCAAGAGAGCGCGTTGCTTCAAAAGAGAGAGCTCCAACTCACTTGTGCCACTGGGATGGGCTCCATTACGTGGGCGAGTTGGGGAGGTCGACTCTGCGAGAGTGGAGGAGAGGAAGAGGAGGTAGAAGGAAAGCGCGAGAGAGATCGCCGCGGCCGACTCCATAGCTCGAGCTGATGGGTGGATTGTTCTCGCCACTCCGGAGGGAGAGAGGCCACTCACTGGGAGGCACGGTGGGATGTCTCGAGAAGATATAGGCGGGGAATGAATGAAGGAGGTAGCGTTGGGAATTGAAGAACAGGCAGAGAAGGGTACAGCCTCGCTCCGCCTGGCCAGCAGCGTCTTTAATGCGGCCGAGCTGGCCAGCCAAACCCGGGCGTCGCGAGGCCAACACAATGAGCTTTTGGCCTAAGCGGAGGTGGTGTGTATAAATCCAAGCCGCAGTAACAGAGAGAGATTCTATCGATGGTGACAATCTCGGAAGCAAAGATTAGAGAGGTCGGAGAGAATCGCCAACCAGACAAAAGTATCGTGAAAAGATTGAAAGAAAGGGTCAATGCCCTTTGAATGGCGTCCACCCAAACAATTCGGTGTTTGATTGTTCTTGTGTAACAAAAAACTGCATGGTCCCTTTCAATCCAGCGGTAGCAATCATAAATTCCAACCCACCAACCGACAGACAGAAAAGAAGGAAAGAGAAATATGCTTTTACCGTCGTTCAAAGTTTAAGCTTACTGTTTTCAGAATTCTAAGAAGAAAAAAGCGACATCTCAATACAAAGTGCTAGTGGTTGATGTAAAGACCACGAGCGCATGCACCACTAGGTCTTGGTGTGTGAGTTGCACCTCCCGCAAGAATTCAGGCAGTTGGATCATCCATCTTGTACATGGGATTGGTGGCCTTTGGAGGTGTTTATATGTCGGACAGTCATTCACGACGTGGTTCATGTCCTCCACTTTCTCTCAGCTCTCTTTAAATCTTAGGCTTAGTGTGGCATCCTAGTTCCTCCACCAGTTGATGCCATCCCATTTGGTAACTCGGAAGAATCCTTGGAAGGGGGTGAGGTTGTTATATCCGAATGCACATCGAACCTTTGTCATAGGAATATTGTCCATGTGGCCCCATTCCTGAAGAGGTTGTCACGTCCAATATATGCCATCTCCTATAACTCTTGTATGGCGGCATCTGCCAGCTTTTGTTGGTACCTGCTATAGATGTATGTGAGTCTCCACACTAGGAATTCCAGTGCTGTGTGGAGAACAAGGATTGAATAAGGGGCTTTGTAGACGCCAAATGAAGTGTTTCTTGAGGCCTCCAGTTTGTTCCACAAGTTCCGACTAAGTTGGGGGCTAGCACTCTGCTCCGTAAAGCGCCATGCATTAATAAGTGCGCTTGATGCCCCACTGGTGGATGTTCACTTCCGGCAGTCAGATTGTAGTGTGCATGCTCAAATGATGTGCTCTTTGACCACTAGTTATCATGGCTCAGTAGGATCGTGAAATCTTTGCAAAGCTAGAAACTCACGTACGATGGACAGGAAGTGCTCAAAGAACTCCTGCACTGAGTAGTGGCTCAAGCTCAAGTACTAGCAACAGATCAAGAACAAGCCAGGCTTAGGCCACATATCTGTCCACAAAATAGACTTAGTCATCCACATGCAAAGTTAGCATGATTAGTTTAGCATACAAATTTGTACAAACCTTTAAATGGGCTGAATTCTTCTAATTTTTTCTTAGCACTTGTCCACCATCCTAGTTTGTATTCTTGGCCTTGTACTTAGTGCTCACTACTGGCTAGGATTCTTGTGCAATGTGGTTCTATAAAATAAAAAATATACTTATGGATGTTCAATATGTATAATTAAGGAGGTACTAATATGGTTTATGGGTTTCCAAAGGAGGCAATGGCAAAGTAAAAAGCTTTTAATGGTTATATTATCCCTAATTATCCCCCAAACTTCCAAAGATAAATCTTATCTTGATCTCATAATCAACTCAAAATGTGCTCTAATAATTAAATCTCTAAAGTATGAATGTTCATTGCTTTATCACTAAAAGCAAGTCCACCTAGTGCAAAGCATACATTATGATGAGGGAGTAATATACTTGGATTAAAGGATCTTGATGTTGATCCACTTTGTCTGATCGATATGGATTTGGGCATCATGGAATTAGGTATCTTCTTTAGGAACTTTGGCCATTTACTCCACTTGCTTTGGACTTAAATCCGTGTTTTAAAACTGAATTATCAAATTGCAGGCTGATCAATAAGGTTTTTTATGTAAATGATCAAAAATGTGATGAAACTCCTCATTCCTAGACCATGCTCTAGTGCCTTGACTCGGAAAAATAAACAAATCTCCCCAATCCTTGCTTCAAATCCAGTCCTAAAGAAGAAAACTAATTCCCCTCCTACTGCCAAGGCTCTAAACATAAATTGTCTAGCCAAAATATAGGGGAAACTTGCTTGATATCAAAAAGGAGTTTTGTATTATTGGGATGGCTGAACAATGGAGTTTGTATCTGATCAGATCAATTTATTCAGGTTCATCTATCCATGTGAGGTACCATACAACAAGACCATCTACTACGTGGTCAGCTTGTTAAACCATCAAAAGTCTCAAGAGCCAACAAGAGAGTGGAATGTAGTCTCAATACTCACCATTTGATAGAAGTGGTTCTTGATATCCAAAACCGTCCTGCTTGGACAAATGCCATCAAAATGCAATGCAATCACTCAGCAGCTGGTTTCCATTGCAAGAGACAAAGAAGGACCAAGAAGTGTTGCTTCTGGTTTACATCTCTGTTATAGAGGCAATATGATTCATATAGTCTTCCACTCGACCTCCAGGAATAGGATCATGAATGTGGCAAACTCTCTGAATATAACTCTGAAGCTTCTTTGAGTATGAAAAAGAAAAAGATGATGTTTTGAGCATGATCCACTCTTAATCTTTCAAACTTCGTTGGGAAAAATGATGTTTTTAGGTTGTGTCATTAAATCCTGATTATAGATTATACTAAACTTTGATAGACTTCAGTTATTAGATTAAATAATGTACACAAATATTCTAAGAAAAAAAGGCAAATAGAGAACGAGAGTTCGAATCACTTTATTTTTGGTTTGAGTTGAGAGGATGGACAGGGACTCAGCGAAATCCGAGGTAAGCGAGGGTTTTCGCTGGTGACTGATTCGAGCAAGCACATCGCAATGTCTTCCAGGAATCGAGGGATTCGGTGCCGGCTTTTCGGGAGAGATTTTGGGATCAGCTCAAACTGTGGAGAAGCAACCCATCCTGGGTCGATGAGCCGCCGATCACTGCAGTACGAGCGTTGCGTAGGATAGACTGGATTGGTTTTGACTGGCTGTTGCTACTTTCCCAGGTTACTGTTCCCAAAGGAACTCTGTGCCACTTGAAATCCACATTTAAAGTTGGCCTCCCACCGGAAGCTGTGTTTGGGATCATCACTGATCCAGGAAACAAGCGCGTCTTCAAGAACATCAAGGTCAGTTTTCTCGTGTTTTTGTGTTCCTGCTTTAGCTCGAATCTCTAGGAGGTAAAATACCGCAAGGTGATTAAAGCCGAGAACAACAGGCAGCTTGTAGAGGTCGAGCAAGCTGCCATTTGGAAGTTCCTGTGGTTCTCAGGGACTATAGACGTGCGTGTGCTTGTCGACGAGGATCAAAGCTCACACACGGTGAGGAGATTTTAATGTAGCACAAACTTACTGACGATTCGTTTTCCTTCCCAGGTTAGCTACAAGCTAGCCAAGGAAGGATTTATGAAGAGATTTGAAGGAACCTGGGAGATAAAGCCGTTTTACGTGGATGGTGAGCCGGGTGAAGCAGGCAGAGTAGCGTCACTTGTGAATCTCCATCAGGAAGTTCAGCCAGTTCTGATTCCACCGCCGCCAGTCTCATGGTATGTTCGAGGAATAACCACGAAGACGACGGAGATGATGATCGGGGATCTCCAAGCAGAGGGGAAAAGGATTAGAGAAGGGAATGAAGACGACGACGAGGCAAACTTGCAAGTGAAGAATGAGGATGAGGAGGGAGCATCTAAGAAGGAATGGAAGGCGAAACTGAAGAGCTCGGAAAAATGGAAAACTTCGGGAGAGAATAGCCGGTGGCGTATCCCAAAGTAGCCATTTGCATTGCAACGAGGTTTCGAGTTTCAGCAGTCAATGGTGTTATCGATTTCCCATTTGCTCAAGTGTTGTGTGAAGGATCTCCATCGTTCAGTCTGGATCTTCGAGTAGCTCGTGACAAATTCTTCGCCAAGGGCCTGTCGCACAAGGATAAGAAGAGCTCTCGAGAAAGCAAAAGCTTACCTTTCTCAAGGTGGCAGAAGCAGAGAATTCTTTCAGAGCTTCGGCTAGACTGGTGGGAAGAATTTGCACTGCCTGCAAAGAAAAGAAAAAAAACGAAAACAACAGCCATGCTACAGAGTTCTACTTCCGAAGGACAGAATGAGAAAACTCGCTACCTTCCCTTCAGGTGGCGGAAGATGGCCGTTCCAATCGGCTGATGGTCCCGGATGGACGTGATGATCAAGCCCGTGAAGGCCACAAGCTGCGAGAAAGTTGCGAGGTTCAGAGCTACACGTAAATCACTTGAAACTCACCCAAGATGGCAGCTTGGAAAAGATATGGATTGACTGCTCCATCTGCGAGACGAAGCTCGAATCGACCACCGTCGGGTATGCTGCATAAAAGCTTGTTAAGTCTGCAACGACGGAAGTTATCTGGCCTTTTGTACCGTATTAAGTGAGTACGATTGTTTCCAGTGTATGCGATGGAGCAAGGAGCCCATGAAGAGCCAGAAAGGGTGGTGCTTCCATCGATGCGCTTGTAGCTATTGACGGTGGGGTTGAGAATGGCAGTGATCGACTTGGTGTTTTGGAGCACTCCTCCGAGGAACTCATAAGCAGTCGTGGACAATCCCTGCAAGAATAGAGAAAGATATCAAAACGAAGGCAAAAGACTGGGGAAAGCTCACAAGCTTGTCTTGCTTGTCAAGGAAAACGTTGTGCTCGCCGGAAGTATCCCAGACCGAGACATGGCAATGTGTTCCATTGCCAGTTTGGTTTACAAAAGGTTTGGGCATAAACGTCGCCTTGAGACCTGAGAAAAGACCACAGGAGATCAATCGATAGAGCTCGAGAAAGCGAAGAAAGAAAAGAAGAGGTACCATATTTTTCAGCTAGTGATTTCACCATGAACTTGAAGAAGACGTGCTTATCAGCAGTAGCGATGCAATCGTCATACTCCCAGTTAATCTCAAACTGACCATTTGCATCCTGGAGCAAGAAAAAAGAAGCTGGGAAGATGATGACGAGAAAAACCAAAAGCTTGAACCTCGTGATCAGCCTGATATGGTTTCCATCCAAGAACTTCCAAGTAGTGAAGAACTTCCGCGATCAGGTCGTACCGTCTCATGAGAGCAATCTGGTGGTAAGCAACAAGTTCTGTTTTTCTTCTCTCTTCTATTTTTCCCTGTTTCTTACCTGTTCGTAGCCTGGTTTCTCTGCCTTATCCAATCGGTCCGACAGCTGATGAACATCGCTACCTCCGGACAGGATGAAAAACTCGCATTCGACCCCGGTTTTCATCCTCAAGTGTTTACTCTCGGCAATCTCAACCTGTGAAAGCTATGAATTCTTCTCAAGAAAAGAGTTTTGACACACCTGAGTTCGCAAGACTCTGCGAGGATCCTGTTGTACGGGCTTGCCGTTCATGTACAAATCGCTGGCCACCCAAGCTACTGCTGGTTTCCATGGAAGTTGGATCACGCTTCGAGGATCAGGCACCGCAAACTAGAAGAAAAAAACGCTCTTTTTAAGTCGCACTCTCTCTTTTCTATTGGCTTCACCAGGTCGGGATCTGCTGGACTCATGTCAAAGTGTGCGGCATAGCCAGCAAACCCAGCTCCTTTGATCTCCATCTCGCGGATTGCCGACTTTGGAACGAGCTTCGCTCGAGACACGCCTAATAGGTCCACGAAACTTATCTGCATTGATTGTTTTTTCGCAAATCTTTAGCTAGGACCCTGGCGCTCGAGATCGCTGCTCGTTTACATACCAGGAAATTTTCCACTCCTCTCTCTTGAGCGAAGCTCTCGAGCTCGGAAGTCGCGGCTCCAGGCGCCATCGCTCTCTCTCTCTCTTTCTCGGTGCTCCACAATAGTGACGTGGGCAGTTCTTATTGGCCGCAGCTCACGGCGGGATATTCCCCTAAAATTAGAATCTTTTCGCCCTAGCTAGGGTTTATAGCTCGGCTCGGCCATGGAAGGCAGCAATGCGTTCGTCTACGATCGACTGGCGCCGATCGGCATGGATTTCGCCCTAGGTGACGCAGATGAGATTGTAGAGGCGCCGGCTGTGAGAAGCGAGGATGGAAATCCGGGTGCTTCCGCCGCTCCGGGAAGCGTGATTGAAATCAGCGATGGCGAGGCGGAGATTGACTACATTTCGCTCGCTGTCGACGGGCTTGTGAAAGCCGTGGAGCAGGAAGAGGATCCCGACGAGGCCTTGGTAAATCTCGCCGCCAGTGACGAGTTGGACCTGGAAGTGGACAACTACAATGACAAGAAGATTTGGCCGTGGATGGAGGCTAGAGAAACGACTTTCCGGAGTCCAGTGCTCCAGCTCCATCAAGGTTCGCGCACTTTTTCTGGGAGCTAACGAGCTCATTTTTTTTTTCTGTGCTTCAGAGATTTTAGATTTTTGTACGTTCATCTCACCGACTGTGGAGGAAGAGGCCGAACGTGCTGCAGCTATTAATCGTATAAGCAATGCGATAAAGTCGCTGTGGTCACACTGTAAGGTCCGCTTCGTTCTTTTTTCTTGATTATGAATCCAGCCTTGTTTCTTTTGGTTCTAGATTGAAATTTTTGGATCATATGCTACTGGGCTCTATCTTCCGACGAGCGACATTGATGTAAGACAGCCCGTTCTGATTTGTTTAGTTTTCTCTTTTCTGAACACAAAAATTGCAGGCTGTGATTCTAGACTCAGGATGCGATAGGATCGTAAGCGGTCTTAGAGCAATTTCCATAGAGCTTAGGAAGCGAAAGTTGGCCAGGAAAATAACGGTAGACAATTGTAATTGGAATCACAACTAACTGCTGTCTTGATGCAGATCATATCAAAAGCACGCGTCCCGATTATAAAGTTTGTGGAATCAACGAGTGGAATTTCATTTGATATCAGGTGAAGCAGCGTGATAAGCCATTTCATTCGTCTTGAATTTCCTTTTCTTCCGCTCCTTAGTTTCGATTTAAGAAATGGACCCGAAGCAGCAAAGTTCATACAGGTGACTTCATTATGAAAGTTAGAAGGATTTTTGTATGTGACCGTGCGCCTTCCAAACAGCGAGCTATTGGAACTTTGCCTCCTCTGCGGCCTTTATGCATGGTGCTAAAGATCTTTCTTCAACAAAGAGAACTGAATGAGGTATAATTTGATCATGGCAAGGAAAGGTTTAACCGTTGATGTTGTAGGTGTACTGTGGTGGAATAGGCTCATATGGTCTTCTAATCATGCTCATTACGCATCTTCAGGTAAAGCATATCATGACTTCTGTATTATCGGCTGATTGACTTTCTTCCCAGATGCACCCGAGTCGGCATCATGGCGGCAATCTCGAAACTAATCTGGGTGTTTTGCTGGTAGTACACACGAATTTTGTTCCATCTGAATCTCTCATTTCTATATTTTATTGCAGCTGGACTTCTTTGATTTGTTTGGTCGTAGTCTCAACATAAGAGAGGTTGGGGTCTCTTGCGCTGACGGTGGAAGGTTTTTCTCGAAGGTTTCGAAGGGGTGAGTTTAATATATTCTGTTTGGTCAAGGACTCTTTGTGATGCCAACTTGCAGGTTTGTTGATTACAAACGGCCGTTTTTGCTAGCTGTCGAGGATCCTCAGGTATTATTTCTACATATTTGTACTGCAGATAGTAAAACGCTTACATATTCCAGGCACCAGAGAACGATATAGGAAAGAACTCTTTCCAGATTCCCAAGGTACGCGAGAAGATTTTAAAGTGATGTGTATACGTTTACAAGAGCTGCTTGTTGTAGATCCGTGCGGCATTCGTCCTTGCCCACAGGCTGTTGGCAACGACTACTGCAAACACTGGAAATACTGGAATACTGGGCCGAATCATTCGCGGCGACAGCATTCTAACCAACAGGAAGCGCGCGACGGCCGGTGACGCTAAGGCTTGCACGTACTTTTTCGATCCAATAGAGGAGCTGCCCGATGCCGACACAATGCAGCCGAAGAAGTTCAAGTACAAGAAGAGACACAGGCCGGACGACTCCAAGCAGCACAAGAAAAAGAAACGGGAGGAACACGAGGAACGCAGGAAACGAAAGCGCGATGAGGCCTCCTCGTCAAGCCGGAACTCAAGGTGGAAGAAAGTGGAGGAGAGGGAATCGCCAGGCCCGAGATTGTCGAGGAGGACTACATACACTGATCACTGCGACCACGACGGCGTGGACACGGGCCTAAAGAGAGTCATCGTGGCCTCGCCTTCGCACAAAAAGTTTAAGTACTCGTGAGAAGAGACCCCTCAAACTAAACCAAAGCCTTACGACCGCGAAAGAGATTTTTTCCCGTCAACGTCCGGGCACCACTTTTACTATCGAGACACGAGACTATCGAAGCAAAGAGAGCGATCAAAGCCAAACTTAACGGGTATTATCAGGATATCCACTTTATATTTTGGAGGAGTGGAGCAACTTGGCACTACTCTTATCCTCTCGGGGCGACGAGATGCTGGAGAGTTTGAGCCGGGCAGCCATGGCAGGAGTTTTGGGAGCCTCATCGTCTCTCACTGCTAGCAGGGGTGGGAAGAATTGGGAGAGAGGTAGCCATAGAGGACTAGCTGCTTGGAGGAGCTCTAGAACAGCTCGGCTGCCAGGAATTGGAGACGTGTGCTACAGACTGGAAAGACCAACAAGAGCTTCTTCGCCAATTTCTTCTTCTTCGTCTTCTTCCTCTTCGACAGCAGCACCCAGTGGTGCTGCTACCTCCTCGGCCAAAGGAAACAAAGGCAATGGCAGCGCCACCAAAGAGGATCCCGTCAAGATGATATCCACGGAGCTCGAGTTCCAGGCGATGCTGCGGGACGCGGGCGAGAAGCTGGTGGTGGTGGAGTACGCCGAGAGCCACAGCGTCAACAGCAAGCGGATATATCCGGCCATGGTGGAGCTGAGCCGGACGTGCCCGGACGTTGTCTTCCGCCTCATACTGGCTGACGAGTCGGAGGAGACCAAGGAGATGTTCCGCCGGGAGGGCGTCGCCAAGGTCCCCCACTTCATCTTCTACAAGAGCGGCGAGAAGGTCCACGAGGAGGAAGGCATCACCGAGGACATGCTGCTCGGGGACGTGCTCTACTATGGCGACTCCTCCAAGGCCATCACCCAGCTCCACAGCCGCGGCGACGTCGAGGCCCTCATCCGGAAGCACAGGGACGACGACAAGCTCGTTGTCCTCGACGTTGGTCTCAAGCACTGCGGCCCCTGCGTGAAAGTGTACCCCACCGTCATCAAGCTGGCCAAGAAGATGGCCGACACGGCCGTGTTTGCGCGCATGCACGGCGACGAGAACGACGACTGCATGGCCTTCCTCAAGGAGCGAAACGTCGTCGAGGTGCCGACGTTTCTCTTCATCCGCGAAGGCGAGCTCATCGGAGAAATCCTGAAACATCAAGGCGTCATGTAGGTAGAGAAGAGTAAGAAAGATTTGCTTACCGCTCTGTAACGAGATGTAATCTAAGCTTGCTCTCCTTCCTGCTATCTCTTTCCTGCTATCAGTAACTCATTCCTCCTTGCCAGCACTTGAAACTCTTCTTACACCATCCTGAGACTCCAATAGATATTTGCCATGGATAAGGCCGCGCCATGCCTCTCATCCAGCCTCACCACCCTCCGGTAGTGCTTGAGCTCGAAGTACTCCTTTCCCTTGTCAACCAGGCCGGCATGGCTGCAAGCGGCGAGGATAAACGTGAAAGTGATGGCATCTGGACGGAGGCCTCTGTCTTGCTTGAGGTTGAAGAAGTCGATAGCGCTCTCTGTCTGGCCTTGGCGACTGTATCCTGTCGTCCAAATCATAGTGTCTTTCGTTTAAGAACCAAATAAATCGAATACCTGTCGTGCTTCACCCATTCTCCCACACTCGCAATAGAAGTCCACCAGGGAACTCAAGTTTCTCTCAAGGCCGCTCTCACAGACTTGAGTGCGAATTTGTCTCCCTGTCTGTAGTGCTGCCAGCCAAGTACAGGCTTTCAATCCGGCCAACCGGGAACGCAGCCTTCCTGTCCAAACAGTTCCAGCCCGGTCTCGGCTTCCCCGTTTTCTACGTATGCCAGGACAAATGCCGTCCATGGAACCACGTCCTGTGATGGCATTCCGTTGAAAACTCGTCGAGCATCCACCAAGCTGCCGTAAAGATCGGCCAAACTGCTTCCCACGAACACGTCTCTTGAATCAAAACCGTGCTTTGCTGCTCTGCTGTGAACTTCCATCCCTTTCTCCAAAGCTCGGAGCTTCACCAGCGTCCCATCGATTCGCTGGAACGGCTCTTGCGTATCGCGCACGCCAGGATTGCAGCAACAAAAACCTTGGCGTGCGCTACACACCCTCCATCCGACTGCATCCTTGAGAAGAAATCCTAGGCCACCTCGGCTTCACCGTTTTGAGCGTGTCCCAGTATGATTGTCGTCCAGGAGACAACGTCTCGACGGGCCATTCCTTCGAAAACTCTGCGGGCCTCCACCATGTTGCCAGCCATGGCGGTGGCAACGAACACATCAGACTCGAAGCCGCTGCTCACAACTTGCGAGCAAAACGATCTAAACACCTGGAAAAGCCTTTTGTTCTCGCTGCCAAGCTGCCGAAGGTCTTGAGCACCGCAAAACGCTTGACCATCTGGCACGCATCCCTCGCACTGCATGAGCGAGAAGAAAAACATGCCTACCTTGTTCTCACCATTCAGGACGTACTGTACAGTCCCATTCGATCACAAGTTTGGCAGCTCGTGCCCCAGGATCAAACTCGTCCACGACACAACGTTTGGCAGGAGAATCCCTCAAAGACTCCGCGAGCTTCCTCAATTCTCAGCACGTTACACACGTAGACGTCGGAAAGAACTCCATACCTGTCAGCTTGAGTGTGCAAATAGACGGATCTCGGGCGAAAATTCGAGCCTCTCCTCCTTGGCCGCCAGATTGGAGCACGCCTTGACCGCTGCGACAAAGCTCGGCGAATCCGGGGCACATCCCTCAGCGCGCATGCGGTGAAATATCTCTAGAGCTAGATATTCCTTACCGCTCTCAGAACGAGCGACGCCCTCGAAGATCCGGCACGCTTCCGCCATGCTTGCGCACCTGGAGGTACATGTGAAGCAGCACCCGCATTCGAGGAATAGCCGAGCCGATCGAGTTCGGCGTGGCTTTCCCTTATTCCAGGAGGAGCCCTAAACCTTAAAGGTAAAATAGTTTAAAGAAGAGGTCTGATAGCATTTACAGGGAAAGATTTAAACATTATAAAAATCATTCATCTCGTCCCAGCTGCCAGGATTTATTTAGTCATATCCTCAAGTAAAGTTTTATAAAACCATGCATCTCTTAGTCTAAATGATAAAATGATCCATCCCATTTTTATTGTCCTCAATAATAAGTATAAAATTGTTATAAATGCAACATAAATATGTTTTAAGAGTATGGGATTTTAATATTGTTGTCCATGTTGTGAACAAAAGTTAGTGGTGTTCAGTGTTGTAAATCTTTATTGGTGGAGTATGGCATTTATGTTGAATTTTCAATAAAAGAGAAATTAAGTTTAAAATTCAAGTTTTAGTAAAAAAGACCAAAACTTTATTTTGTAAATTAAATCAAGATTTTTTAAATAAGTTAAATAATTTAAATTTACTTTAAAAAGATAACTATATTTACAAATTACATCATAACTTACAATTCGTTAAATAACACATTGGAAACTAATTCTGTCGTCTTATTAAAGCAAAAAAGTAATAAGTTATTAACAAAGCAAATTTTCAATCCAAACCTCTCAGCCACCTTTCTTACATTATCAATTACATAAAACATATTAACCATTTTGTTTTCTATAAGTTCTGTAATTTAAGTTTTTATGGTTTTTGTTTTTATTATCCTAAAAACTTTATTATTCAAAATACTCACTTTCAATAATTATCACAAAATCCATAAATATGTATAGAACACTCATTTAGTTTAGTAAAATATAATTTTTTCCTCAAATACACACTAGTGTTCTTTTTAATTAATATAAAAGTTTAATTAATTTATTTTTAATCTTTTTAAATATATTTTATAGAGAAATTATTTAATTCTTTCCATTAAATAAATCAAAAATTACCTTTAAATTATTAATAACTTATATAAAACATCAGATTTATATGAAATATTAATATTTTATTTTTATTGTTAAACCACAAAGGCCTCTCTTGATTTAAATAAATTATTTTTTAATTCACAAGTAAATATTAAAAATTATAATGTAAAACTTAAAAAACCTTTATAATATTTAAATATATTTATAAAGATAAAATTTTTATTATAAATTTTTAATTAACACTCTCTTTATATATGCTCAATCAGCTTGAAGATAAAAGATTTTTTATAGTTTAAAAATAACTTTTTAAAAGTTAGTTTTTACTCTTCTAGTTTAAAAATTATGATAGTTTAAAATTTAAAAGCATAAACTTTTATATGGAAGAAACTATGAAAAAAAAAATATTTCTATATTATAGTAAAAGTAATACATGGAAAAGTTAATATATTAGAATATAATTTAAAAGGTTCAATTTTATTAATGACTCCTTGACTCTCTCAAAATATCATACACAATTACTTATAAAAATTTCTATAAAAAGTTATAATTTTGGCTACATCAAGGTTGCCTCAACACTAATTATATTTTAAAATAAATGAGTTATAAAGTTATTTGTGTTTTATTTTGTTACTTACTGTTGCTAAGTGAAATTTAAAAGTCCATTATAATTGTTAAAATATATTTAAAATTATAAATATTTTTTTAGAATTATTTTATCCAACACACTAAATGATTCCTAACAAAAACAATCATCAAAAGATTTTATATACCTTAAATAATTTTTATTTTCATTTGTTAAAATTTTTGTAGTTCAAAGATTAAGAACCTAAACTTTTATAATAAAATTTGTTTTTATGAAAAAACTATATTTTTAAATATTTTAAGACATAATTTAAAGGGTTTAGTTTTATTAACAATTATCCGAATCTTAATTATGTATATAAAAGCACAGTTGGACAAATATTGTTACCAAGGCAATTTGATAGTGATGCAGTGATCACCTTAAGGCCTCAGGGGATACTAGGTGTACACTTTGTGGTTTTGTATTCTGAATGCTAGCAACTCCAGTTTGTTTTGGCAGTTTATATAAGCCACAACAACACCAAGCACCATCAAGGTAGACATTGGCCATTCAGTGATGAGGCGACTGAGACCATTTTACAGATTCAGCAGTCCAAGCAGAAAGGCTTTTTCTCTTGTTGTCTTTCATATATTAAGTAGTCTCTTCTTATGTCAAGTTAGGAGTCCTCCAACTTCCACCCACACTACTTCCATCCACTGAAAGAACAAGAAGATCGAGTATGAAGCTTAAAGCATGAAGATCTTTTGGATCGAGGAGTGGAGCAAGGTTCCCAGCAACTCACAACACACTTGCATTTTTGCATTCATCAGTCTCATGCTTCAGAATGGGCACCAGAACACTATCAAAACAGCATTAGATCTCTTCCTGCAGAGCTGAGTATTAAAGATGTGGAAAATGGACCAATGAAATCAGATTTGCTTTCAGGTGAGAAATGTCTGTCTCTCAGGTGCTATGGTGACGTGAATATCAGGGGATTTGTCCAGTGGAAGAATCGGAAGATCGACCAGGAGTCCCTCTATGGACAAGCGGAAGCAAAGGGGCCAAACAAAGAGGGAGCTCGGATGGTGGACCAGACTTCATGCTCGGAAGAGGAACTGTTGGCATTGCAAATTTTATCACTCCACTCCACAGTCTGCCCTGACCTGATAAGGATCAGGATATGTAAAGCATCCCTTGAGGACCATGGAAAACTTTGTAGCATCGAAGCGCATAAGTGGTCCGAAACTTCTCTTTCACCCATGCTTCCAGATAACAGGTGGAACGGCTCTTGGATTGACACAACTCTCCTAAAGAATTAAACCAAGGCCAGCTTGGCTTCACTGTTTTGAGCGTATGTCCCCTCGAAAACTCGGACGTTTATGTCGATCATGACGCTGGAAACGGCCACATCAGAGCCGTAGCACAACTTGCGAGACCGTCTCTTCCCGTCGCTATGACCGGAGCGTTTTGTTGCTGCCAAAGGCCAACGCTTGACTGCATCCCTCGTATTGCACGAGAAGTTTGGACGATCGAAACGATTCTAGAGCACGTTACATACCAGGAATTCCAGACCTGCTAGCTTGAGCGTGGAAGTCTTGGCCTAGCCTCTTCCTTGGCCGCCAAATTGGAGCGCCAGAAGGAATACCCGAGTCGTCCTAGAAAGAGCAACGAGGACGCCTTAAAGTCGTAAAGGAGAATATACTAGTGAATATAAAATATTTTAATTTCGTCATCATCCTTTGTTTAAATAGCTCGGTTGTTGGTGAGAAGAAATGTACAGGGAGGGTAGAAAGTAAAAAGTTTTCGGGGACGAAGAAAGTTATGGCAAGAGAGGGAACGAAGAAGCACCGAGTGTACGTAACCTTGATGACAAGAGAAGCCTGGGAGAGACACAAACAATCTAAAGAAAACTATACCCTCGATACTTCTTCCACTCCATCACCTCCATCGGAGCTCTGGAATTTCTGCCCAATCTTTCTCCGCGGCTACTCGGGCCCAGCTGCAAGGATTTCCTTGGTCAGGTCCGCGTTCCCCACGTTCTGGTCAGTAAAGTTCTCGAAGTTCTTCTTGAACAGGCCCGCCAGACGATTCAGCGTCTCGAAATAGGCCTTCTTGTCCCACCACTGCCAAATAATTGAAAGCCTCGTGAGTATGGAAAGAACGAGAAACGAGAAAGCGAGGAAAAAAACACAAGAGCTTCTCTTACCATGTTTTCTGGATGGAGGAACTCGGACGGGACACCTTCCACTTGATCTGGAATGTGAAGCTTAAAGATTGGAGTCTCCGAGTAGTTTGCTTCCAGCAGCGAGCCATTGTGGATGGCATCGATGATCTTACGAGTGTAGGCCAGCTTCATTCTCATCCCGACACCATAGCTGATAAAACAAACAAGATGCCACGACAGTGTGAGATTATTTGCATCATCGAGAGAAGCGCGACAAGGTACCTGCCACCCGTCCAGCCGGTGTTGACAAGCCATGCCGTGGCCCCATAAGTTTTCATTTTCTCCGCCAACATTGCTGCGTAGCGAGTGGGATGGAGCATAATAAAGGCCGCCCCGAAGCAGGCAGAGAAAGTCGCCTGTGGCTCCTTGATTCCATCTTCGGTTCCGGCAACCTGGAAGAATTCAACGCACTTGTAACAATCAATACTTTCTCTTGACGTAGACTTACCAAAGCAGTGTATCCACTGATGAAGTGGTACATTGTTTGCGGTAAGTCGAGCTTGCTGACAGGAGGGAGGACCCCAAACGCGTCACACGCAAGTAATATCACGTTCTTGGGATGGCCTGCGACGCAAGGAAGTTTGACATTGGGGATGTACTCGATTGGATATGAGGCTCGAGTGTTTTCTACGAAATATCGCACAGTATTAAGAAACACATAAGAAAAACTTCTTAACACATACCAGTGACACCCTTGTCTTCGTAATCAACTTCCCGAGAGTGCTCGTCAAAGACAACGTTTTCCAGCACTGCAAAAACCGATCATTGAGCCCGTAGTCTGAATAATTAAAGTATCAACTTACCAGTGCCAAACTTGATAGCGTTGAAGATATCAGGTTCTTTCTCCGGTGACAAGTCCACACATTTTGCGTAGCAACCACCTTCGATGTTTGAAACACCATTGTCACTCCAGCAGTGCTCGTCGTCACCGATTAAGTACCGGTTGTGGTCCGTCGACAATGTGGTCTTTCCGGTACCTGACAAGAACAGTACAAGGAAGCGATTAGAAAAGCAAAAGGAGGACACGTCCTACCACTAAGCTAGGACCCAATACAATACCTGATAATCCAAAAAACAACGCGACATCCCCGGACTTTCCCATATTGCAACCGGAGTGCAACGACAAAATTCCTCTTTTCGGCATAAGGTAGTGCATCACACTGAATAGACCCTTCTTCATCTCTCCGGCGTATTGCGTCCCCAGGATCACCATCTCTCTCCTCTTAAGATTAATATCTACACTAGTGGACGACGTCATGTAGTGTGTATACCGGTTGCAGGGAAACTGGCCAGCGTTATAGATTGTGAAGTCGGGCGCACCGAAGTCCTCGAGCTCTTCAATAGTCGGACGAATACACCTGACACCCATACTTTCAGCACTTCTACACTAGAATCTAGTCCGGTAGACAGGCAAGCAGCTGGCCCAGTAACACACACACACGGCAGAGAAAGGGTTTAGATACGTACATGTTGTACATAAACAAGGAATGATACGCCCGTGCTGATATGATTCGGACTTTAATTTTGTTTTCGGGATCCCAATTTAAAAACTGGTCATTGACAAACACCTGCGAACGCAAACACGTCAAAATCCCACCACGACTTGAGAAACTAGCACAAGTCACCTTCTCCAGAGAGTTGAGATAATCCACAGCTCGTTCGCGATTGATCAAGAAAGTCTCCGCGTCCATTTCAATATTTGGAGAACCTCTGTGAAAGGCAAGGATTAGATTTTTGCAAAACTTTGTTTCGAAAGCTTACTTTCCCCACCACAGGTCGTCCATGGACGTCTCCTCTCGCACAACGCGTTTGTCTTTAGGAGAGCGTCCAGTCTTAGCTCCAGACAGGGTGGCCAGAGCACCAGTGGACGTAATGTACGAGCCCTTCTCATACTTGATAGCCTGCTCATACAGCTCTGCCACCACACACATGAAGATCACGTTAAACATCAGCCGAGAGAAACATGACAAACCAACAACTTTGCGAGCAAAGAATCAAAGGTGGATGCAATCAGCTGCCAACCCACAACAACCAAACCAAACCAGGAACAAAACCCAACACGTACAACTCGTGTGGCTACCAAGTTCACGAAGAACGGAAAAAAGAACTAAAGCTAAGCTACGTCCTAGATAGAATCGAAGCAACAGAAAGCAAATAGCTAGAAAAAAACAATCGAATGGAACAGTGCTTATCACCTGCTGGCGAAAGGTTGTAGAGCACATGAGTGAACTTGAGGGCACTGTCACTGATATTCGGCCTCACAGGGACCAAGCTGACAGGCTTCTCGATTTTATTCTCGGGATCACCACGGACGACCTGAGGGCCTCTTTCCCGAGTGAGAGAAGCCAAGGAAGCACTACACACACAATAAAAAGAGGGATTAGCCAAGAAAATGACCACCACGAATAAAAAATGGGAAGGAACGAACGATCACCTGATGGATTCCATCTGCTGCCTCTCTCCAAAGGGAGACATGGCGCCGCCTCTGGGAGTGGTGGCTCCCTTGGGCGTCGTCCCCTTAATCGGCGTCGACGGAGCCGATCTCTTCTTCTGGAGCGAGTGGAGCTCGTCCAGGCTCTGGACCTTGATCGGCGGGACGCTGTCATCGGTGCAAACATCGCGGTGCTTGTGCGTCTTGATCTTGGACAGGCCATTCGGGATCCCATTCCCGTTGGTGGCCACCAGCGAATCGGCGCTGCTGTTGTCGGCCGACGCCATCTCCTCCGCTGAGATTTCTGGCGATTCCTGCATCAAGATCAAAGATTATCGTGAAATCCTTGCATGGATCGATCGGATCGATGGCAAGAACGAGATATTACGGGCAAAGATTCCTCGAATTGCGCAATGCCGCCGATGCGGAAGGAAGATCCAATGGCAAAAGCTAGCGGCGAAAAAAGATAGGAGTGCCAAGAGGCAGCTCCTCCGGAGGATTAAAAAACACCCCTAGCTTCGATCATTCCCCAGCTCAAGAACACACTGAGAGAGCAAGCCTTCCCCCGCCCCCTTTCATATGAAGGCCCCCAATCTCGCTAGCTAACTACGCGTCTAACCGCGCAATTACCCAAGCGGTAACTTGTGTCCACTCCGTGAACCGGGCGGTACAACGGCGCGGTAGCTAGGTTCGGCTCAGGCTCGGAGGCGGGCAGATACGGTGTTTGAGCGGCGGCTGCGGCAAGGTTCGGTGCAAATAATTGAGGCATGAGTGAAAGGTTCGGCAATAAGGTCCGGTACAAAGAGCTAGGCCCGGACGCAAGGTTCGTGGATGGGATTCCAAAGCTACACAGACCTGAAATATTCCGCTTGTGTCAGGCTGCCTGATTGCCGGCGTCAGCGCGCCGCGCAGGCACTTGACTGACGCCGCTAGCAAGCGTAGTGACAGATTCATGCCGTCCACGTGGATACACACGTGTCTGTGATCCAGCCGTTGCCCCACCGAAATAGAAAGCGGATAAAAAACGACGCATCCCAGCCGCCGGGGACGACCGGCCGGATCACTTCCACGTGTAACGCATCTATTGAGATCCAAGTTTGAGCCATTCGCGCGGCGAGAGTTGAGAATCAAAATGGATTGTTGTTATCGTCGCATCATCGATCGCCAATCTTATCAAACAAGCAGCACCATGGGTTTGACCTTTGATTTTTTGGAGCACTCCACATTTGAAGCATCACGGGCGGAAAATAAAGAAAGAGAAAAAAAGAAAGGTCGCGCGGCTTTTGATACCTCAGTGCGCAAATCCGACTGAATCTGGATCCAAAGTTAAAAAGAGTCATGATCCACATGGCGTAGAAAACGTATGCTTTGCCAATGAAAAATACAAGAGTATGGTACCTTTTGACACACCAGGAAACTTCGTTGGTTCAACTTTAATCGCGTTTGATCGAGATCAGTGAGCTCGGGTCATCCTCATCTTTGGCATGGATTTTTTGAGCTGCTTCGCGCGCTCCTTCTCTTCCTTCCTGCGGAGGGCCTCGGGGCTCAAGCGCGACTCGAGCTCCTCGGCGGCCCTTCGTTTCTCCTCTCGCTTGCGAGTCATGGCTTCGTGGCGAGCGTTTTGGGCCTGCTTCAACGCTTCCTGCTGCGACTTTTGCCTTGCCGGGTCGACTTTCGCCCGAGCCTGCAGGGAATTAAACAAAGCGAGAAATTGAAACGTTTAGCAGGAAACTTCGAAAGAAACTACCACCTGTGGACTAAGTTTGTAGCGGCCAACTGCATCGATGAAATGAGGAACCATCTGGATCAGTCGAGAAATCTCTCCCATGCGGTTTGCAGGCGGGAGATAAAACTTGAACTGGAGGAGCTTCCTGTGCACACCGAGGGGATACACATCCGACAAGTGAAGAGAAACAAAGTTGGCTCCGTGTTCTTTGAACGTCTTCTCTCCAAGGGCCTGCCAAATTCATACTCTGTCATCTCGAATAATCGAAATCTATAGAAAGAAAAAGAAAAACCATGATAGATGGTTACGTACCATATCCAAAACCGCGTCGGTGAGCAAATCGTTCGAGACTTCCCGCGACTCTGCAATGACTGCGAGATCCTCAGACAAGGATTTACCTCGCGAGGACGGCGTCAAGATGGTCGCAAACTGCTGCAAATCTCGTACGTCTTTGCTCATCGCCTTGGCATTCTTTCGACGTGCCACTGCCGCGACAACGTTGTCCATGCTCTCGTCGTTCATGAAGACCTGGATGGTAATCTCGTCTTTCGCCGGCATCACGTAGTACCAGAGGCAAGAGATTAAGTCTTGCCTGTTCTTAAGCTCCATCGTCGCGAGCATTCCCTGGCAGTACCTCCTCCCAGAAGCGTAGAACTTGAAAACGTTCTGCCCTTCCTTCATGAGTAGCGCCGCATCCTCCGCCTCTCCGATCCCCAACAAGCTAAAGTTCTTCTCGAAGATGCTGCCTTTGCCTGCGTACTCGCCAGCCCAGGCCAAGGCAATCTTCTCGTTTTCCTTCCTTCCAAAAAAGTACTTCGCCGCGTAAGCCACCAAGAACACCACCGAGAAGGCCTCCATGTAGTAGTTTTGAGGACCGCTGGGAGCTCGGCGATTGCTACTCGGGCTTGGCGAAGTCTTTGCAGGAGCAGCTTCTTCCGGCTCCGGATCTTCACTCGGCAAGCCCTCGAACTCATCCTCGTCCCACTGCTCCTGCTGCCTCCGAGGCTTTTCCACGCTCGCAACAGGCTCTTGGATTCTTTCCTCACGGTCCACTTCCGGCTTCTCGAACGGATGATGAGCTGCCGGAGGCCCGCGGTCGGTCTCGAAGCCGGGACGTCTTACGGCGTGTGGAGGCACCACAATCGGCGCTTCTCCATCAAATTCCTCATCCAGCTCGTCTCCAAAGCCATCGAAATCGGTCGCCCCACTGCCAGGGACTGGAGAAAACGCGGATGTCCGCGCCACCTCCTGGCCCAGAATCGCAACGACCGAGATCACAGCCAGACACCACCATAGCTGCTGGTCGAGCCGCAAAGATCTTAGCCTGCTACCACGCGCTCCATTCAGATCCTAGAGCGTGAAGGAAACCACTTACCTGGCGCTGGATTTCGTGAAGATCTTGGCTCCGGATCCTCCCCCGGCGATGAGAGCCGCCGCCACAAGCCCCACCGTCGTCGCCATCGCTACTAGGGCTTTCTACCTGAGATGGTACTGACGTCAGCCCTAGAACTAGGGGTTTTTCGCGCCACTCTATTTTAACATTTTGCGAGAAGGAATCGAGGAGCCCCGGAAACGACAATTCTGCCGCGAGTAGAACTTTAGCGCAGACGGCTGTGTTCTTGCGACCATGGCGGTCTGGCGAGGAGGAACGTCGGCAGTGATCCGAGCTCCAATCGACAAGGTATGGGAAGCTACCCGTGACTTTGCTGGAATTCTAGATTGGACGGGGCTAGCGCTCTCGGTCCCGGGCCTGGAGATGACGATCACGAGCGGCGAACCGCCAATTCCAGGCTGCGTGAGGTGCTTCACGGTCCCGCAGCCGGATGGGGGCAAGATCGTCTTGGCTCGCGAGACGCTGCTGGAATTCGACGAGGAGCAGCACAGGTTCAAGTATCGCGTGGATGATCACAAGGTTTTGGACGGCTATGTCGCGACCTTCGCACTGTCCAGGCAGGGGGACGGCGGGGATGCAGCGACGCTGCTGGAATGGACGTACGAGATCCCGGCAGATGAAGCCGATCCATCCAAAGAAGGTGCTGTCAACAAGGAAGCTATGGGATTATACCACCCCTGCATCGAATCCCTCAAGAAGATCCTCGAGTAAGACTGGCAGATACTTTATTTGTCCCAAAGAATAAGTGGTTGGGTGAAATTAGGCCTTTTCTTCCCATCTAGACATGAATAAACAAGGAAGCTATGGGATTATACCACCCCTGCATCGAATCCCTCAAGAAGATCCTCGAGTAAGACTGGCAGATACTTTATTTGTCCCAAAAAGTAAGTGGCTGGGTGAAATTAGGCCTTTTCTTCCCATCTAGACATGAATATTCCTTACTTTATTTTATCTATAAAGAAGGATCGAACCCGAGATTCAGAGACCAAGGTGGGGCAGGGATTTCTCCCGAAATATAAAGAGAGGAATCTCCGAAATATCGAGAGAAGAAATGGACAAGCTTAGCGAGGATTGGCTAAGCTCGTTTAGTGAGATGGCGAACCAGAACTAGGGTTACTTAAATTTTTTAGGGCTATGGCAAATTTAAAAAAACCTTTCGCGCCAAAATCTAGTGTAATCGAGGAGCCCAGGAAAGGACAAATTGCCGCGAGAACAAAACTTGGCGCACGGGAGGAGTGTTTTCCCACGATGGAGATCTGGCGAGGAGGAGCTTCTGCAGCGATCCGAGCTCCAATCGACAAGGTATGGAATGCCACGCGTGATTTTGCTGGAATTCTAGACTGGGCGGGGCCAGCGCTCTCTTTCCCCGGCCTGGAGATGACGGTCACGCACGGGGAATCGCCAATTTCCAGGCTGCGTGAGGCGCTTCACGGTTGAGCAGCCGGATGGGAGCAAGATCGTCTATGCTAGTGAGAGGCTGTTGGAGTTCGAGGAAGAATCGCGTGGATGCTAACAAGCTCTGGCGCAGCTATGTTGGCGCTCTCCAGCCAAGGGGACGGCGGGGATGCGCAGACGCTGGTCGAATGGACGTACGAGATGAAGCCGATCCATCCAAAGAGGCTGCTGTCAACAAGGAAGCCATCACCCGCGCATTGAATCCCTCAAGAACCTCTTCGAGTAGATGAAATTGAAAACTAAAGAATACTCGTTGTCGCAAACCAACTTCGTTACGTTCATCTTAACAATAATCAAAGAATCGATTCAACGAAGCTAGCAGCCACGACTATAGCACTTGCTCTCGTGGCCAAATTGGACAAGGCACTTGACTTCTAATCAAGGGATTGTGGGTTCGAGTCCCACCGGGAGTGTTTCTTCTTCGATTTCATCACATTACAAGCGTTGCTTGACATGTAAGTCATAAGTTTTGCGTCTTCGGTTAAAGATCAACAGCTAAGTGGATCAACACCAAAAGTTTTTGTCAAAGCAACAGCCACAAGACAATTGGCTTTGGTGGCGATGTTGGTGTTTTGGACAATGACAAAGCGGGCATTTGTTTATTCGCCTAAGATTCGTCACTGTAGGCTTTCACTTCGGGCCCCTTTGGGAAATACATTTTCTCCATGGGGCATTGCCGCATTGGAATCTTCATTCCTCGAAAAGATGTTTGTTTTCTGGCCTAAAGTTGTCACTTTGCAGAGATTGACTGCCCAGCCCGGGAACGAAAATTTTCCGGGCAGCATGCCATGATCAATCTACAAGTAGCGCCTAGGAAGCACTTAACAACTCTTAGAAAAATAGTGTCGATTGAGTTTCTTATTGAGCGGAAAAAGCTGGCCCTGTCCTCCAATATAATCAGTGTCCCAAGCCAATGCCACTATTCTATGGGATCCAAGTGAGTGGCGTACGGACTGGAAACCTCAGTGATGATCGTCCTTTCGATATGTATATTTCCTCTCGAATCCACAGTACACCACACACAAGCACGGTCTTCCTGATGGATCGACACGACGAAACCCAATTGATACATTCATTCATGGCCAACAAGAAAAACACAAAGAATACGAGCATTCCGCCAAGTTAGCTGCGATCGATCTATCCGAGAGAGAGCGAGAGAGAGGGAGAGAGAGAGGTGGGCAAACACATGCCCTGTTCGTCCAAGCTCCGACCGCGAGGAGCAGGTTCCAACCAAACTCCAGCGGCAGCCGTACGCGAATATGCCATTCCGTACGAAACGTGCGTGCCGTACGGGGGTGCCCACGGCATATTCCAGATCTGCCGTACTCATGGGCATCCCCACCATTCATGCGCGCGTGTGTGTGTGTGTGCGTTGTGTTTGTGTGTGTTGTTGTGTGTGTCTCCACTTTAAAGTCCCTCTCTTCTTCTACCCTGCTCCCATTCTCGCGACATCCAAACGTTGGACTGCTGATCCATCCGCCCGTGTGTAAAGGGGAGCTACCATCGATCCACCGCGTCGCCGGGCAGGCGAGGATCGACGTAGTACTTATCCTGGGGAGCAATGCGACAACACCACCTCTTTGGCGGCGGCGGCGGCGGCGAGGAGCTGGAAGGGCGCGATTGACCCCCGGGGCGCGACAATGGATGGCTGGAGTGATGATCGCGGCGGCAGCGGGCATTCCGTTTAGGTCAGTGGCGAGGCAGCGAAGCAGCGAGGCCACGATTCGATCGCTACCCATCTTTGGGCCGCTGTTGGTTGTCCCCTTTTGTCCCCATCGACGCTTGGGGAAATTCTTCCCTGGCCCCTCGCCCGGGAAGGGCGCCGCCACCTCCCTATTCTTTCTCGGGCTCCTTCCCAACACTCTGGGAGCTCCGCGGCGCGCCACTGTGATGCCGCGCTTCGATCGCCAGCAAGCGAGAGCTCGAGATCGGTGAGAGTGAGAGAAGCGAGAGAGAGGGAGGGAGAGAGACGGGAATGATTCTTCCTTCTTCGAGCGAGAGATCACTGTGCTGGCTTCTCTTTTCTCTCGTCCGAGGAATTCGAGCACAGTGGTCGCTTATCACATTCGCCCAGAGCTCCGTACCCAAGTGATGGTTTTCTTGATCCATCCCCCTGATCCTTGATGGGTCGCTTCCAATCCCTCGCAGCCCATCGTTTTCGTCCTCCTCCCTCACAGCTCTTGGCTCTATCGCTCTCGCCATCGCTCTCAGACCATCGCTAGAAGCAAGCGAGCAAAGCGAACGACCGTCCTTATCTTCTCTTGCTCTCTCTCTCTCTCTCTCTCGCTCTCGCTCTTTCCCCCGCATTCTCCATTGCGACGTGGAAGAATTCTTTTCTATCTTCACCGCCCAGATGTGGAACTGCGAGGGAGGAGGGGGTGGTGGTGGTGGTGGTGGTGGAGCTGGCGGCGCCGCCGGGGGTGGCGGAGCAGGATTCCAATTGCCGGACGTCCAGATGATCCAGCAGCAGCAGCAGCACTTTAATCGGTGGGGTGGGGATTTGGAGCTCGCATCCAGTCCCTACTTCTTGCTCGATGCCGCGGTGTGGGGATCCGATTTGGAGCTGGCCAGCCCCGGTGGATTCGACTCGTGTATCATGGACTCGTCGTGGACGTCTAGTAAGGATCAGCCGCATTGTTGTGCCGCTCCTGCCGCTCAAGGTACGCAAAGAATTCTTGTCGAGTCTCTGTTCGAATTCTTCTTGTTTTTTCTTCGTTTTGCTCGTTAAGTTTGCGTTGCGTGCGTGTGCGATTTCTCTCTCTTTTGATCTCGTTTGTTTGTCTCGAACTTGCAAGAGTCGTCATGGAACTTGGAAAACAATTAGTTTGTCAATTGGTTCTAGAGCTTAAGATCTTTGGGTTTCTCTTTTGTTTTCCAAGCGTTGCCTGTGGACCGATTTCATGGAACTTGTGAAAAACACTCGTTTTGGTGCATGTTGTTTTGTGTTTGTGACCTTGTATTTCCTCGATCGACTTGTAGATTTCCAATGTGGTCCATCTTCTTTTGTAGGTCTAGAGACCATTCCAAGTCCCACGTCAAGTGCGGTGTCAATCAGGAACTTAAGCCACCATAGCTCGCAGCAGCAAAACTTAGTCCCTAGGCAGCAACAACAAAATCTTCATCACCAACATCACCACCATCAAGAACAACATGACCATCACCAAGATCATCAACAACAATATCACCTACCAGAGCAGCAGCAGCAGCAGCAGTCCTCTTTTCAGGCAAATAACTTATCCGATCACCACCTGGACGTCTCGTCCTCGTCAAGCGTGAGCAGCTTGTTCAACCGGGCTAGCATCTCCGGCGCCGACTCTGACGCCAACCATCACCACCACCACCACCATAACCATCACAGTCACAGTCACAGTCACCCTCACCACCACCACCACCACCACCACCACCATCACCGCCAGCAAGAACAACAGCCCCAGCAGCAGCAGCAGCAAAGATCCAACTGCGGTGACGAGAGCGTCGGGAGTCCCTCGGGAGGCTCGATTGGATTCAACCGAAACGAGGGTGGTGGCGACGGTGGCGATGGTAACGCCAATCCAGGTGCTATAGTCACCGTTTGCGACGGAGCAAACGACCTGGTTGATGTGAGCAACAAGGTGACGTGCAGTGGCTTTCGCGGCCCAACCGAGAGGATGATGGACATAAGCCTCGAAGATCTCTCCCGCTACTTCACCATGCCGATCACTCAGGCGTCCAAGGAGCTCAAAGTCGGCCTCACCGTGCTCAAGAAGCGGTGCCGCGAGTTTGGGATCCCCCGGTGGCCTCACCGCAAGCTCAAGAGCCTCGAGAGCTTGATACACAAGAGCCAGGTTAGTGTTCTTTCCTTGTTCTTGGTCGAAAGTTCTTCCGTGAACTTCTGGCTTTACTTGCCAGGAGTTAGCCAAGGATTCGGATGGAAACGCTCCAAACCCGGTGATCCACGCAGTTCACGAGCTGGAGAAGCAGAAGAAGAAGATGGAGGAGAGCCCGGGGATGGAGCTGGACGATCGGACCAAGCGGTTCCGCCAGGCAATCTTCAAAGCCAGCTACAAGCAGCGGCGGCGAGCGGTAGCTCCCTGTAGAAACGGTGGCAGCGGCGGTGGAAACTCTGATTCTTCCCACAACGATGGATCCACCGAGCAGCAAGAGCAGCAGCAGTGAAAAAATTCAGGGGCTCCCTTTAGTCCAAAGGTGACCATTTTGTGACCATTTTTTGTCTTGTTTTTTCCTCCCCTTCAAGCTAACAGCAGCAAAGCTTTGGAATTTCGCAAGGAAGAGAGATCAAACCACGCAGTCGATCATAGAGAAGAATTTTTGTTCGCCTCTAATTTTTAACCAAACGAGAGAGAGAGAGAGAGAGAGAGAGAGAGAGAGGAGTGTGATAGAAGTACCTTTTCATTCAAGTTGGCTGTGGCGGGAACATAAGGAAGTGTGCCCTAATTCGTTGTAAGAGGAAAGGGTTTTCGGTCTTGCGCGATCGATCATGAGATCGGCGAAGAGGAAGATCGTGGAGCATGAGCATGAGTATGAGCGGCAGCAGCAGCAGAATGGAAAGGTGGGTGAGGATCGTCATGAAAAGGATCTGGTGAGGAGCACCAAGCGGAAGAAGGCCTATCCCCAGCTCCGGCACTGCCTGGTCGAGGAGAGCTTGTTCCAAGACCTCGATCACAGCGAGGATGACGATCGGAGCTCCGGCGATGACGTCCAGCAGGCCGGGGGATGCAATGGGTTGTATGCGCTGAGGGCAAATCCTAAGAAGAACCTCAAGTTTGCGGAGGAGCAGATCAAGAAGAAGAAGCTGAGCAGCAAGGGCAAGGATCACGCATGCCCGGAGTGTGGCAAGGAGTTCGTATCGATCAAAGGCCTGTCGGGACACATGCGATGCCATCCGGAGTCGCGGATCGCGAGGGCCGCCGCCGCAATCGCTCCGCCCAGCCCCGCGAAGATCAAAATCAAGGAGGTGATCGAGGAGCCCGACTACGAGAGCGACACGAGCCTGGAGCAAGTCTATCTCCGGCACTGGGCCAGGGAGGAGGAGGAAAAGAAGAAAAAGATGGGAGCTTTGATGGTCGAGGAGGTGGCCATGGAGGAAGAGGGGGAGGAGAATTCTTCCAAGGTTGTAATCCATGACGATCCATTACCGCAGTGGCAGCCATTGAAGATTAGGATCAAGTGCTCCTCCCGGGCCCTTGATCCGACTGGCGGCGGCGGCGCCGCCACTGTGGCGGAGGGATCTCGTAAAGGGGATGGTTGCCGTCTTGGAGAATCGACTGGGGGAGCGGCGGTTGTCGAGTGCTCCCGGTGTAAGCTCGCGTTTGAATCGAGCACGGCGCTGGCCGCCCACCACTGCGTGAGGAAGATGTCGCGCAAGAGCAAGATCATCAGCACCAAGATCGAGGACGCCTTGCCCCCCAGCAGCGGCGATCCAGGAGTGGTCAACGTGCCCGTTGACATTATTGCTGACCGCGTTAACGAGGAGGACGAGGTGGTGTGCGTTGACAAGGGGTTGACTGGAGGTTTTAAGTGCCTGAACTGCCACCGGGTTTTTGCGACTGGAAAGGCTCTCGGGGGTCACAAGCACAGCCCTTGCGGTCGAAAATGCTGTGTGTAACTTTAATTTCGGTCAAACCTCTTGCCAACCTTTTAGGGTTCTTCAACTTTTACTCGTAATAATATTTAAATTCGCCTAAATATAAAACACTTTAAGATTATTTCTTAAACATTTTCTAGAATTTACTCACATGACCAATTTACCTCTAACCTCCATTATGAATTCTAGAAGTGCCATGAAAGGCTCCCCAAACCACTGAATCAGGCACATAGGGCATTTTTTCTATCAGATCCTCCGCATTCTTAAGCTGGCCGCATCGTCCCAACATTCCAACTAAGGAAGAGTAGTGTTGCCTCCATGGATCCATACCGTAATCTATTAGCATTGATTGAAAATACTGGCATGCTTCATCCATCAATCCCAAATGGTCACAGGACGCAAGAACACTTGTGAAAGTTAGCTTGTCCGGAAGTAACCCTTGGCATAGCATCTCGTGGAAGAATGTGATAGCCATCCCACCTTGGCCAAACTTGGCACACAGTGCCACCATTGAGTTCCAAGCCTCGGCCTCCGGCATTGGAATCCTCCAAAAGGTCTGGGTGGCGCTCTCAAATCGCATGCTATGTGCAAATGCTACCACCATTGTGTTCCATGACACCAAATCGTGGTCAGGCATGGAATCAAACAACGCCTTTGCACCAACCAGGTCGAAGTTTTGGGCGTAGCCGAGGAGCATCCGGTTCCATGATGCCATGCTCCGCTCGGGGATGATTTCAAACAGTCCCTTGGCCTCGTCCAAGTGGCCGGTCTGTCCGTAAAGTGAAAGCATCGCGTTCCATGACACAACATTGTGTCTTGGCATTCTATCAAACAAGATCTTTGCTTGCTCGCATTCAAAACATTCCAGGTATCCCATTACCATAGTATTCCAGCACACGAGGTCCTTCTCAGCTAGTCGTGCAAAAAGATTCTCAGCCTTCCGGACATGCCCGTCTTGGGCATATGCCTGGATAGCGGCGGTGTAGGATACCATATCCAACTCCGGCATTTTATGGAGGCAGGATATGGCTCCATCTATGTTGCGCCACTGCGTATATCCGTGAAGCATGGTTGTCCATGTTACCAGGTCCCTCTCGGGCATACGCTGCATGACCAAAGAAGCAGCAAGCATATCGCCAGTTTGAGCATACGCGAAGACCAAAAGATTCCATATTACAACATTCCACTCGGGCATGCTATCAAACAAGCTTTGAGCTAAATGTACAGTATCACTGGTGTTGTAAATACTAATTATCGTTGCCCACGAAATTATGCTACGATAAGGCATTTGGTCAAAAAGGCTCCTTGCAAGCACGAAATGCCCGCTATTGGCACATGCTTGAACGAGGCAAGTCCAGGCAACAATGTCGCGTTCATGTGCGCGATCAAATGCGGCTTTAGCGTGGTGAAGATGGCCCTCTCTTGCTAGCGCTCTTATAATGAGTGTGGACGTGATTTGGTCATGAAGTGGCATCTTGTGGTCGAAGATTTCCTTGGCACTGGAGATATCTCCGTTATCAAGAAACGCAGCAATGGCAATGTTGTAAGAGATGAGGTTCGGCTGCTGGATGCCATGAAAGACGGCACTCGCATCGGCAATACAGCCACACTTGCCATACATTCTCACGAGCAGATTTGCAAGGTAGCGATCATTGCTGTGTGTAGGGCTGTTGGAGATGAGCGCGTGGACTTTCTGGCCACTCTTGAGATCCCTAGAAGTGGTGAAGCTTGTCAGCTTGCTAGCAAGCTCATCAGCGGTGGCCAAGCTCTCCATGCAATCTCTATCTTAGGCATATTATTATATCACGTTGTTTGTTCAAAGTTTGTCCAGCCAGCAATAACGATAGATGAGCTCGTGGACCTTCTGGGCGGTGCACAGCTTGCCAGCTTGCTAGCAAGCATCCATGCAGGAATATTTTCTAGGTAGCAAATAAATATAATAATAGTAAATAATACTAAATATTTCCACATATAAATTTTGATTTTGGAAGGATCAGATGTAGGAAATACTTTAGTTTTCTTTTCTATGATTCTATTCATGATGCACTGCCCATGCAGCCATACACAAGCAATAAACATAGTAACAATGATAGTTTTGTTATAATAGTTAAATATATTTTTATATATAAATTTTATATAGACACTAGATTAGCTTTCCGTAATCTTTACAGTAAGCGTGAATCACATGGCTGATGGCGACAGAACAAACGTTAAAATTGTGAAAGTTTCACAGATCAAACTGTACTGAAGTTAGCTGTATAGAAGGAGGCCGTGATATATATCTACATACCCAGGCCCAGTCCACCACAACTAAGTATCACTGATCATGGCCAAGTACTCCAAAGGCACTCCTGGCAAGCGCAAATGCGTGCTCAGCCTGGATGGAGGGGGAATTCGCGGCCTCATTCCAGCCCAGATCCTCGAGTATCTGGAGCAGTGCTTGCAGGTAATCCTCGAGAAAACATCAACAAGATCCATGTAACATCGTGATCCTTGCAGGACATGGATGGCCCGGATGTGCGTCTCGCAGACTACTTCGATGTGATCGCGGGCACGAGCACCGGCGGATTGATAACCATCTGCCTCACGGCCCCGGGCGAGAACAACAGGCCGCTCTTCACTGCCAAGGAGGTGACGGACTTTTACATGAACAAGGGCAAGTTTGTCTTCCCACAGGGCTAGTAAGTTGTTCTTGCTTATGCGCGACCAAGATCAAGAGATTCAACCGTGCTTTTCTTCTCCAGCATATCGAAAGGGATCACCGGCTTGTTTGGGCCAAAGTACTCGGGTCACGAGCTGGAGAAGCTCCTCCACGGCTACCTCAAAGACCTCCGGCTCCAGGACACACTCACAAACGTGATCATCCCGACCTTTGACACTAAGCTACAGCAGCCAGTCTTCTTCTCGTCCGTCGAGGTAAAGATCTTCCAAAGATGGGAAAGAATGAGAAAGAAGGAGAAAGGAGTGATGCCGAGAACATACTGATCGAGTTGAGTTGTGTGACACAGGCGAAATCCAAGAATGCTCACAATGCGTACCTCCGCGACATTGCCCGGGGGACCTCTGCGGCTCCGACTTACTTCCCTCCAAAGTTTTTCAACACCGGGAGTGACTCCGAGTTCCACCTCGTCGATGGCGGCCTCGTCGCCAACAATCCCTCGTTTCTGGCCATCACCGAGGCGTTTCGGATCCACGAGGATGCTAATTCCCTCTTCAGCGTAAACAGTCTTTCCATTCTCCTATAGTCCTCTCTCTTGATCTCGCAGCTCTTGATCTTCAGCTCGAAGTCCTTTAGCTTGACTCCCTTGTCCAAGTTTCTCCCTCTCTCGATCTGTGTCTTCTCAAACTTTCTCCCTCGAGTTGACTGTCCTGTCCACGTTTCTTAGCTCGAATTCTAACTTGTTGGATGATCCCTGCTTTGCTCCAGAACTTTGAAAACCTGCTCGTCCTGTCGCTCGGCTGCGGCACGCAGAGTTTCAGCTACGAGGCCAAGGAGCTGTCCAACTGGGGAGCGCTGCGCTGGGTGATCAACAGCAACCGGACGCCGCTCATCGACATGCTGATGAACGCGAGCTCGGACATGGTGGACCACAGCCTGTGCGTGCTCTTCCGCTCCGGCCTGTGCGAGGAGAACTTCCTGAGGATCCAGATCTCCCCTCTCGACGATGGCCTCGCCAACATGGACGACGTCAGCCCCAACAATCTGAAAGCTCTCGTCAAGCGAGGCAAGGACCTCCTCGACGAGCCCCTCCGCCGCGTCGACTTCGATAACGGGAAGCTCCTGCCCATTCCCGACGCCTCCACCACCAACAAGGAGGCCGTCCAGAGGTGAGAAGCCATGGTCTTGTTGCATCCCGAGCTCAAGTTTCCTGTTCTCTTGTTCTGCAGCTTTGCACGATGGCTGTCGGAGGAGCGTCGTGCACGTCTCGCTCAAGCATGACAGATTCCTCTTCGCTGCTGACGCTTGGGACGATTAACGTATGTGCCTCATGTAGTTGATGTCTCGCTCTCATCCTCCGGAATAATAAAATGGTAGTTTTGGGGTTTCCAACTTTGTCCCCCATCCAGAGCATAGCGTTGACAAAACCAGATAAGCACCAGGGCTGTGGGAATCCACCTCCAGCACGCCGCGAGCAGCGCTCTTGGCCTGCTCCAGATCCCCATGCGTTTTGCACGCGCCGAGCAGCGTCATCCACGGCACGAAGTCGGGCTCGAGCGGCATGCTGTCAACCAGCTCTTTGGCCTCGCCAACTCTGCCGCTTCTTGCCAGGAGATCCACCAGGCACGAGTAGTGCTCGGCCGCGGGGCAAGTCCCAAAGTCTCCCTGCATCGCCACGAAAAAGCCTCGAGCAGCGTCCACTCCCGACTGGCTATAGGAGACGAGCATGCTCGTGAGAGTGGAGCCTTTCGCGTCGATCCCGTCCAGAGCCATTCCCTGGAACAGCAGCTTCGCCTCGCAGCCGTGCCGAGCGAAAGCACTGATCATCGCCGTCCAGGATACCGAGTCTCGGCTCTTCATCGCCCCGAAGATCCGTCTCGACTCTTCCAAGTTGCCGGACTTCGCGTACATGCACACGAGTGCCGTCCCCAGAGCTCCATCGGCCTCGAAACCGGCGTGAACAATCTCGGTGTGCACTTCCGTTGCTAAGTTCGAGGAGCAGGCACTTAGAACGCTGATGAAGGCCACCTCGTCGGGTTTGATGCCTTGCTGGTCCATCTCAGCGTAGATCGTCATGGCTCTCCCTTCACAGCCGTTTTGAGAATAGGCCCCGATCATCGCCGAGTAGCTGAACACGTCCTTCACTGGCATTTGCTCGAAGATCCTCTCGGCCTCTTCCAGGCTCCCGACTTCTCCGTAGAATCCAACCAGCGTTGTGGCCAGAACCTCGTCCAGCTTAATCCCGGCAACCTGAATCCTTCCGTGGAGAGACTTTCCTGTTACCAAGTCCTTCAATGCGGTGCATGCCATAAGTGCTACGGCAAAACTCGTATCTGTTGGCTCGACTCCTTCCAAATCCATCTTACGGAAGAGTCCGACTGCTTCGGCCTCGTGAGAATTGTTGAAGAGTGCGGTTATCATCGCGTTCCACACCACCGCATTGGAGCTGGAACGGGTGCTAAAACTCTGGAACACGGCCCTCGCTTCTTCCAGGCACTTGCAAGTCCCATAGAGGCTTATAAGCGCGCTACCAACAACTTCGTCTTGCTGGTAGCCAAGCCTCTCGATATCGTCTTGAATCCTTCTGCCTTGCTCTAGCAGATTCGAGGCCGAGCACACAGCCAGGATCGTCACGAACGTGATTGTATCGACGTCGTCTTTGAGCTCCTCAACCATCTGCCTGTAGAGATTCAAGGCGTCGTCGGGATGCCCGTTTTGGGCATATGCAGCTAGCATGGCATTGTAAGCCAGTCGGTCCCTGCTAGAGATACTGTCAAACACCTCCTTGGCATCCTCCAAACAGTGGCACTTCCCATAGAGTCCCACAAGAGACGTTTTGAGAGCAGCATCGACATCAAAGTCACTCGAGCAGACTCTAGCGTAGATTTCTTTCCCCGTCGAAAGATCTCCCAGTCCCGAGCAAGCACCGAGAACCGCTGCGTAAGTCACCCTGTCCGGCCTCACTCTCTTCTCGAGCTCCATTCTCCTGTAAAGCTCCAGCGCTAGTCTCTCATGCCCGTTTTGCGCATAAGCCGTGATCATCGCAGTCCACGATACGACATCCTTGTTTGCCATCACTTCGAAAACACGGAGCGATTCCTCCAAGTTCTCCAGCTTCCCGTACATGGATATCAGCGCATTCTCCAAACGAGTTCCACCACCATCACCACCGCGAGTGATGCGCAGATGGATGCTTCTACCGAGAGAGAGGCTTCCCAGCTGCGTAGCCACCTCGATGACCAAGAGAAAAGTTACCGGGTTGAGCTTGGTCCCGTCCAAGTCCATCTCGCGGAGCGCTCGCAATGCCCCGCAAGGATGCCCATTCCGGGCATACGACGTGACGAGAGCGTTCCACGATACCACATTCTTCACGGGCATGGAGTCGAATCTCTGCCTCGCCTCTTCGATCGAGCGGCACCTCCCATACATGCCCACCACCGCCGTGCCAACCACGACGTCGTCCCTCCACTCCGAGCCGGCGATGCTAGAATCCACTGTTCTTCCCAGATCCAGATCCCCGAGAGCCGAGCACGCCTCTAGAACTCCAAGAAAGGTGACAGAGTTGCGATCGCCGCTGCCCATTCTCGCGTAAAGATCCACAGCTAGTCGAGGCTGGCCGTTGTGAGTGAATGCCCCGATCATCGTGTTCCAAGTCACTGGATCCTTGCGCTCTAGGCTGTGGAAGAGCCGCTCGGCCTCCGCGAGGCTGTGGCACTTGCCATACATCGCAATGAGCGAATTCGCTAACAAGGTCTCCCTGTCCAGCCTCCGAGCAATCGCCGCGGCGTGGAGCTGGCGCCCCCGCGCGAGATTACCAGAGCTAGCGCAGGCGCTGATGGCACTCACCAGCGTCGTCCTGTGGGGAAGGATCCGCCGCTCCTCCATACGATCCAAGAGCTCCAGCGCCTCGGCGCCACGGCCGTTCTGCGCGTACGCCGTGAGGAGGATGCTCCAGGAGAAGTCGTTCCTGCGCGGCATGCGATCGAACACCGATCGCGCCTCGTCGACGCTGCCGCATCGGCCATACATTTGGATGAGGAGATTGCACAGGAAACAATCCCCGTTCTGGCCGCTCTTGACGATCGCGCCGTCAATGCGCCTTCCCTCGGCGATATTTCGCGACAGGGAGCACCACCGGATCGCGGCGGCATGATCGTTGGACAATGCGATCATCCAAGAGCCCTAATCTACATAGTTCACCACGTCATCAAGTAGCTTTACCACGTCATTAAAACCTTTACACGTGGCGACCTTTTACCACGTCATCGTACAGCTCAACTCTTTCCCTGAAATTTCGGAGGGAGAAGGAAGGTTTTGGCGCTGCTTGAAATTTAGGTCTGGATGGCGGTGCGCGGTGAGAGCGATGAAAATGCTGCCGAGCCCGACGATCTCCAGCGATCGCGGCAAGGGCAAGAAGGAGGAGAAGAAGGAGCGGCTATGGCAGATCAACGATCGGCTCGCGGACAAGCACGGCTACTGCCACAATGTCTACTGGGTCCATGGCGATGTGTATCGCGGCTGCTGGGACAAGAACAAGCGCGATGGTGAGTCCCCAGATTCTAGCTTCCGGATCGTCTAAATCTCTGCGCGTTCGTTTCCTCCAGGCGCTGGAATCCACAACTACAAGACTGGGATAAGGTATGAGGGTGATTGGAAGAATGGAAAGAGGGATGGCTATGGCACTTTGTATCTCGCCGACGAGGAGGTGGACAAGTACCGTGTGGTTTACAAGGGGCATTACAAGGAAGGCAAGAAACACGTTAAGTTCTTCGCTCCTCGATTCTTGGAGGAATGGATTCTTTGCTTACGATTTTTTCTTTGTTTTGCTCAGGGCCCCGGATTGCTACATGGTGCCTTTGGAGAAACTTACGATGGAAACTTTGCGTATGGCTTGCGCAACGGTGTTGGCAAGCAGTTCTATCGGTGCCAGTTAACGAACGGATTCCACGTCTACCATGGACAATGGGTGAATGACAAGAGAGAAGGCGTGGGTCTACTCAAAATGGGTATCGACGAGCTTGCAAGCTGTGGCTTCTGAAAACTTGGGTTTTTCCTTCTTGCAGTGAATGGCGATCTGTACAAAGGCTCATTCGTGAACGACATGAAGGAAGGCAAAGGCATTTACTACTATGGCGACAAGTGCTCCAAGTACGAAGGCCTATGGAAAAAGGACGTAGCCATCTGCGGGACGTATTCCAACACCAGCGAGCAGGACAAGCACATCCCGTATCTGGAGATCGAAAACGCCTGCAGCTTTGCACCCGAGCTCATCACGCAGCATCTAGCGGGCGAGGAAGTGAGAACTCACAGCTTTAGCAGCCTGGGCCACGCCGACAGGATGAAGCTCACACCCAGGCAGATCTCGTCCATTTGAGGGCGATCGCCCAAGTTCTATAGCAGTTCCAGGCATCGCTGGAAGCACGAAACATATCTCTCGAGAGTTTCCTGTGTATCCATTCCAAAAGAACGATGTCAGTAACAAAGCTTTTTTCAAACACGAGGCACTCTCTCACCTTGAGCTGAATGACTACTCTTGTGCAAAGCGGAACCAATGCGAAAGCTATCCGTGTTGACTGCCTGCCTCGCATCCAACAATCAATCCAAACCGAGATACAGACCAGTACCTGAGCTTGAGCAAAACCTTGGTTAGTGGAAAATTCAAGGCTGCGAGTCAGCGAGTCAGTGTGCCTAAAAGAAAAAAAAACACGCCGTCTCGTGTAAGGCTGGCGCATTGTTTCCGTTGCCTGTACACGGACTTACAAATTCCACCGAAGTCGAAATTTGAAGAAAAGACATACCTTTTATAATACATCCTAAAGAGAGACCAATTGGAACTCTTCAGGTAGTGGAAAGACTGCGCTCGGCATTGGAATCACTGTCACGTATGGCTGGGGACAGGATCTTTGTACTTGCTGGATGCGTCTCTGGGAGGTGAAGTTCACCGGAAACAGCTCTTGATGGCATTTCATGAGCCGGTTGGTGACACAAACTTTGTCCAGGTATTGCATGTTCTTCACGAACTCTTGCGTCAACGGCAGTGTGTCCAATCTACAAATACAGTAAAGTAGGCCGCGAGGTGAAATGCGAAGTTAATATGTCGACTATACCTTTGTAGAACTCTCTCCAGGTACTTGATCCTATCTTTGAATCCCTCGGCTATTAACTCGGAGGTTGCAGCTATCGTGTTAGTTTTCGCTTGAGGTCCATCCTCATTCGCGGTGATCCTGCCAACTGGTGTGTAAGGGGAGACAAGGAAACGCCAAAAACATTACCTGCAAGCTTCTCCCAAGGACAGACGTGCAAGGACGTACATTGCACATTCCCGATCTTCAACAGAACTACTTTGCATCAATGCGGCTGGTACAGGAGGTAAGCTATTCTGCATCAGCTGAGTTGTTAGTTTTAGTCTTTGTTTAGCACGGGCCACGAAGTGAAAGCTTTCATCTTGGGCATAATACTCTTCGTCAATGTCCTGTTTACCACAAGAAAGCAATTAACAAACGGAACCATAGTATCGGACAAACCTTTTCTGGAAGCCGATTCGTATCAGTTGCCCATTGAAGCTCAGCAGGTCTGATGAGACAGAAAGTCAGGAATTGGAAACAATTAAATAAAGAAGTACCTGATCGTAGGAAGGGCGCCCGTCAACTGAGAAATAGCTGTCCGCCATGGAATCAAAGGTGGAACTTCAACCTTTCTCTTTTTGGGGAGAACGGAACTCGCAAAAGTGGAGTTCAAGAGCAGCTGTTGTTTCATGGCTTCTCCAACGTTACCTTGAGCATTGGAATCACTGCTGCTTTTACCGGGTCCTATAGTAGAAGTTCCAGCTTGCTCGGATCCCTGTGGTACGAGACCACCCTTGGCCAAAGCATACGCTTGCAAAGCCGCTTCTACACGTTGTTGGTGTAGAGAAACCTGAGGAGCTTTCTGAGGAGGTTGCAAGTCATTAGGAACTTGAAGGAGCTGTTGAGATGCGACCAGCTTTTCATGTCCAAAACTCGACTGCGCGCTTTGCTGATTTGCCAACTCAGGTAAAGGTTGTTCGTCTGCTGCAGATTGCAAGTCCTGCGTTAGCTGCGGCTCTGATTTGCCTGGTTGAACGGAAGTTGCAGCGTTCTGGGACCTTTGCTGCGACTCTACCGGTTGCACGTCTTTAGGAACTTGCATCTGCGACCTTTGCTGCGACTCTACATGATGCACGTCTTTAGGAACTTGTAGCTGCTGAGGTGCGATGAGTTTCGAGTGTGCCATTGTCGTAAAGCTTGAAGCAGCCGTGCTCACGCTAAGCATTTGCCCGCCATGCTGATTCGCCACCGCTTGCTCGTCAGCTGTACTTTTGAAGTCTGGTTTGCTTGAAGATGAAACGTTTTGCGACTTTTGCATATCCACTGGCTGCATGTCTTTGGGCACCTGAAGAAGCTGCTGAGGTGTAGCTGGCTTGGAATGCCCCAATGTCGTAAAGTTCGAAGCTGGCAACGCAGCCCCACCACCTTGCTGATTCGCTTCCTCGGTTATCTGCTTTAGTTGAGGCTCTGGGGGTTTAGTCGACTGAACTGGTGGGGCTTGCGAGGCAGCAGGAGAAACACGGTTTTGATGCTGCAGCTGAACCACGTCGTAGATCGAATCAGACTCTACAGGCTTGTGTTGAGCATGTCCAAACATACTGGTTGTCTGCCAGGAATAATCCCTGGAGATCCGGTGAATGTCGCTGCCAAGCCTTTTCGAACTGGACTGCAACACTTGCCTTTCTTGCTGCGACGGAGTTTGCAACGGCAAAGGTGAGCTTATCAGTCCAGCCCCCGTTGGTTTGCTCTGTGCAGAGCTTTCAAAAACTTTAGCCGCCAACACCTCGTCCTTGTCTTTGCTCTGAAATATGTTTGAGTTGTCTGACGTTTGGGCACTGGCAGGCCGAATGTTGTCTGCCAAAGCTGGCGAACGCAGCTCAGCCTTTGGAAAAAACTGTCGTGTGGCGAAGGCTGGTTTCGAGACGGGATTCTTGAAAGGAGCAGCAGGCCTGTTGCCGCCAAGTTCTCCGGTAGGAACTGTTGTATCTTTCAACCAAGGCCCACCTTCAGAAGAATTCTGAGAGAACCGAACCTGAGCACCTCCCGACGACGGCCTGTGGTTACTATCTTGCATTCCAAGAGAAAAGGCCGGCCGGAATGCTTCTTGGGTGTCAGCTTTCGGCATGCCTCGTCCAAAGAAAGATGAGCCACCATCTCCCGATGACGGCCTGTGGTTACTATCTTGCATACCAGTAGGAAAGTTCTGCCGGAATGCTTCTTGACTCTCCGCTTTCTGCATGCCTCGTCCTAAAAACTGTGTACCACCATCCGCCGATGACGGCCTGTGGTTACTATCTTGCATACCAAGAGAAAAGGCCGGCCGGAATGCTTCTTGATTATCAGCTTTCTGCATGCATCGTCCGAAGAAAGGCGTACCACCATCTCCAAACAGCTCAGCCTCGCAACCATTGATAAGAGATGCCCCCAAGCTACCGAAACCAGGAATCGCAGACTTGCTCTCTTGCACCGAATCGTCAGCAAAAAGCTTCTCGACTCCTCCAAACAGATCGTTCATATCGATAGCTTCACTCTCCGACTGGGCACCATTGAACGCCTCCATATGCTTTCCAACGAGGCGCTGCTGATTCATGTCGTTCGGGAATCCGTAGAGTGGTGCCGGCTGAATGGAAGCGTTCCTAATAGGATAACTGTCTACCTGAGGCGTTCCCATATGAGCTCTAGCTAGCTGCTGGATTCCTAAACCATGCCCCTGTCCCTGGCCTAAGAGAAGCTCCTGGTGCCTCAGCTTTTCCATCTGCATAGCTTGGAAGGACTGGTCGTAAAAAGCTTGATGCTGCTGCTGTTGCTGTTGGTGATGCTGTAAAACAGGATCAAAGAACTGTTGATGCTGCTGCTGCTGCTGCTGCTGCTGCTGCTGGAGAACAGGATCAAAGAACTGCTGCTGCTGTTGTTGTTGATGAAACTGTCCCCTATTTTGCAACCTGGGATCGAAAAAATCCCCATTGGGGATCTTGTGAGGTAATGCAGCTCCAGCATATGAGAAATGCTGGTGGCCCATCATCTGCGTCCTCGCATCGACAAACTGATTCCGAAAAATTCCCTGATCACCACGGTATGGCCTAGCAGGTGAAGCATCCTCCTGCACAAAGTAGTTCTGAACCTCTTCAGACATACCATTTTGAAACATGGAGAAACCGCTTGTCACCAAATGTTTTCGTTTATCTGAATGGAAAAAAAGGGAAAACCGAAAGAAGATGAGTTACAGGTGAAGGATAAAAGAAGAGAAAACATGGAAATTAATGAATAAGCTTACCAGAAGAAGTATCGTGAGAAGAGCTAGTTTTTCCTCCTCAGGCATTGACCGAGATGGGATGAGACGCTAGCTCTCTCCTTCCAGAATCTACAAAAACCCTATCCAGGGTTTTTGACGCGCGACGGCATCGTCTCGAACGAAATGCACGGCCTCCGAGGTTTCCATTGCCGACAATCCACAGCCTAGAGCGACGACGCCAGCGATAGATCTTGCTACTGCTGCTCTCGGGCCCTCCGGAGCTACCGCCCTAGCTCCCCGCACAGGCGCGCGGCGAAAAACCCTAGCTTACCCCTATGGAAGCGTTCCGCTAGCATTCTCGCCGACGAAGCATCCCCTGATCTGTGGAGCTGCTAGCTGCCGCCGCCTCCATCTAATCCAGCAGCTCGAGCAGCCAGCGCCAAGCGCCAAGCATCCCGCCCAAAGAGAAATTAGGGATTTGAGGGCCAATGAGTGACGCGTAGAGTGTTGCGTCGTGAGTGTGTGTGTGTGGTGTTGTGGGCGACGAGAAGGATGCTTACACACACACACACAATGGCTTTAGCAGCACTGGCACATTTTAGCGTCGCCGCTGTATCTAGCAAAGGGGTTGGCGGATTCCGGAACGGAATGAGCTGGCCATTCGGCCTTCCGGTTTGGAATAGCCAGCCGGCGCCTGGCGCCAAGGGCGTTGCGTTTTTCAAATGGTTGACTCCCTTCACGCGATCCTGTCCGTTGAGCCGCTCGCTAGGGTTTTGGGGGATTTTTGAGCAGGGAAAATGGCGCGCTGCGAGGCCGGCGCCTGGGAGTTGCAATGGAGGCCTCGATGCGCAAGATTTTCGAGGCGGCCGGGTACATCGCGCTGGAAATCAGTGAAATCGTGGTGCCTGGTAACGATAATCGCTGTTGTCTTGTAGATTTCGATCGCATTCCGTCCGCTAGAGAGCGTGATGCTCAACTTCTCGTCCCTGTGAAGAAGAGGAAGAGAGGCCAATGTTCTGCCAGTGGTAGCACCAGCAGCGGCAGCGATGGAAGCTGTATTACGAGTGATACATCCCAAAATGCCAACAAGGTCATCGATTTCTTGATGCTACTGCTGGAAATTCTCTAATGCTTTGTTTATCAGAGGCTCCGTCTGGACCATGTGGAAGCATTGCTTCATCTAGAAGCGAAGCAGACGCTTCTATGGGGATATTTGGATGATACATGTTGCTTGGACTCCGTAGCGAGAGGATCTATCGTCGTAAAGTTCTTCCAGGTACTTTAATGTAATTTCTAGAGCTTTTTCTTTCTACTCGTCTAGCTCCATTTAGTGCATGGCAGTACACAACGAGACAGTTTTTCTCGCAACGACGTTTTTGGATATGCTTTTACTGGCTATGAAGAACTGCATCGCGAAGAGCGTACTTGGGATATTTGCCGTTGCATGCATGGCCGTGGCCATCAAATATGAAGAGAACAAGGCGAAGTTCTCGTGAGTAATCCTGTGACTTGACTTGGTGTTTAATGTTTTGGTTAAATCAGGCCTGTTCTTCAGCTCAGCGAGCTCTTTCGCTATAAGATCCATGACGTTCTTACTGCCGAACGCATTTTACTGGAGGCGATTTGCTACAAGTGTGAAGTGCCAACTGCAATGATCTTTCTAAGGTTTGGTTTTTTGGAGTTAATTCTCTTTTATGTAATGTACTCCGCTGTGAAGGTATTATCTTGAAGGCGTCAACGCGAGCACCAAAATCGCTAGAACCGCAGAGTTCCTGGCGTGTCTCTCACTCACCGAATACGAAATGCTCAGATTTAGGCCTGCAGCATTAGCCGTGTCCTCGATCACCCTGGCCTTTCGCTTTGAGGGAATAGATGCTAATGTGAGGGAGCTCTTAAAGGTATGTATCAACGGTATTTCGTTCGTGTTTCTCATATGCCTGCTTTTACAGAGGAATACAGGCGTCCAATTCACCGCAAGAGCCTCGGAATGCTGTATCCAGGTAGTCTTGTTGCCAGCAATCTTGTTGCCTCTTCTTTGACACTTGCGATATGCAGGAACTCCTTAAGCTTTACAGATTTGTCCTCGATGACAGTCCGAAGGCCTGCCATCTTGTGAGGATGTTGAAAACGAGATGCAATATCCAGTGGAATCTCAAGCATCACTGAGCTAGAAGGTTCAGTTTTTCCTTTCCAGTAAATGTACAGGTCGTCCTAGGCTAACATCTCCATGCCATCCTTGGTTTGGACTCGGCAAAGAGGCCCTTCCAATTGGTTATCCTCTGAATCTTGTCCGGTCCGAGTTTCTCAGCAGCCTTGGACAACAACTCAGCTCCGCAGGGCTTCTGGTTTCTTGAAGGCTCACCGCAAAGAGGTGTAGTTGACACAGATGCTGGTGTTTCGGAACCGTTTGAGCTTAACTTGCCACTGGCATTGGACCTGGATGTGCTGGCACAGGAACGAGCAGGAGACCAAGGTGTCTGGATGCCGCCTGTTGTTGCCACTCCAGGTGCTGTCCTTACATCAGTAACGGTTGGGGTCCTCGGTGTTTGGTCAATACCAGTTTTGCCAATGGTTCTCATCGTTTGAGCATCATTTGCAGTGTTTGGTCTAGAAGACTTCGGTGTTGGTGGAGCAGCACGGTCGGACCGAGGAGTGGGACAGGAACTCTCCGGTAGCCTTGCGCTCATTGGAGCTGACGGCTTTGTTTCTGGGAGAGAAGAAGCAGTCTTCGGGCGAGCAGTCGTATCTCCATAGCTTATACCCGCGTCGGACCTCGCAGTACTACAACCGGTATTCACCAAAGCTTCGCCCATTGGTGCTGATTTGTCGGGTGCTCTTGCAGAATTCGGCATGGAAGGCGGCTGCGGCTTCTCCAGGAACATCCGTCTTCTCTCCGCTATCGCATTGACCAGGACCGCTGGGCTTACATGCTGCGGGAAGACGACCGTGGGTGCGGTCTTCGGACGATGTGGCAGCATGTAAGTCAAGATGGTCGGCTCAGCCCGCTCGTCAAACGCACCAGTGGCGTCAGTGGCCTTTATCCCGTAGTGAGGCAAGACGGCGTCCTGTCCATCCTTTCCCAGGTGTGCGGGAGGCACATACCTCAGGTACTCGGTGATGCTCGTTGCTTTGTTCCCGTGATAAGGTGACGCTTCCGTTGTTATCAGAGGTCCCGTCCGCGGCTTTCCCATGTGCGAGATGTACTCGGTGACGGACGTCACCTTCCTGTTGTGGAACGGGTCCGGGGCGTTGAGCAGATTGGGATGCAACGCGTGCAGCGGGACCAGGTGCCGCTGTGTTTCGGTAATGTCGGTGCACTTTTGGCCGAAGTACTCGTCGTCGTCTGGAATGACTCTCTTTGATTCTCTGAGCAGGAACTGGCGCCGGCGGTGGGGGAAGTCAGATATCGTCCATGGCCGGATGTGCAAAGGTCCTCCAGTCTTTGGTATAGGCGGCTTCCTCGGGCACGGGCAATTCCGGGTATGCTTCCTGGTCCTGATATGACCCATTAGGCTTCATCACCGGCCGAGGCGAGAGAGCTCGCTCCAGCCCTTATATACACAATGCAGGACTGGGGGTTTCAGCTGAAGTAGTTATTCATTGGGCTGCCGTTTGGACTTCTACCACGTGGAGACGGTTACAGAGACGAGAGGGCCTGTGTATATTTTCCGGCTATTACTCAGAAAGGACGAGGTCAGTATAAATGCCGCTTTTTTTCTTTCCATCCATCCATCCATCCATCCATCGTCTTCTTGTTTTCGTAGTGGATGTGTAGGTACCACATTCCGGGGCGTAAAAGGCCGGCCAGCTAATGCAAGCAAGCAGGGAGGGCTCACTTTCTTGACTTAATGCCAACTCCAGATTTGGTTTTGACTTGTGGCGATTGCTCCTCTTGCAGGCAGGTTGTGTGGTACCACCAGCAGCAGTTATTCTTTTGTGCACGTGAGCGTATCCAGGTGCGTTGTTTTATGCTCCCAAGCAAGGGGAAGCTAGCGGACAAGCAGGACCCACCTATATCTGGGGAGGAAGGTCCGGTCAGAGCGACGTGCGCGGGATAGAACACATCAACGCAGTCAAGGAGGTTGCGGCGGCGGCGGCGAGTTGCGCAAGATTCCTGGACGTGCATAGGTACGAAGGATTACACACGCACATCGCTTTCACCGCAGGCCGCTAATCATCGTCATCTTTATCCTTTCCACTGGCATATGTCCGTGTACTTCCTTTTTCGTGTACTAAAGTGGGTGTCTCTGTGTGTGGATCCAGGGGAAGCCAACCAGGTGCCGAGCGCTCACTATAAAAAAAAGTGACTTTGTCTTCGCTGGACGACACAGACGGCTCCACAAAATCTGCTGGTTTGACAGTTAATGGGGGTATGTTTTTATTTTTCTTTGTCAACTGCGCAGCTAACTGTCGTCCGCCAGAGAAAAGGTATACATTTAAAATCCAGAGCCTCTTCGTGCAAGGATAATGACAACGGCCCGACCACTCCATCACGTATCGTGGAAAGGTTTGAAGTTTATATAGAACTGTCCTAAGACAGAGATTGTGTCTTTGCAGGTAGGAATCACCACAAAGAAAGACTTCTTTCTATCATTCTGTACGTTTAGTAGTATCACCCTGAGGTCCCACCCCGCACCTTACGTGCACAACTCGTACTTATGCAACTCTTCGCTTTCACCGCAGGTACGTAATCATCGGAATCTAAGTTGTACGCCCTTGTTATGCATGCGTATCTTCTTTCTCTCTGCAGCGGCCAGCGCCACTGGCCGGCTCGTTTCTACAAGGTACCTTTGCTCGTTAAATCTCTCAGATCTTTGCATTATTGTCACCTGCCTCAACGGGACAAAGAAAGGATATATATTTTTCCCCTACCTAGGCAAGCGAAGGAAATTATTCGCAGGCAGATCATAAATCGTAACGAGTTATCCCAAGCTCAGCCGGCCACCAGCGATCCACCTACGTAAGTCCTTGAAACACAAAACACAGAACATAAGACGCAGCGGAACTAATCGTATATAAACAGAGCTCGCGGCCGAGAAGTAACTACCTACAGATAAACCAAAAACTTAGTGAAGAGGGAGCGAGTACCTCTATGATCACGATACGTCCCCGTAGAACACCACCGTTCTCGGTCCTCCTCCCGATCCACCGCCACCACCTGACTTGGTAAGCTTCTTCTTCCCGGCCCTGTTCGTGTTCGCTGTGCTGGTGAAACTAATCCTTTCAAAAACGCTTTTCACTATTTTACATTGGTTGTTGTTTTGAGCTCCACCACCATTCACCGCCTGCCCGGCTTTCATCTTCTTCCTTTTCCCCCTGCTCATGGCGAGATTCCCAGCCTGCTGCTGCAAGAGTGCTCGCTGCTTTGCAAGCAACCTCCTCCTCTTCATGGGAAGAGACACTTCCATTTCCTCGTCTTCCTCATTGCCATCCATACCATTATCGTCCTCATCAAACTCATCATACTCCTCGCCACCACCACCATCAACTTCTTCTTCTTCTTCTTCCAACAGAGCCATCCTCTGGCGAGCCATTGCCTTCGCCCTGGGTCCCAGTGCCCGCTGCCTCTTTCTCGGCATGCACGACTTGGAAGTCCTGTGCACGATCCACTGCTCATCCTCCTCCTCCTCCTCGTCCAAGCACCTCTGCCGCTGGAGACCATCT